TGTAAATTGAATTGACTGTATATTTGTGGGCGAACGTGGCAGCCAATTGCGCAATGTCCCACAAACAGTCGTAAATTGAAAATGACCAATTTATTATTGTTTTGTTTTTGGAGGGATTATTATTAGGTGTGTGGAGTAAGGAAACTTGCCCAAGGTTTCACCCTGCCTGGAATTGAACTCAGGTCACTCGCTTTGCAAGGAGCGAGGATCTCGCCTTAGCAATAAGTCGCTAGATTCTGACAGGGCCTGCCAAGCGACAGAAGGTAACCCTCAAGAATAGCAACTAATGAGCAAGTTGCTTAAACTAGAGGACCTTGGTACCATCCCGGGATACTGATGAGAAATAACCAGTCACTTAAAAGGAATGTACTAATCCCACATGACAAAATAACTAAGCACCAGATGCAGCCCTAAACTGATCAATCTCCTATCTTAGACAGGACAAAGGGAAGACCTCGTGGCGACTGGCACTAAGCCAAATGATTGATTAACCTGAGTACGTGACCATATCAGAAGTGGGTAGAGGGCCCTAGGAAAGACAAGGCGGTTGGTCGACAAACCACCGAATAAGGCTAGTAAAATACAAAGTGATTGAATATGTAAATACGGGATGTAATGGCAAGTCAGGCGACTGACTATGAGTAGCCGAAAAAGAGAAGTGGGAAGCAGTCCGGAACGGCGCCAACAGACGGTGATGGAAGATTGAAAGCCTGAATAACTGAAGTAACTAAGAACCCTGTGCTGGACTCGTAGCACTCGGTCTAGCGGCGTCGACGGTTGACTGCTGAAATAAGTGCGCTTCAATGGTATTTTTGTTTGAATAAACTTGGGTTAACAGATTTTACCTAAACGGAATACTGGGTGACCTTTTTGATATCTAACAATGGTGTTGAAGGCAGCAGAGATCGAGGACGACAAGAAGCAGAGGGAGCCCTGGTCACAGATGTCATTTGTGACCTTGACCAGAGCAGTTTTCATGCTGTGAGGGGCTCATGAAGGGAATGGTAGGAGAGGAAGGAGTGAAGCTGGGAAGTAATGACTCTTTCTTGGAAAGAAAAGTGAGGTTGGAAATGGGCCAGTAGCTAGAAAACAGTAATGGGTTCTGGGAAGGTTTTTTCAGGAGGGGGGTGATTTTCGCTGTTTTTAGGAGGATGGGAACGGTGCCAGATGATGGGGAGAGATTGATGGTGTCGGAGGTATAGGGGCGAGGAGGTGGAGCTGGGAGGTAAGGAGAGGGGTGGGGATCGTTTCATGGGAGTAGATGGTGTGTTTCATGCTGGATTTGCTAGTGATGAGAAAGGAGGGAGAAGACAGATTTAAAGATGTGGAGAGGAGGGATGGGTATGGGTCACAGTATAGGGGGGAGATGGGGAGGGAATGGCAGTTGGGAGGGCGGAGGCAGCTGAACAGATCCCATCGATTTTGGACTCCAACATCTCCTCACAGTAAGAATAGTCCACCGGTAAGTGACAAAGGTGTGGACGAGGGTTTTGGCTGTGTTGGTTGTGAGGTACGGACAGAGATGGGCAATGTGGTGGAGAAATGGAAAAGAAGTGGAAAGCCAGCAGTTGTTTGTATGTAAAGGAAGTGATAAGGTGCTAGGATATGCAAGTGCAAGGATTATTATTAGATGAGACAAAAAAAAGGAAAGCGCCAGCAATAGAGGGCCAAAAATGTTGGTTTGAAGTGACTCTGCTGGTCTCCACTACTTCAGCTCCCTTTTTGTTGAGGAAGGACCTAGTAGAACATGGGGATTGCTGAGTGGAGGCAATGCCACTCCAGAGTGAATGAGCAAAATTCACCCCTGTCTACATGAGGCATTGGCAAGCAGCGTGTAATTGCTCTCTCCTTCAGACTTCTGGCCTTTGGGTGAGGCAAAGGGAGCAAAATACAAATGTGGGAACATTGGACCAAATATTTCCCAAAGCCAGTATGATATGCAATCTGACTCAAGCCCTCTGTCCGTAACTAGATAAACTTGCTTTCAGATAAGTTTTTCGTTTTTATTAAGTTTTGTTGCAGCAGGGTTGATTCAAAAAAACAGCAGCCAATGAAGTCATTCATAACAGACTGCATGTTCTTCAATGATTTACAGGCCGTTGTACAAAAACACAGGAGACCGGTGAAGAGATGCAAAGAGATTTGGCGTGTCTATTATTAACAGTTACATACAGTATAGTCCAACAATAGTAAAACATTGCCAAAAAACAGCATCTTGTAAAAATAGATCGGAAGGTCAACTTCTTACCCTTGAAACAAAATTTTGAAAATATACAAAACAGAAAGTTAACTGGAAAATATATTTATATAAAATGAAATCAAACAACTGATAAACATGTAATAAAAATCAAACCAATGGCACAAGTCCTCGTCATTTTGTTTGTCAGAAACAACCCCACAAAGTTTGGCTTTGAAACTGTCAAAAAGGCGCAATGCGTTTGCTGCTGCATTTGATTATGTGAAAATCAACTTTCATCTATGCGTCGTTTAACACACCAAAACATCAAAGAGTGATGCATTATCATTTTTTTAAAAAATTAAAAACGGCAACAATTCCTCTTGAGAGTCTATGATGCATCCGTCTTGTAACTGGCTAACCGTTTTAAACACAAATCAATGCACAGAGAAAATAAAAGAGAGAACATGTATTAAAAAAACAAAGAAAACATCATTGTATATACTCAAAACACTTGTGTTTGAACATTCATTGAGATATTACAGACATGGCAAAGCATGTATCTGAATAATATATTTTCACCACTGGAGCACACAAATTATTTTATTGCAAAGGCATAATACAAGGCATAATCCTTGTACGTAATACAAGTTGAAGGAAAGGGCCATTAGGCTTTTCTCAGGTGTGTATTGGATCATCACATTTGCCAATAGTTCATTTGATGGGCTTTGTAGGTAGCAAGAAACTATTCTCATCTGCCAACACATGCCATTTCATCAGTACATTATGGAAGTGAAGGTTGCCCACTCCATCCCATTACACCACCACCCCCTTTCCCCACAAGAACGCATCCCCAGCTTAAACATTTGAGCCTGTGATAAACCTGGGGAGGCAAGATGTTGTTTTTCCTGTAATTTCCATTACTCACGCTCTTGCATATCTTGTTTTGTGAACATAATTCACATTGTGAATATAATTCCAAGCCAGTCAAGATTCATATGGCACAATTATCTTTTCATAGTGTAAAGCAGCTGAATAAGCTTTGGAATAACCAATGTCCAACAGACAGCTGACCGGAGTAAATACATGTTAAACAAGTTGACACATCAGAAGTTTTACAGCATTTCTCCTTATTAAATTAATATGTAATATTTATTGTAAGTTCCATAATGTACTTCAAATCCTAGACAAGAATAGTGAAAATAAAGTTACATTAGAATATTCCAATACGATAAATATGTTTGTCATGTTTCTAGAATACTATGTGTCTGAAATAAATATTTCTAAATTGTTTTTACCATGGTATTTTTGTGGACCTTGTGTTTTATTATTCAAAGTGGGTGGATATGATATGATGCTATATACAGATACTCCAGAAGTAAATTCTACACGTTGACTATGTCACACTTGTGCTACCCAATGCCCCTTTTCCAAGCTTGAAGTCTTTACTTTGATGGCATATTCGGCAGTAAATACATACATGTCTTCAGGGCGATAAAGGTTATTTCAGCATTAAATGGGGGTCAATTCCAGAAAAAAATAGAATGGGGATGATTTTATTTATAAATTCATGATGTTATTTATTGAGCTTCAATTTATACCAACTAACACTGTTCCTGTGTGAAGCATCATCAATAGGGGCACTTGCTACGGCATATTAAAGCAGATGCGGAAGCTGAGACAATAAAATGGCCGGCATAGTTTTACTGCTTTGAACAGGCAGTCAAGTTTTTCTACAGATTTACAACTAAAAGAATCCTGTATAAAGCTTAAGTAATGGGGCAAAATAAATAACTGGTAACAGATTTCTCACAATCTCATTAACAATAAATTTTGTGCACTTCTTTGCCCTCAAGATTGTTGTATTTACGGTCCTGCACGCCATTTCACTGGAGTAAATGATGCAATACCTGTTGGTACAATTTATTAGGACAGAATCTGGAAAGCACATTTTTCAAGTGCGTTAATCTCTTTACTTCAACATGAGTGCTGAATGCTGATGCGACTGAGTGGGTATGTTTTCAACTCGGCCATATCACCACTTGAAGGGCACTGTACCAAAGGCAGAGACGGCTCAGGTAGATACCAACCGTTCTGCAGTCAGTATACAGCAGCAAAATTAACTTGATACACTGGAATTTAAATAAGAATTAGTTAGAATTGTTTAAAGAGATATGTTTTTGTGGATAGAGGGATTGGGGGATATGGCGGGTAAATGAAGTTAGAATAGATCAGCCATTATCTTGTTGAATGGCGGGGCAGGCTAGAGGGGCTGAATGGCCTACTCCTGCTCCTAATTCTTATGTTCTTATGGTTTTTTTGAGCCAAGTTAATTGAAATGAAATCTCAACTACTGAGCAGCATGACAAGCGGTTTCCTCAGTACAACCTGAAAACTCAATTCACTGTAGTTCAAACATACATCGCGGCTTCAGACATAACAATGGGTTGCATAAAATATTCTCACCATTTAAAAAATGCTGGTTTTATGAACCACGATCACAAGTACGCATTTCAAAATAACACTAAAATATATATATTTTAAAAATCATGCGGAATGGTGAAAGTTAGAAAATAAAGCTTAACTGATATTCAATATATAAAACTTTAAAAAATTATGCCAATTGTCCACAAAAAAGGATAAACCACGAGAAACTGGAGCAGCATGGTGATGTTGTAAAAATATAAGGACTTGTCTTGGTATTTAAACCAAAGTTCTCATTCTGTGCCTACATTCCCTTAATATTATATTCTCATAAAGCGGAGTAGATGTCAAAACTGCATGTAGTAGCCTGATAAGCCTATATCCCTTTCATTGGATTTCATGTTAAACATGTTCTGTCTATACACTGTAAAAAATACCAAAGTAAACAGAGACTTAAAAGTGACGCATTGTGGAGGGTGTGGAAGAGAGGAAGAGAGTTCATGTTTTATATCAAGGGGATCAGGAGATGCCCATGAGCTACATCTCCATTTGACAACACCCTCCCATGGTTTGTGTACCCAAATCTGCTATCCAGAAAGGTACAGTATTGTGAAGCAATCCGGAAAAGTATTTCCAAAAGCTCAAAAATAAAATGAAGAATTGAATGCCTGCTTAGTTAAGGCTGAGTCATAATCTGCTGTTGAATGTTGTCAACTGAAGTCAACAATTTCATCATCAATGTACAGTATAAACCACAAACCACAGCTACAACCATCCACAGGCATGGTACAAAAACAAAGCACATCACTGATCACTTATATGCTTTCATCTTCATTTACAAACTGCTTAATAAAATGTGATATAAGATATAATATCAAGATTCAACTTATAAGGAGCTTCTTGCACTTTGGGTAAAAAAAGCTAGCGTGAATGTTTTGCTTCTAAAAATAAAAATGATTTGGATACCAAGTTACTTGGATTCAGACTGCATGACTAAGATTTATGATTACTTTTAAAAGAAAAGGCTTTGTCTAAAACGGTTCTAAATTGTTGCCCATGTTAAACCAAAGAGGGAGATGTTTTGTAAACAGTGATGGATAGTCGAGGATTAATATGAAGCGTGGTTGTTTGAACAGACCCCAAACAAAGCATAAGCAGTGGTAAAGTCAGTGCAAAAGGGACCTGGTGAAAGAAAGCGTACCGCATCAAGATCCGGCTTCAATCAACTGGAAAAAAGATCACTTTCCATATTGTCTATAAAAGACAGTAAAATATAGAACACACACAATAATTATTAGCCAAGAACAAACTATGTTAAAATGCCTCAAATGGTAACATGTATACTCATTTTATATAACACTAGGCATCTGCATTTACATTTTGAATGACGAATGTATAAAGTAGTGAATCCGCAGCAAGTATTTGAGGCACAAAAGGTTTTTGTGCAGTATGCATAAAAATAGCATCCCTGTCACGTGCTTCGTAGAGCTTTTCAATACAATCCAAACGCCCCCAGCTTTTTTTATACACCGGAGTTTTCCTCTTCCTCATGGGTCACAATCTTCAGTATATTCCTGCTACGAGTTGCCTCAAGAAATCGGATGCTTGTTCTGACACTAAATCCTCTCATTCAGAATCAAACCCAAATTATCTTCCTTCAGAGCAGTTAAAGAAGTCCAAATGTAGGTTGAAGGAGGTTCGAGTGCCATTGACCAATTGCATTCAGAAGCTGATGCTTCCATCTCACTCCGGGTTTCACTCTCCTCTGTATTGCAGGTAGATCGTTCCTTAAACCCTGCGGGAACTTCAAAATCATTCTTTTTGTCCCTAAATCCTCTTAATGAAACGCTCCATCATTTAGCCATACAACGAAAACAGCCAACGCTTTCCAGCACTGCATTAGCCAACGAGTAGACTCTTAGAGCACGAAAACCGTGAACTTGATAACTTCATCATCCACCGGAGTCAACACAAAACAAAAAAAAAACTAATTTTGCTATGGTTACTTGACCCACAGAATAGGATGCTGAACGACTGAAGTATATCTTGTATTTGTAAATTCAACCCCCCTTTTTCCTCTGCATTCCTCTTATTTCTTTCTAGCAATGAGCCAGGGGTTTCCTCCCTTTAGATAAGGAAAGAAAACAGTAGTTCAGAGGCTGTTGCTTACAACTCCGTTTGGACAAGAGGTTAGTTTTGGAAGCAGTGAACAGTCATTTGACACACTCTATTTAGAACCAATATGAATCATCCTTTTTAGATGGAGATTGGAAGCAATGGTCCGTTATTTGTGATGACAGCAGATAAGGGCATTCCACACACGATTCATCTGTTTTCAGTCCATTTAGTCACAATCCAGATATATGTACGGATGGCACTTAACCATGCAAAAACACAAGCCAATGCAGAGCTCACAGACAGCTCCCGCGGATACATTCTTACATTGCGTTTTTTTTTCACACACACTACAAGTCTCTGACAGAATTGTTATCAGTCCATGTACAATATACAACTTCCTACTATAAATAAGTAGAGAGCAGTTATGTGTTTCTTGACTTTTTAAACAGTTACCACTATAAATACAAAATGTGGAGCATTATATACAAACGTCATGCTTTCTGGTTAGATTCATCACTGCAAAAAAACACAAGACATACAAACATTAAATGAAAGATTAGTATTAACAAATTACATTCGCATACACATCATCTGACTAGCACAGGCATGACGGACCCAATGCCCTCCTTCTGCACTGTAAATATTTGTTTTTTCTATGATTTGGGGAAACCAGAAGAAAAGTGAGGAAAATTAGCCAGAAATATGGTGGCTCAGTGAAATTTGCTTTACTGGCTTCTGATGGGAGAGTCATGGTTTCAGTCTTAAGCCTGAATTACCATTCAGGCATCTCTGCCTACTGCCCATTGAATGGCAATCTGCCAGGATTTGGAGTACATTTATTTATAGAGAGAATATCCACATGGAGCAATGATAAAAAGGAAAAACACCAGACTCAGTCTCACCCTATCATTAAGTCTACCCAGGAATAGTCAGCCTGCACAGAGGTTGAAAGACTAGGATGAGTAGAACAGAAGGAGACGTCCTGGGAGGAATTGAAAACATCAAATAATAGGATTGTATGGATTTGGGAAAATTGAGAGGTTGCAAATTTCTCTGGGATATATTTTTCAGCTCTGTACATTGATTTCACTTCCCCACCCAACCCCCACATGCTCGCATGGGTATATATATATATAGGGGTTAAAAGGATTTATATAAATAAAAGAAAGCAGGAACAGAAGGAAGCCATTCACCCATTTGAGCCTATAACACCAGTTTACTAGACTTTGTCACATCTTTTAATCCTGATGCCCCATTCTAGGATTTATCCTTATTACATCCTTATTTAGAACATACCATTATTTTTCCATCTGTTCACATTTTGCAATGTTAATCTATCATAGTAATCATAGTAATCTTCTCTTTGACCGAGCCTTCAGCTCCCCTCTCGACTCTCTTCCCCCTTCTCGCTCCCTCCCATCCCTCCCCTCACCCTGACCATTTCCCCCCTCCTCGCTCCCTCCCCTCCCCTCACCCTGACCATTTCCCCCCTGCTCGGGTCATGACCCAACTGTGCAGCGCCTTGGGACGTCCTCCTGACGTGAAAGGCGCTTTATAAATGGAATCTTGTTGTTGTTGTTGTTGTTGTAGTTCTGCACACTTGCTTAATCTCTCTATCTCTTTGTTTTTTTGCCTGTCCTCTTCATAATGTACCCCTCTGTGAATATCTTATTTGTCTTCCTCCATTCAAGGAAGTAATCCCATCCACAGAACAACTCAAATCCTAAATGTTTTGTATGATGGAATAATTGCCGGGTGGGGAGGGGGGGGGGTGGGGGTCGGAGATTCCAAAGATTCCAATAGTCCAATGCATTTGATCACAACGCAACATTAAAGCCAATATTGAAAGTAGCATCTGTGTTGGATCAGTTGTGCTTTAAACATTATTCAACTAACAGATCCAATTTGTATTTGATTTGATTTCCATGCAAAAAAGCCATTAAATGCTAAGGAATTATTTTTATTAATAAAACAACTGACCAGAACCATGATAGCAAATACAGTACTGATAAATAATTCTGTTACTGGCATCAATGTATGACAGTACATTAACTGATAATTCCCAGCAATAATGTCACTGGTATATGGAGGGACTTCTGTACCCATTATATGCACAACTGAAAAGAAGTCACAAGTGAATGACCGAGTCTAGGTTTGAACTGATATTTGAAAGCTCAATTTGTTAACATCTTGCTAGTCCTAAGGTTGAGTTGCATCTTGTATTTGATGCTAGGAGTAAGCTATAATATACACAAGATATAGTGTATATCATAAAATATACTTGATCATATTTGTCCAGAAGCAGTTACCTGGAATTCAGAGGCATTTATTAATCCGGGTGCAAGTGAAATGAGCACAAATGAGTTAGAAGTGAAGGAATGATGATCAGTATGATAATCAAATAGGTTTTGGAAGCATGTTGTTGAAGTACATTCTCTGTGCATAATGCACCACTTGTGTATATGAAATCTCAGATTAAATTTTTAATAGGAAATATAACAGATCTTACCTTCTGCCAACAACCTGGCATCGGCAATCCATCTGGGCCCTGTTTTAACGGAGAAGAGAGGTATACTGGATTAGTATCTGTATTATTGCATAATGGGACAGGAATGAACAATGCCAGGATCTGGTGCTCCTATTCCACTACAATAAGCACAAACATTGCCATTAAAACAATCTTAATATTCCCAGAATAATCAGTGGACATTAAGCACCCAAATTTAAACCATGATGTGCTCCATGAAAATGATTTTCTCTTTAGTAAAATCTATATTACGACACAAAGACACAAATGCAATGTTGTCTTAATCTTCAAATTAATCCCATCAGGGGTCATTTTAAACCTTCCATTTGTTCTTGTCCACACTTGCAAAAAAATTCATGCAAATCACAAGACCAAGCCAAATGTTCACACATACACAGAAACATTTGCGTAGAGCAGAACTGTCTATCTTAAACTTAGAAGCCCAGCGCCTAATTTTTCCATTCAGAGTTCTGGTTCATATTTAACCTGCAGGAGATGCTGTCCATTTCGCAATCATAACATTTTCACTTCATGAGTCATTGCGCACCTTTGCTTTTATCATTCTGGGGAGTGAGGGAAACTCATTCTGTTGCAAAATTGTGATTTTATATTATTTTATAAGGATAAGATCTTGGAACACTTTGATGTGTAAACTGACTCAGTTGGTAACACTCTTGCCTCAGGGTCAGAAAGGTGTTGGTTCAACAACAACAAATTATATTTTTATAGCGCCTTTCACGTTGGAAGTACCTCCCACAGCGCTGGACAGTGAAGGGAATCCCTTTGGGAGGATTTGAGCTCATATTTTTACACTACAGTGCAGCATAGGTCACTGCCATCCTTTTGTCTCATGTGGGCATTGCTGTGAGATATATGGACATTGCAGATATAATAAAAAAGTAAGCTCTTTCTTCCTTTACATCAAGAGCAGCATGCAAGGGCATGATTAGAAAGGAATATAATTGTATTGCAGATTTTGTTGATGATACTTATATTTTTTACAATGTATTAATGAGAATAATGTTTGAAATGTGAATGTAGCTTGTCCAATGATTCAGTTAGATGAAGCTAGTGTCCAGGGCAGCACTGAGTCATATAGTGAGTCCTGTTCCAAAGCCATGTCTGTGTTGAGTATCATTACATGTGGCATCGGAGTCCCTGGGTTAGAGCGGTGAAAATCAGCCAGGTCTCCCAGTCTTGACAGCTATCCAGAGTCCCTGAAGGAAAGATTGTGTGTGTGGAATGGACATTGAGTGAGGACAGGATTGAGCTTGGTTGTGATGCCTCTCACAGATAAAACAGGCTGCCAACACTCCCTTTGGAGCTCACACTTGAATTATGGTCACTTGGATGAGAGGTGCCTGGCCACATGGAATGGTTCCACGTTGGAAGCAAAAATTAGTCAACCGCCTTCAGAGTAGTAGGAAATTGTCCTACATTACTGAAGGATAGCACACCCTGAAGAGAGAAAATAATTAACTGCTTGGGAACACTTAAGATTTTGTGAAGGTATGCAGAATTTATAGATTCTTAAGATGAAAGACTAATTTTTATTTTAAATATTTAAAATTGTTTTGCGTTTACTTTCCAATGTTATGAGACTGAGTCCTAATTTCAGAAGAGGGTCCTATAGTTTATTTTCTTTTTATATGTGTTTTAACTGTTATGTAATGGCTAAATTCAGTGAAATCTTTACATATATTATATTTAAAATGGAGTGGAATGATATCTAAGTTTGAAAAAACATTATCAATTGTTTCGGAATATAAACATGATATTGAATATAAAATAATGTTATAAATGTTAATAGTACTTAGCACATAAACCCAAATATCTCATTCCCTACATCAATATTATCTCTGTTAGCTTTTGTTCTATGCAACTGGAATCAGCAATGGACCTTAAGAATAAGAACTCATTACTGATCAATAAATAAATAAATACATGTGAATGTAGCTTCTAACTCATTACATTTTAACTCATCATGTAATTTACAAGGCATTATTATTAAATACTCTATATATTTTGCTTGTTTAATTTAACAAGATATTACTGATCAGTAAATAAACAATGTCTATATTCTAATTCATAATGTAAGTTACAAGACCATACTTATCAATAATAATCCTTGCATTTGATATAGCATCTTATTACATCTTCGAGACATCTCAAAACGCTTCATAGAATATACTGTAAAGTGAATTGACTATATTTTGTGGGTAAAACACAGCAGGATCCCACAAACAGTCGTGGATTGAAGTGACCAATTTATTATTATTTTTTTTGAAGGAATTATTACCCCAAAAAAAGCAATCCGCCAATCAACTAACCACTGGGTTCCTACTTACTGCTAGGTAAACAGAGACACAGAGGAAACTTGTCCAATATTTCACCCTGCCGGGAATCGAACACAGGTCTCCTCCTTGTGAGGCGAGTGCTCTAATCACTGAGCTCCATGAGTAGATAAATATAACACACATTTTAAGAACCACGTACATTTTGCTGTATGTAATTCTTACAATAACAAACATTTGGCAGTAAATTCAATGCAGACTCTGCCATTGGTGCTGTTCTTAAGACATTAAAGCTTCATAGTTTATCATAATATCAGAATTCATAGATTGAACCCTGGCTTGTAGCTCACTATCCATTATCCTATATTACTGCAATAGCTTAATTATAATGTCTGACAAGCTTGTCTAGATTTTGAATTCTCTCATTTAGCATCATATTTAGACTAGAACTATAATGTTCTACAACCTGGGATATTACCATATTTCAATGAATACTTTCACCTTTTTAACTGGGATGAAAGGTCATAACCTTGAAATAACCAGATCCAACACACAAAATAGCATAAGTTTTCAAGAAAAAATGTTTACACAGCAGCGTTGGGGGATATTTTCATTAAAATGTCAAGTTCAATCCCATTCAATGTAGTTTGCTATTAAATACTAGAATTACTTTTGTGGTTTCTCATCTTTGAAACAACATAGATTTCCATAATGTTATAGTTATTTGTTTTAAAACAAAAATCACAATGTTTATTATTCTTGAATAGAACCAATACGTCTTCATAAAGCTGTATATTGCCTTATTGGTACAATGGAGGTGAGGGATACAACAATCTGTTATCTGTATCACAAAGGAGTCAGAGGTTATGTTAAAAACTAAGGAGGGTTTGGGATGAAATATAAGAATTGCATTGTTTAAAAGCTGAAGTGTTTGGGAAGTGAATTGTAATTTGTTAAGGAAAGCAAGGAGTCTGAAGTTATATTAATAACCAGCAAGGACTTGATTGTGTAGGCCTAGAAGAGCTGAGATAAGGGAAGAGACTTTTGTTATAACTGGTACTGTCAAAGGGATAGGAAGCATTAGGAAGGTGAAACTGGCATATTAGAATCAAAGACCTGAAAACTCCCACAGTCATAGCCGTAAGTACTAGCAATTAAGTTTGTGCAGAAGTTTGGAAAATTCTTAAATTTAGTCTTAATTTTGAAGCCATTGTTCTGGGATGTTAAACAAAGCTTCCAAATTACAACTGAGTTGAAGAATTTTGGAAAATTCAGCACAGTCTTGAATTACATAAGACTTGGGGTTAAGATCATGAGAAATTTCAGGCGTCAGGAGATCACTTCCAGTGTCAGGAACACAAATTCATACCGTCATTAATTCACATCACTCTGCAGCTATCTAACTAACCTTTCTCATGAACCTCATATCATGCAGTCATAGCTTATTGATTAGCCAATGGTAATTCAATGTAATGATTGCTTCTATATTTTCTAACATTTCATGTAAATTGAGATTCTGAACAAAATTTTCCAAAATAGAAAGAAGATGTTGTATTCCCATCAATTCTAAATTACAACAAGCAGCCACTGATCTGATCAAAAATAATTACATTTTCCTGAAATATCTTGAATCTCTATCTAAACCATAATGTGGCCAAATATCCATTGCCACAGCATGTTTGTTTTGATCTGAATCGTCTTTTCTCAGGCCGCTTCCAAACTATACAGTGGTAAGCTGCCTGGGGTATCAGAATAATCCAGTTGATTTGTGGATTTGAATTTCCCTCCCTTTCTGCTGAAAGCACTTTGGCTCACTTATCCTTATTCTTCCACATTCTCACACACAGTGCCCCCATTAAACTGACCATACAAGTTGCTGTCCCACTTTGCTATATCGGAATACTTTTCGGATATAAGAGTTTCTGATATAAGGCTATTACAAATGAAGCCAGCAACCCTCTTTACTTAGTTTTGTAGATTCAGTGGAAAACAACATCAAAAACTAATTTCTTGCAAATGGCACTCCATGTGGAATCCTTCTCAAAATCCCCAGCTTCTGCACATTTTAATAAGGAGTTAGAATACTCAGACAATCTGTTAATTATTGCCTAATTTTTTTAATTATTTTTGTTTTTAGTGTTATTATTGTTTTAGTTGTTTTTAGTGTGAAGTAAGGTGAAGCAGTCACCTCCTTCATCTGAGCAAATGGCCATTTTCTCACTTAAATTCTGCTCTGCTCTCTAAACATGGCAAATTCTTGGAAATGCAATGGACTATTCTGCTCCATTCACTAAATTCTGCGAATGTTTCACTGTACGCTTATAAACAACTGATCAATTTTATAAGTTTTATATGCTGGAGTCTTATTTGCAGTATTTTTTAAAAGAATTTATTATATCTTTGTGTATATCCACTCACAATACACTTGTCACAGATTTTCCCAATAATTCCCATTTTGTGCTAAATCTGAATGGGTTATATATCAAAATCACATTATATATCATGATTAGTTTGAATACGTCAATCATTAAATAACAAGCACACTCCTGTTACACTGGGATTTGTTTACTGAGGAAGGTAATTCATGCACGTGCATACAACCCGTAATGCAAAAGGAATGAAACAGCCATTTTGCATTATGACAGATTGTTCAATAAAAGACTACATGCAGGGTTGGTAGGAAAGAGAATACTGTACCAATTGGCAAGGGGCATCCAGCCCATCCAGGCCAGGCTGACCTGGCTCCCCCTTTTCCCCCTTATTGCCTCGGAGACCCTGTTTATTGGAATTAACTTGCATTGTTATTGACCGATGAACTGCTCTGCCTGCTGAGAGGCCAACACTTGACAATTTACAAACAAGAGAGAGGGGCAGCAACTGACTTTAAAGACAAACTATGTAGAGAAGTATTTTCATGACACGAACCAAGTTGGAAATGCACACTTACTATGAAACTGAGCATCCATTCTTCCTATTTTCAGATTTAAAGTTTCAGTGAGGCCAAAGCTAAGAAATGAATGCTCACTTTGTAAAATGTCCATATATTTCCCATCTTGTATCGCATACACACAAGTTTTATGTTTCAAATGAGAAAAGGGAGGTTTTCGACAAAAATACAATATTGGAAATATTCTTTTTTTCTGATAATAAAAGATCTGAAATGGCAGAGTTCAAAACTGAACATCTCATGAATATTAAAAATTCAATAATAGTAAGGCGACAGAAAAAACAACCCATTTCCACATGTGAAATGGCTCATGTTACTCCTTGGTGAGTTCATTGCGCTCAGTGTAAAATGAATGAACTCTTAGTAGTAAATAACATCTCAGTACTAATTAACACTGTATGGGAATATTAAAGAATATGTGCCTCTCTCTTTTGCTTGACTTGAGATGACTGATTACTTTATTCACAGCAGAGACATACCAATGGGCAAGGTGCATCTAATCCAGGGGCACCCTGTTCTCCTTTCTCCCCCTTAGGCCCTTTTTTGCCTTTCTTTCCCTTTTCCCCCTGTGGACACAATGGTTTGGTCAACAAAAACAACTATTTTATTGTGAACTCACACACTGCTACACGTTACTGTACATTACTTCAGCCAATTTGAAAGCTTGGGGGGGGGATAAAAAAAATCTGAAAAAAGGGTAATAATGAGTTTGAAATAAAAAAAGCGTACAAACCATAAGGTTAAGAGGAACAAAGGTACTGTAGTGAGGGAAAGGAACGGTATTAGAAAATACAAAGGAAATTAGTGAGGTAGCAGGAGCATGTAGGAGCAAGTTATATTCAGAAATTACAAGATAATATTACAACTTTTTGATTCTAGGAGTCAAATTAAGGGATAACGGGCCTTTAGGCAAGAACCAATATGCAAAGGTTTCAGGGGGCAGAGGGGAAGGAGAAGGGAAGGCACCTCCAGGAAAGTGAAGCATGCTTCAGTCTAAGCCACGCGAATAAGCAAGGAATATAATTATTATAGAGGCATTATTCCTTTGTGTTTACCTAAGAAGGCAGTAGCCAATAATTACTAATAAGTCAATCCTTATTCAGGAGGTTAGCATGAGCAAATATACAAAAATAGTGCCTCTACAAACTAGAAATACTCACAATAAATTGTGCAATTGAAAGCAAAATGGAAATCAAATATTTTCATTGGATAATGCCAAATACAGCTCTCCTCTTGTTATGAAGATATTCAACTAAAGTCTGAGTGCCAGTGATATACATATACTATACCAGTGAACCAATCAACTCAGAAAGGCATTAGATCAACTGAAGTAGATTTGTTTTGTTTCAAAGGCGTACAAAATGAAAGTCATTTAATCTTCAAAAGCTATATGTAGTATAATCGAAGGTTTGACTGAACTTTTATTTTCGCATAACTCTGGCAATAATATGTTATAGTCACATGTTTCACTGGTAGAGACAAATTTTACTGTTGCTGGATACTTCATGCAATCTGTGAAACAAATGAGATCAGACTCATCATAAAATATCCAGGAGAGCTGTAGATGGCACACACTCAGAACTATTGAAACATAACTTATACAGTGTATAGAAGAGCTGTGGTTGGATGCAATCTACAGAACAGGTGTGGATGAAGAGTGCATGCAGGCCACAATTGACCCTTGGATGGATAGATCATGCAGACTATAGGAGAGGGATGGGTGGCACATGCAGGGTACATGAAAGCTGAAGATGGGTAGTGCATGAAGAGTACAAGAGAGCTGCGGACAGTTAGAGCTCTGCACGTAAATATTGCCATAGTTAATTTATAAACATATTCTGATGCAAACAAGAGTAACTTCATTATTCCTTTTTACTGTTTGCCAGCAGATGTTGCTGAGGGCTAATATTGACATTACTTTGCCACTATTAGCAACATATTGTGCTTTGCGAATTTCTATAAATGTGGGTATCTTAGGTTTAGTGAACAAAATATTTCAATCTTCAATTCTTAAAGAAAAAGTTGATTTACAATTAAACAGAAATGGGCAAGGTAGCGATTCGGAGGAATAAAATGCAAAAAAGTGAACAATTCCATTGGTCTGGAAACCTGATCCACTTTGCTATAGAATGCACAAATACAGAATATTTCAGCTCATTTACTCTTGCTACTTTACTCTTTTGTTTTGGTCAGCCTGATTCAGCCTGTCCAACACACACAAATATCCAATCATTAAATTTAAGAGCATCCAAACCAAACTGAGTTCCACATATGGATGGACATTTCAGTTTGTCTGGAATGGAATGCGTATTCACTCAACAAAGAAACACACTCTGCTCACCAATCCTGCAAAGTGTTTTAGGCATAGGTTGGTGAAAGTTAAGAACTGGGGTCCCTAGAGTGTTTGTTGGAGTATTACTGGCGCTTGGTGTTGTGAAAACTGCCCGGCAAGCTTCCTGCTGCTTATCTAGATTGGGACTCCCTACGCATTGGAGTTTGGGTTTGCAGGGTTAGCAGGAGCTGAGTGGGAAAAATCCCTCCTGTATTGACTGCCCTAATCCTCCAAGATAGGATTGGGTTTAACTGTGCTGCCACCCACAATTGAAGTGTCTGTCAGAGTTCACCATCAAGGTACACACAGGAATAATGGCAACTTAGGTGAAGTACCAGGTACCTGCAGAACTGTATTCAGGGAGAACAATGAGAAATTAAACTGTCTTCAGGAGAGAATGGGGAGGGAGAAAATTGGAGCAGAGAAAAAAAACAAGTCCTACTCACAGAATTGAAGACTGAATAAATTACTGTATTTGTGACGAACATTTTTATCATTATTCCACTCTGTGATTTTCAGCCCTGCATTGTACAACAGCCAGTTAAATCTGCCTGACTGTATATCAGACATGTATAATACATAGAGACTATATCACTTGTTGTATTAACCAAAATAGAATCAAAAAGGAATACTGCAGTTTTATGCAAATCTGGTTGTCATGCAACCAGATCATTTCATTTCAACAAACAATGAAATAAGCTATCATAAGATATATTCATATAATACAAAACATTCATACAATACACAGACATATTCATATAATATGAAGATAGACAGAGAAGCACTGACATGCAGCACACAGATATATTCAAGCAATAACACAATCATGCAGTAATTCAGATGCATGCTTTCAATTCACAGATACATTCATGCACCAATGTATCAATAAATATACAGCAATACACAGTCACACAATGTTCCAATACAATCTATCAAGTATGCAACCATACATACATACACACACACACACCAGTGTGGTCCAACTGTTTGGCTGCAGTGGGCCGGATTCCTTATTTGAGGAAGGTCTGCGGGCCACTTAAGCATTATTTTGTTTCCCTTCCAGAGACATAGCCTTTTCATGTTGGAAGGGGGTCTCAAAGTGCTCAATACTGTCTGCTGGACCTGAGTTGGGGGTGGGAGCTGAGAGAGGTGGGGAAGGGGAAAGATGACCGAAAGCCTAGTCAAAGAGTTAGGGCTTGACATGCCTTCAAAGAGAGGAGGGAGGGAGCGAGTCAGAAGGACTCCGGGAATGGAGCTACAGAGAGCGAGGGCAAAATGACGATTGTGGAGCAGATGGGGTGGGGGGACATGAAGCAAGCTGGCGTTTGTGGGCAAAGGGAATGGCCAGGTCAGGAGGTCACAGAGGTAGGATGTGGAGGGGGGATGAAGGACATAGAGAAGTATTTCACTGGGGGAGAGTTTCTGTGAGGAAACTGCACGGTACGTCACTCAGTGTCTGTCCTCTCTTTCAATCAATCAATCAATCAATCAATTAATCAATCAATCTCAATCCCCTCTCTCCCCCCTCCCTCTCACACACTCTCTCCCCCCACACACTCTTTGCCTCTCACTGCAGCAGTGGCGGGAGCTGGCATTTTGGAGGACACTGAGCGGGGAGTGGAAATAAGAGTGTGTGGCATTATTGGCACTCCCCGTTCTGTGTCCTCCCAACCACCAACTCCTGCCACTGCCATGAGAAGATCGTTCACTGGGAAGGAGGCTAGTGAGTGGCCCGAAGTTGGAAATGGTCTCGGGGCGGAAAAAATCACTCACCAAGCTGGATGCAGCCCACTGGCCACCTGTTGGACCACACTGCAATCTATGCACAATCATACAGCAATACCTAGATACATTCATACACTACACGGATACAATCATATAACAATACACAGATGCAATCATGCAAAACACAAATACAATTATAGAACAATACAGATACAATCATACAACACACAGACACAATAATACAAGACACAATCATAGAGCAACACACAGATACAATCAGACAACACACAGATACAAACAGACAACAATACATAGGTCAGGAATTGCACCTTTTCTCCCCTTTCTCCTCTATCTCCTTTTTCTCCCTGATGGCCTGAGAAGCCCTGAAAGTAAAACATTAAATGGATTAACGACCAAATTATCTTCCCAAAGCAGTATGAAATCTATTGTATTCTTTTGGAATATTCTTCATCACAGTTAGCACATCTTTATATATATTTCAATTCCAGTTCCAGCTAGATATTTATTCAGTTCTTTTCTGAAGGAATTGAGGAATATTAAGCACCTTAGGATACCCTGCTATATAAATGTAAATTTGTATTTGCACTAATCATGGCAGCAGTGTCTGTGTTTGTTGGGAGCTTGTTCCAACTCTACTCTATTTAAGAACTGCAGAAAGTCAACTTCCAAATTAAGACTGAATTAAACCTTTTTCCCAAATTCTGCACAATCGTACATTTTAAGACAAGGTTAAGAACATGACGAATTTCAGAACTCTAGTACCTTCTCAGTCTGTTCTGTTGGGAACAACCACCTAGCCAACAACAACTTGTATTTTTATAGTACCCTTTACGCGGGGTAGTGTCCCAGTGGCGGAGTCTGACACTGAGCCGGGAAGAGGGAGGGGGAAGGTAACACCATAAGCACGATCAAAAGGAAGGTCTTTAGGTGGGATTTGAAAGTGGGGCGGGGGCAAGGCAGAGGGATTGAGGGAGAGAGTTAAAGTTTCAAGACGTAGTGGCTAAAGGCACTGCCACTGATGGTGGAGCACAGGGGACGAGGGACAAACAAGAGGCTGGAGCCAGCGGGTGATGGAGTAAGGGATAAGCAGATCGGATAGGTAGGGAGGTCCAAGGGCATGAAGGGATTTGAAAAGGAGTGAGAGGATCTTGAAATCAATCCGTTCGGTAATTGTGAGCCAGTGGAGCCTGACAAGGACTGGTATGATGGGGGTACTGAGTTTTGTGCAGGTGAGTATCTGGGCAAACTATCTAACGTTTAAACTACGGAAGCATAGTACTATTGCTGGCAACGTAGCCTAACACAATCCTGAGTAATATATTCTTACATATACAGTATACCAGTCTCTTAATTTTAATTTAGCTTTGGAACTGCAAAATAATTCCCATAGACCCTCCTGCCAATTGTGTGTTTCATCATTCCACTGAATAGTCTCTCATCCACAGCCTTCAATCTGTGGCATGTCAGCCCAGTCTAATGCTCAGGAGTTAAGTTTCATTTTGCTGTGCCTCTTACATAATTGTAGCTGGTAGAAAGCGAGTACTGTATATGGGTGTAATTTAATCTCAGGTTTCAGATGAGCTGTAAACAAGTTGAGCTGCACTGGTGTGATTTATAGTGTGAGCTGAGACCCTGGAATAAATAATGCACTCATTACCAACTCCCAACCATCTTGAGTTCAATAAGTAATCCAAGCTGTGTGAAGCTGTCCCATTCCATTTCTGCAGCTTGCGCACTGTGAGCACACTGACAATCAGTTTACTTACGGGCAAACCTGTGGGGCCCCTTGGCCCCGGGTCACCACCTACTCCCTTTTCACCCTAAAAACAAAAAAAAGTGATCACAATTATAAACAATCCTGGATTTCAAGATCTTTGGTTTTGCTAAGTAACCACAGCCACAGAAACCACTAAGCATAGCAAGTCCTGTGGGATATGGCAAGTTTAGAATCTTGCTGGTAACATAGTCTAACATAATCCTGAGTAATATATTCTTATATATACCCCACTCCCAATAATAGCTTTAGCATCTAATGGAAAATAACAGCTGAAGTGAAAACCATTAATGATTAAGTCAGTTTGCCATAATATTCTTGATATTGGAAGCTATTTTTCACAAAGGAGATGATAACTTCAGAATAATTCACTAGTCAGAGAACATACCGAGTTGGAGTGGTAGTCAGGATGACATTTAAATAGTCTAGAGGGCATATATAATATATATATATATAGTCAAATCAAATGCAATTACCATTATTATTACTAATATTTTTGTCTCTTTAATCTAGCTGGTAATTATCAGAATTCCACCTATCTGACAAATTGAGCAGAAAATGGTCCTATTTTAGAGAAACAAAAAAATGTTTGAACATGCTAAAATGATCTGTAGCCTCGTGCAACCTGTTTGACTCCATTGTCTCTGTAGTGAAGTATGTTGCAGATAAAAGAACAATGGAGCAGCTGGGCTTGTATCATGGATCTGGGACCAATTTTCAATTAAAATGAACTAAACTTCGTCAGTTCAATATGGGATGTTTGTTATCACAAGAGAGAAAAAAGCCCTTCAGCCCATTTGAACTCATCTTTCTAAAATATTCATCCTACCATCTTCCAAGCTGTTTCTTAAATGAATCCAGTACACAGACTTCTATGACCTTCCTGCGGTAACCCATTTCAGTTGTTGATTTCCTCTATGTACTTTGCATCTGTCATAAAATTTCCATTCACAACTCCGGAAAGCTGTGCTCTTTTGTTCTTTTTTGCATATCTGAAAGCATTATTCTGGGTTTACTTTCTGCACCCCATTTAGTATTTTAAATGCCTCTATAAGTTCCTTTTGAGAAATCTCTTAAAAGGCTGAAGAGCCTTGGTTGGTCATTATAGCTATCATCTAACGCAAGATCAGCTTGGTTGCTTTCTTCTGGACTGCCTCTAGGACTTGATCCCTTATCTTGCAGCAAACAAAACTGTACACGACTACAGGTATGTACCTTGGTTTCTAGGGATCTGAACTCAAGTGATTTGGTCATATCACTCTACAACTCTTTGGTCTCGTTTATTGCTTCCTCACACTGTTTGGCCATGCTGGGTCAACTAAAACCCCTAGATCTATTTCAGCAACCCCTTATTAAATCTCGTCACATCCATGGTGTATATATGCCTCCTATTGCTATCCTATAAGCATAATGTTACATTTATCTGTATTGAAATTAATATGTAAAACCTGATCTCACATTTGTTTCAATTGAGATTTTGGATTGCATGAATGCTTTCAAATCTGCAGTTGCTACACAGTACTCCAATGCTACAATAAAATAACAATAATCATCCTTGGCATTTGATATAACGCTTTTCCAGTCAGTCGGATGTTTCAACGTGCTTCTCAGAGTTTACTGTAAAGTGTACTTACTGCACTATTTTGTAGGCGAGCCATAGCATACAAATGATATATAGGTTCTAAACTAAGAGTTAATAAAGCTGCCTGTCTACTTCCCATAAAAAAGCATTAAAAAAATTACCAAAAATACTTTTTTTTATCCTCCAAATTGTCTTCCCTTTCCTAAAGACATTGACTCCTGCTTGGGCACAGTTCAGTAGGTGTTGGGCACCTTTTCTGATCTCACCCAAGTGGCTGTTCTTTCTGTTTTTCAATAGTGATCAGGGATGAATTTCAGATGACGTTTTCCCTTCCTAGCCCAAAGTACAACAGCCAAACTCTGGTTAAGATCAGCTGATTCAGTACGTATCCGGGATTTAACCTAGGAACTTCTGTCTGCATGTGTATAGCTGAGTTTCATCCTAAGCAATGCTTTTATCAACGTTGCCAGCAAGAAGGAAACTTGCACTGTTTCCATTCTAGGTCAAAGCTTTGGAATGTCGGAAGCAAAATAATATTGGATGGGCAAATTTCCCTGAAACAAGATCTTTGACTTCCTGAAATGCAATTTCCTGCAATCTGTTAGCCATTTTAGACCACTAATCCTGCCAGAAAAATAACAACTAGAAATGGAAATGTAGCCTTCTCATTTAAACAAACACTTGCTAAGTATATACGACACTTACTCTTATTCGCTCATTAATTTTTTACCAAGCCCTGCACTGTTTAAGTCAGTCAGTGATGCGTTTGCAGCCCATTCCCCCATTTGCTGCTTTACAAATATTAAGCTAGTACACAGACTCCTATGACCTTCCTGCAGTAACCCATTTAAAGTTAAAGTTAATTTTAGTAAATTTAATGCTGTAAAGCTGTAAGCAAATGTTTTCTATGTACAAAGCAACTAAAATACAAATTGCTTTATAGATATGTGTTTGTTATTTATGTTTTACTCAAATAAAGCGTTTTTTTTTTAAAAACTTGCAACACTGGTCTGTTTTTCATTCCGATTAGTGATTAGATCAAATAGTTAGGGGAAGAGTCATCACCACAATGATATAAACCTTCGTTAACCATTATTTATCTCCCAGAATACATCCCAAATAAACACTTCTGCAGTTGTTAAACTTTGCCACCTTTTGGAAGTAGGTAGTTACTATTCTCGGATTGTATTGGGCTGAGAGTACACAGCAACAAATTGCATTTTACATAAGGTAACATACCCCGAGAGCTTTAAAATGACTTGGGTGGACACCAAACAAGGAAGAGGGGGTAGAGGGAAAGGGAGGTGGCCATAACTTTTGTGTGCTGAAAGGCTATATTTTGAGGTGAGACTTAGAGACAGAAAGGGATGAGGCGCGATGGAGTGGTAGAAGGAGAGAGTTCCATGGGTTAGGGGTGTAGGAACTGATGGATCGGCTACTGATGGTGCAATGGAGAAGGCGGAAAAAACATCCAAGTTAGCTGAAAGGAGGGGGCAAGCGAGGAGAGGGACAGAAGATCAGAGAGTGGGTCGTTATGGAGGTAGGGTCGAGGACCTTGAAATTGATCCATGAGGCAATGAGCATATAAAGTTTGGTGTGGGTGAGGATGCGAGCAACTGAGCTTTGGATGTGTTGCAGCTTGCGAATAGTGGAGCTAGGGAGACCAAGGAGGAGTGCCTCAGAAAATGCTAAGCAGAATATGGCAGGGGTGTGAATAAGTATTTCAGTGGCATGGGCTGTGAGCAAAGATCATAAACTTACTAATAAAATGAGAATAACCCTCTTGAAATCAGACAAAACACTGATTGTGAAAATGCTTTAAAACTTCAGATGCCATTGTTTAAACAGAGATTTAACATATAAACTGATTAGTAAAGCATACTAGGCCCCACTTAACCTGGGGAGAGTGTGAATTTCCCTTTTTTTGGCTGATGAAAGCCAGAAAATATATCAAATAAATAAATCTCTTTAAAGACACCCAGGTGACCAGAAAATACAATTGAAAGATCATCGGATTGAAACAAACACTGTCACGTTTTCTGGAAGAGGACAATTCCACTTACCTGGAGAGGATTGCTCCACCTGCTGGTAGTTATCAAACATTTAACACAACAAATGCCTTGAATGTACTTCAAATGTTACTCCAATCTGACAGAGAGCTTGGAATTGTTGCAATAGACCAGATATGAATACTTGGCTCTGCTAACAATACACAAGTACACATGGTCGGTTTCTCCCCACCACAGCCCCCATCATATGAGTGCGTTTCTGTGGAGGTCTGGTTGTCAAGTGCAGCAGGGAATGGTGACAAATTGTATAGCCAAGAATATAGGGCAGCCCTATCCACTCAGCACAGCAGCCCTCGACTGTAGTGCTAGGATTAGTATTAATTGCACTTGTAGAGATGTTTAGTCTTCCTAGACATAGAGCATCATCTGAATCAGAGCTAAAGAGGGAAGAAATCAAAAAGGCAAAGAAGTGTTCTGCAAAAACCACAGTGACTACACTGTACAGCAGTTTTAATAGATACAATATTATCATCTGTGTATTTTATTTTGCATCATTGGACAGAAATGTCTTTAATTTAAAAAATACAAGTGTAGAACCCTATAAGTAACCAGAAGTCTATTGTCAACTTCATGTCAAACCATGGGAATTCTGCTCTGATAGGAATTGATTCAAAAGGAATTTCTGTGAGTCAACGTGATGTAGATGCTTCATTATTTCTACGTACATCTGTTGATTTTATTTCTAGATGTGCTTTATATACTCTCATGCTCTATTAGTTGATATATTTGTATCTTGTTGCAAAATTTCTCAATACTTACTCTATCCCCCTTCGGACCTGCTGGACCTGAGGGACCCATTGGACCATCCATACCCTGGTGAACACAAAGAAAACAGTTAACTGTGGTGAAAGTTCCCTACATCTATTGATGAAATAAAAGACTTCTCTTTCCTGGGGGAAACAGACAAGGACATTTCACACATTTGTGAATATTATTCCATCACTGGCAATGTACATACTGGAGGTTGTCCGATTGATAACACAAAACAACTTCCAAAATGACAGAGGCAGCAAGAAGGGTCGAACGGCTCAATGTTTGCTCATTTGCACAATTCTTTTTGCACTTTGTCAACTTTTCGCAACCCAACTTGTGGTACAGTTAGTAGCAAATGGATGGACCTCTAGCTAAAGAAGGTACAGCCTTGGCACACCACACTTGCCTGTAACCACAACCCACTGAAACATCAGCAGTCTACATTCACCTTGGACCTGCTCCAATTCACACTGGTGGTAGGTTTGTTAATTTCAGGAGAACGTTGCAGCCATCAAGGGAAATCCCTGATGAATTCAAAATATAGATTTAAGATGTTTTTTTCGATTGGCATCCAATGTAAAAGGCAAATTGCATTTGTTCTTTCCTAAGACACTGACGCACTTTATTTCTCTCTGTGAGTTTACCTTGGACTAATGTAGCATACTGACCGGAGTTAAAAGGGGGGGAAAAAAACAGGTAAACTTAACCAAGTGAAGAGGACTTATTAGCACCTCCTGCTGGCGTGTGAACAAATCATGCACAAAGAATGGAGTGAGTATGAAGGAGGGGATTATGAGCACACAGCATTGACTAACTTCAGTGGACTGCCAGCACCAAGCAGAAAGAGGATAGTCAAAAGAAAGGATAAGGAGTACTTTAAGTACAAACGTGACTCACTCACCGGCGGTCCTGGCTGTCCATCTAAGCCAGATGCGCCCTGCATGATTTGTGTCATTAGAAGGGTGGGGTAAGAGGAACACGATTTTAGTGTACGATGGTTAATGATCAAAAACAACTTCACACAAATGAAATTAAGGTGGGGTCCCTGATTCAGTCGTGTATTAAATACAATCACAGACACAACAGGCCTTAGCACAAAAAGTAATGTATCATTTAGTGGTAACGGAGAACAGATGACATGAAGTTATAGAACATTGTGGTTAATTATCTAAAATTGATCTAAGTGAGAAGTGTGCTGTGGACTATTATTAAAAGAAGCCCTGTTCAAGAAAAATGCAGCATCTCAGGCCCATCTGGTTGTGTTGTGTGCAACAAGAGCACTTTCCTAATACACTGTGCCACTCTCTCATTGCACAGCCTTGGCACTCCAGCTACTTCCGTCATTTCTATGAGAAACTATTTCCTTTCTTTTGGAGGTATGGAAAAGTCCATAGTGAACCAAGCTAGAGTGATCATACCTGCAGCTTCACAGAAACAGAAATATAGTGTGAGGCAATACAATACCTTCACAAACACGGTTTCCCAATGGGAGCAAGGCCAACATGCTTCATATTGCACTAGTTGCATTCAATCCAGCGTTACAGCAGAGGGAAAGGCAACTCACAAACTACTGTCATATGGGGGTTGTCATGTGATGATCATTAAATGTGAACTTTTCATGCCTTGTTTATTTTCTCAATCAGCATCTAATAGACCCATTAAACCCAACCCAAATTTACTCCTTATTCTTAAGCATTGCAAATAGCACAAACATTGAGAATGATTAGATTGTAAACTAGGGAAAGAAAGATTGTCTTTGGAATTTTAGGTTTTAGGTATGCCACAATGGTGGAAAATAGTGCACAATGGCTTAAAACCTACAATGCTTCTTAACCCATTTTTGTGTTCAAAGCAGAAGAAATTGGCATAAAGGAACAGTGAACTTTGTTCCTTTTCCTCAATTCACACTCGTCTATACTCAGTGCTTCTGGCCTCTGATCACCACAGATGCTCCTCCCAATCAACCACTTCATTGCCAATGAAAATAAAATATAGGAGTCTGACTTTATGTAGTCGGTTTCCTGAAATAGGCTGCTCGAACATGGCTGCAGCTCCAAATAAGCAGTTTTAAATCAGAATAGAGATTCCTAAAATCCAGTCTGGGAGCTGCTCGTTTTTTACAGGTGTTAAATGAGGAGCGGTAGTGTTAATCAAGGTAAAGGAAACAAATTTGAAGTGTTTCCTAAGAGTTCTTTGTGCCAATTTATATAAGGAATGGGTTAAGAAAATACAATTCAGTTTACATTTATATAATGCATTTCACGTCCGGAGGAAGTTCCAAAGCACTTCACACCATCAGTGGTGGGAGAAGGGTGGGATCTGAAGAGAGTGGGAAGGAGAAAGATGACTGAAAGCATGAGGTAAGTATTGAGTAGGGCTTTCAAAGTGGGGAGGGAAGGGGTTATGTTTGCACCGTGTTTAAAAACTACATGGCGTCTCAGAGCACTTGACAGTGGCAGAGCCTAATGCGGGAGGGAGGAGGTGATCGTAATCACAATCGAAGAGTAAGGTCTTCAGCCGTGATCTAAAAGACGGAAAGAATGGGGCAAGGCAGAGGGATTGGGAGAGAGAGTTCCAAAGCTTCGGGGTGTAGTGACTGAAAGCGCAGCCGCCAACGGTGGAGCAGAGGGGATGAGGGACAAGCAGGAGGCCAGAGCCAGTCGAGCAGAGGTAGCGGGTAGCGGAGTGTGGAGAAAGTAAGTCAGAAAGGTAGGGAGGTGCCAGGGCATGGAGGGATTTATAGACAAGTGAGAGGATTTTAAAAGAGTAGCAAGTAAGTGTCCTAAAATTAAGAAATTAAGTTTGATTGAGTTACTAGTGCTGAAATGGTGAATGAGAGGTCAAGTCTTGAGGACAATTTTATAAAATGAGCAACTAGTATAAATGCCTTAGGGAGATAATAATAATTCTTGCATTTGATATAGCTCTTTTCACATCTTCTAGACTTCTCAAAGCGCTTCACAGAATAGAATGTTAAGTGAATTGACTGTATATTTGTGGGCGTAATTTCCGGCAGCCAATTGCGTACAGCAGTGTCCCACAAACAATAGTGGATTGCAATGACCAATTTATTATTTTTTTTGAGGGATTATTATCAGGCGTGTGGAGTAAGGAAACTTGCCCATGGTTTCGCCCTGCCAGGAATTGAACCCAGAGACATCACAAGGCAGAGAATAATGTTCATAGAATGACAATGAGGGGTGTTAATTATTTAGGATTTTGATGTGTGCTCTGCATTCTGCAGAACTGATTGGAAACACTAGCACATTTGTGATTAAAAAGATCTGTAAAAGGCAATATAAATAAGGCAATTGGACAAATACTGAGAGATAAGATCTGTCTCTGCTCCAGGACTGTGCGTGTTCCATTATAGGTCAGAGTAAACCAGAGCTGTTCAAGCTCTGTGATTTAAGCCATATTAAATGTTAGCTACTTACTGGGAGACCAAGGGGTCCTCTTTCACCTTTCTCACTTGGTTCACCCTTCCCTCCTTTAACACCATTCAACCCTGGTTCACCCTAAATGTAAAAGTAAAGTCCACCTTTTTTTGCTACTTTGAAGGTTAAAGCTAGGACAGAAATGCATTCAACTTTATCACAAAAAAGATACTGCAGATTCTAGTGCATTGGTCAAATATTGTACAAATTATTTTTCTCTTCTGCAAGCAGGTCAATATGTTTTCCACCCCCACCACACACACATAACCCTCTGATGAATTTAAACAAATTTTCTTCAGCAGTTTAACACTAGAGGTAAAACATATTTTTCTCTCTTTAATCTGTAAAGTTAATAATAATGTGGAATGTAATGCCCCAAAAGGCTATAAAGGCAGATTCAATGATCAGGATGTTTAAAAGGGAGCTGGAAAGGTACTTGGGAAGTGAGGTTATTCGGGGTTATGGAGAAAAAGTAGGCAAGTGGGATAAACAATCTGCCATGATCCAATGGGGTGGCGGAATGGGCTTATCCTGTTCCTTCATTCCTATGAAGAGAGAATCTCCAGCTGTGAAACATTAGCAGATTTGAGATTCAGTATAATTCCCACTCCTCTGCTGGTCAGTGAGAGTATTTGAGGCTGTCTTAACCCAGTATAAATTAAATCCAACATTCTCTGCTGTTGGTCTTGTACTTTCCTTTACCCCTCCTGTCCTGTGAGAAAGTGTGTGGCCTCTGTTTGTGATGAATCGTGGACTCAGACCCCCATCACATCATTCACTATTGATGCAGAGAGTTGGAGTATTCCTGAAACTGGTTATGGGGTATCAAGGGATATGGGGTAAGGCGGGTATTTGGAGTTGAGGTACAGATCAGCCATGATCTTATGTATGGTGAAACAGGCTCAAGGGCTGAATGGCCCACGCATGTTCCTATCAAACTGGCCCTCAAGCAATTTCACTGTTTGGGGTCTTGGTACTCAACAGAAGGTTAACAGCATTGGCCTATAGAAAAGGTAGCATGTATTTGGGCACTCTAAAGACTGACTGGGGATTGTGAGCAAGATTGTCTGACCAGAGATAACTTTACTGACCTTGGCACATAACAGCACCTAATCCTCCACCAGTTAGTAAAATTACTGGTCTAATGAGCTTCCAATGAGGAAACAAATCCTATTCTACACTCATTGACTGACTTACATGATTGGAAAATGAAAAGCACAAGTCCGAGAGTCACAATGCAGCGCACTGCCCAGTAGCCCTCATGCTCAGCTTTTAAGGACAACTCCACTTATTAATAATGCTTCATTTTGCAAAATATAGATACAGGAGGAGGAAGTTTATATGATATGGCCATTAAAAGCTGCAGCCAACAGCATTCTCTAACCACACCAATCAACCATTTTGCATAATAGTGCAGTCACAGAATCTAGAACCTGAAGCACTGGTTCAATTGCTGACAAAAGAGTATGGCCAATGCATGCACAGTCACAATGCTGCAGTGAGTGAAAGATCCTTGTTACTGATGGCACTGAAGAGACCCTGATGTAAAGAAAGCAACCCCATGCACTTTGAGTGATCAATGTGAAGTATACAGAAGCAATGTATAATTGCAGTGAGCTGACCCAAGTGTGCATCTGCTGAAACTATCTGTAATGGTGACTAATGCACAGGAATCCTCAGTAACACCTTTTTGTGTGGTGATCACTTTAAACCCGTAAGTTCATGAGCTCCAGTGATAGCCAAAGTTGGACTTTGTTGCTTTTTAAAATATATATTTCTTATTAGAAATGGTGTCAGTGGTGAGAAATAGATTCTTGCTATACTATCAAGGCTTTCTGTTTAAAATGAATCCTCATACAACTTGTATTGCATCCGTGAGATGTTTCCATTTCCAAACCACCGCTTTACCTCTCTGAGCAACACTGATGAATTAATGCTTAGCCTGCAGAATTTGAAGTTAGTTTTTTGTATTCTATTTACATTGATGGGGGAAGAACATTTTAAAGCAACCAAATTCACTTCAATACTTTATTGACTCTCAGATTGGGGATTCAGTCATCTACTGCTTGAAGAGCAGATCACAGGTAGCAAAGGTGAAAAGTTGTTGTTCTGATATATGGGTATACAGTATTATGCTCAGGGTAGTGATTGATCAATAATTTTCAACAAGATAGTTGCCAATTTGTTTTGCTACAGTATGTAAAACATCTGCTCCATTAAGAACTTACAGGTTTAAAGATGCTACAACATACAATCAACATTAAATCAGGCAGACAAATGGCACATAGCATGCACAACTCATTTTACAAAAGAGTATGGAGACAAATTAAGGGGTACATTTATTTTTTAGTTGCTACAAGCTTTTGTGACGTTACTGGTGTTTTACCTTAGGTCCTGGAAGTCCATGTGGGCCCTGCAATACAACATAACGGATAAGTGGAAATGGAGTAACATCCCGCCTTCACTTTGGTAAACCAGTTCAACATGTTGTATATTGCAATGAAATACCTGACCATTCTCACCTAACACACTACATCTGAAAACAAAAACAGAAGTCACTGGGAACCCTCAGCAGGTCAGGCAGCATCTATGGAGAAAGGAAAGTGAGTCAATGTTTCGGGTCCAAGACCCTTCGTCAGAACTCAAAGTTCTCAAAGTTCTGATGAAAGGGTCATGGACCCGAAACGTTGACTCACTTTCCTTTCTCCATAAATGCTGCCTGACCCCCTGAGGGTTCCCAGCGACTTCGGTTTTTGTTTTCAGATTTCCAGTATCTGCAGTATTTTGTGTTTTGAAACTACATCTGAAGCTCATGTATTTCTGACTTTTGGGTCATAGTTCACTGCACTGTTAATAATAACTTTTACAGTGGGAATTATTTTCCATGCAAAACATAGGAATTTGGGGCCTTAAAATTCAAGTTAGGATCCTACCCCCTATGTTGCACCTAACTACCCTGTCCAATTCTGGACTCAGCAAATGGTGTATGGGAATGTACATATAAGCCGACCTGAACAAGGTAAGTCCCTTGAACTTCTAAGCTACTTGACATGACTGAGAATGCAATTCTCTCATTGAGGGGTGGGGCAAAACATATACTATGGAACAGCTCAGCCTGGGGCAGGCCAGAGTGGGGACATGGAGCAGGCCGGAGCCTGCTGACCGGAGGGAGTGGACAAGTTGATAAGGAGTTAGCAGGTCAGAGAGGTAGGAGGGGCAAGGCCATGGAGGGCCTTGAAAGTGAGGACAAGAATTTTGAACTTGATCCTCTGAAGGAATGGGGAGCCACTGGATCCAGGCGAGGGTGGAGGTGATGGGATCACGGAGCCTGGTGTGGGAGAGGAAATGAGCTGCAGAGTTCTGGATGATCTGCAGCTTATGGCGGGAAGTGTTGGGAAGGCCGATAAGTGGGGCATTAGCATAATCGAGCCGGGATGTAATGAAGGCACGTATGAGGGTTTCGGCGACCTGAGGGGTGAGGCAGTGGCGGAGTCTGGCAATGTTGAGGAGATGGGGGAAGGCAGAGCGGGTCATGGCACGGACGTGGGGGAATAAAGGACAGTTGAAGGTCGAACAAGATGCCCAGGTTCCTGACTGGCTTGATGAGGTAGAGTGTGCATCAGTGGATGCTGATGCTGCCAGTGCCTGAGGTGAGGAGGCGCTAGCGTGAGCCAATCAGGAGAGCCTCAGTCTTGCTGACGTTCAACTGTAGTTGGCTCTCATCCAGGACTTGACGTTTGACATGCAGTCTGTCAGGCCATCAGTGGTCCTAGAGTCAAGGGTGGAGGTAAAGAGTTGAGTGTCATCCACATACATGTGGAAGTTGACGCAATGTCTGCAGATGATATATCACCCAAAGCACTGACAAAATAAGCCAGGACATCGGAGGAACTACCTTTTCTTTGCAAAAATCTTCCATCTGAAGAAGGCAGATATGAGCTTGGTTTAAGATCCAATCTAAAGGATGGTACCTCTGACAGTGCAGTGCTCCTCCAACATTGTATTGGAGTGTCAACCTAGATTGTGAGCTCAAGGTCCTGACTTACAGCTTGAACTCTCAAACTTAATATTTGTGAATGATGTGCAGGATAACACAAGGGCTTTAAGAACTTTCTGGTGCCCTTTACTAAAAAACAGTACCTCCTATCTCACAAAACCCAAAGGTTTTGACTTACCATCGGACCTGATGGGCCTTGCATTCCGGGGACTCCTGGAGGTCCTACAATCTGCACACATAAATACCCATCATGTAAGAGTCATCACCATATCTGATTGTCTTCAGTTCAAATAAAATTGAAATACACTCAATCCCATTGTAATGTGCATCATTACAGCTGAAAATTGGGATGTGTAGCAATGTAGGCACATTTTTGAACTTATGTAAAAAGGACCTAATGAAATAATAACTACTTGAGACAGATGTTTGGAGCGATATTCTGCCTGTTACTTCCATGCAACAACTATGAGGAATGTGAGTTTATAATGGCCAAATCTCATTCCAAGCATAAATCGTTGAAATACAAACATCTAACTATGACAGAATCTCTCATCTCTTAGTCTCTCACAGAGTAATGTACTTAGGCCTGCTTGAGAATTGCAAAAATGTATATGTCTGGAAAAACAATACAACTCCAGTAGTATTTCACATGTACTATTCCAGTATGCACCATTGCTAGAGCTTTCTCTGTGCATCTCGAATTCACATCCACTTCATACAGCTGATGGCAAAGACAGCTGTATGAGTCCTCAGAGTCAGAGCTCTCAGGCAACACTGCAGCCTTCTGAGCAGCTGAGGCTCACTTGAATAGAATGTCTTAGAGACAATCATAGACAGTACCACTTCCCACCTCTCGCGCCCATCCTAAGCCTCAGTGAATTAAGGAGGAAACTGCTCCACTGTAATAGACTATGATCAGTGTATCTAATATTCAGGCACTTACTGAAGGGCCTTGTAAGCCAGGTAACCCACGGTCTCCTTTCTCCCCTTTCTCTCCCTTTTCTCCATTAATACCCTATGCAAAGAAAAATCACTGGTTACAGACAAGCTGTAAAAAACAAACAATAACGTGAACTTTCAAACAATACAATTTCCTTGATATGTCTGTGACTATTCCAGATCACTGGTCCTGGCTCCCAGCAGGGAGGCTTCCAGCAATCCATCAACAACAATTTGCACTTACATGCGTGCCTATCGTAAAATAATGTCTCAAAATGCTTAACACAGAAAACCAGAGCAAGTTGGGAGATGGGATGAATGGTTGAATGCACGGATTAAGAGTAGTTTTTAAAATGGATTCTGAAATCAGAGAGGGAGGGTGTGAGGTGAAAGAATTTTGGGAGAGTTCCAGAGTGTGTGTGTGTGGGGAGAGGGTGGGGATGGGGGGGTGAAATTTTGCTGCAATGATGGGGTGGATGAAGTGGGGAATGTGTAGCAGGCCTGAGTGAGCGGAGTGGAAGGAGTGAATGGGGTGTCAGAGCTGGATGCAGTCAATAATTACTGACTGAAATTCTGACGTTTCTTAGCAGATTTAATGCAACACCAAATCTGTTATGAAGCCTGACAGTTTTTACCCGACTGCATTAACTCCAATTCTGTTAGCTGTAATTCTGGCCCAAGAGGAAGCAGTATGAACACCCTGGATACAAAACACTCAGAACTCCTCAGGTCACAGCCTGAATCAAATTTTGCAGCTCTTTACTACACTTTACAGTGAATTCTGTTAAGTACTTTTCGATGACATGATATATCAGATTCAAAGATTATTATTATTTGAATCTGCTTTGAAATTCCTTAAGAAATAAATATCAAATACACTCACAGGTAAGCCGGGGAGGCCTATGCTTCCTTTGTCTCCTGGAGCACCAATGTCACCTTTCGACCCTCTAAGACCCTGAAGATAAGTAAGGTAATGACACTGAGAATTATGGTACACGTTCAATTACGAAAGACCTATTTGATAGAAACAATCAACTCCAAAAATAGTTCATAAAAGATTACAACAGACTCCACCGTATCATCACAGTACCTGCACTCCATCACGTCCAGATGGTCCTGTTAGGCCCATGTCTCCCTGTTGTTCAGAATAAAAACACAAATGGTTTTTCAGTGAACTGCAATTGCTTCTCACTTCAACTAATTATTAAGGAGAAACCAAAGCCTCCTTCTCTTACTAATGCCTCATAAACTTGGAAAAGTGTTCAGATATGTCAATGAACAAGGATATAACAGCACCGCTGTATGGGCGTGAAAGGCAATTTCAGGACAAATATCTGAAAATATTTCTTTACACCGAGGGAAATCAGCAGCTAGAACCAGAAAGGATGGCTGAAGCAAGACAGTGGATTCATTTACTTGCTTCTGTAATGGGGAGTTGATATGATGGATATTTTAGAGGATGAGCCAAATTGGCCATTGGATCTTCTTTTAATTTCTTCTTCGCCCCTCCACTCTTCCTCTATTTTCTCTCTACAAAAAATGGTCTTAATGTTTTGCATAAGCCACAAAAGAAGAAATTGTCTAATGGTGGAAATAAATTCCCATATTTGCTATCAGCAGATGAATTATAGCAGTGACAGATATGCTATATGTTTTAAACAACACATAAACAATAAATAAAAACTCTAAAAGAATGAGGGTAAAATATACCCTTGTCTGGTTGGCCATGTTATCTACCAGTACTGTGTTTTAATCCTAACATATTTACCCCACTTTTACAATTCTCTGCTCTTGTCTTTGTTTTCCATACTTCAAAATAGTGCAACTGATACATGAGTTAAGACAGTCACCTTTTTAATGGGACTGTGTTTAAGGGACAGAGATATAAGATATGTTTAGATTACTACTGAAATGTCTCACTAATTGTGGGACATTCAACAAAGAAGAAAATGTCATTTTGGCAGTGCCCTAATCACCAAACTTCAACTTAGTCAGTGGTGCAGAAGTGGTTGTTGGGAATTTGCAGAGTAAATGGTGCCTTGACAGTGCAATATGTACCTTGGCCATTAAGTGCATCTCCTGCAGGCAACTGAGATGTCTCTGTTAGCAAGAGCTCGCAGGTACACCTGAGGTATGTGGGGTTCCCTGGTAGAGACACACTTTATGTCTCAAGACATTCTTCACTCCACTGTTCACCCACGAGCACTTTTTCAACCTCAAAGAGATGCTCTCTTTCAGTTACTGAGTTGCTGGTGTGATCACTTCAACTGTTGCAGAATGAATGTGATTGCAGTGCAGAAACAACACAGAAGCAGAAACCCACATCTTATTTGGCACCAGCCTATTCATTCCAGACACAGAAGCAAGACTTTTCCTGCAATATTCAGAAATTTCCTGTTAAAAAATGGGAAGAAATGAATTTCTCTTACCTTTGGCCCTTGTATTCCTGGAGATCCCTGAGGCCCTGGTGGACCCTGACAAGCCCAACAGAAAAGTTAGTTTTACACAATGATATTCAAGATCAAGTCTTTCCACAAACATCCTTTCATAGGACATGCAATTGCCTTAGTAAATTCAAAATGAAAGCACAACAACAACAACACTACATTTGTTTAGTGTCTTTCACATCGGGAAGATATCCCAAGGTGCTGGACAATCAGTGTTCAGACCGAGCTGAGGGTTGGGATCCGGGAGGGTGGAGGGCAGAGGCGGAAGGAGAGTGACCAAAGGCACAGTCAAAGATTAAGTCTTGAGACAGCTCTTAAAGGAGGTGAGGCAGAGGGACTGCGGGATGGAGTTCCAGAGGGTGGGGGCAGAGTGGCGGAAGGCCCACTCACCAATGGTGGGGTGGGTGAGCCGGGGGATGTGAAGCAAGCTGGAGCCCGCTGAGCAGAGGGAGCGGGCAGGTCGGTAAAAGGTTAGATGGTTGCAAAGGTAGGGGAGAGCAAGACCATGGAGGGCTTTGAAGGTGAGGACCACAATCTTGAACTGTATCCTGTGTGATGGGAACTGGATGCAAGACAATCACATTCAAGTGAAAAGCTGTCAAATTAATAGAAATTCAAGGATTTGCAAGAAATGGGTTTCCTAACAAATGTACCAAGAAGCTTACATTAATTGCAGGTCATGTGAAAAGGGATCTTTTCTACATCCTCCTCAGTGCTGTACAATGTTACTAATATAAACTTCAGCAGCCTGAATTTGTAACACAGCCACAAGCCACAATAGCTCATGCAATAGTCCTCAGGAGCTTGGCTAATTACCGTAACAGTGAGAGTGGTGATCCTCTGTCGAAAATGCCAAAATTAAAGAAAAAAATGCATGTGAAGAGATATCTAATCAACAGTTGCAACTGATTGTTTACTGTATTTTGCCATGGATGGACATTTGCTACATTTATATTACACCTTCAGGTTATTCCAATACCTCTGAACTGCTTGGTTACACTTATCACATATCCAGTCTTACTTTCCCAGGATTAAGAAAAATGAATAGTTAAGCCTTTGTTCTTGGCATTTTTGAGTAAACACTGTACGTGACAATGAAAATCTATTTTTGTAGCTCGACGAATGATGTAATATTTTTACTTCATTGTTTAATTAGGTACTAGGGAGCTGGAGTCAGTGATACAGAAGAAAGTGCACATTGGAGATAAGCGCTTAATGTGTCGGACTAGGATCCTCCTGACACCAGTCTCAAAGCCAATATCGTTGAAGCCCTGCATTAGGCTTTTTAAATTTCTTCCTCAAGTGTACTGAATGGCGCTTTGCAAATAGAAGTTGAGAACTGGTGATTTAAAAGCTAAAAAGTGAAAATTAAACAGGATAAAATAAATAGCACCTGGACAACAGAAGTGCATTAAGAGCCATCTACGATCATAGTAAATTGAACTGATTGGATGTCTTAAAGTTAAGTATTATTTGAATGCTAGAAATGTTGTTGAATGTTGATAAGGACTAAGCTGTATCCAATTGCAAGCGAGCAACCTTGGTTCAATTCCGGGCAGGACGAAACCTTGGGCAAGTTTCCTTACTCCACACGCCTAATAATAATTCCTCCAAAACAAAACAATAATAAATTGGTCATTTTCAACCCACGACTGTTTGTGGGACACTGTTGTGCGCCATTGGCAGCCGCGTTTCGTCCACAAATATACAGTCAATTCACTTTACAGTATATTCTGTGAAGCGCTTTGAGACGTCTAGAAGACGTGAAAAGTGCTATATCAAATGCAAGGATTATTATTATTATTAATTGGTATAAGTCCAATGAAAAAGAAAGTTAAGCTTTTACAATCACACAATATTTTCAACAAGAAGATTGCTTGTGGAACAAGGAGGCCACTTTTGACAATCGTGCTCAACCACAACAACAAATTTACATTTATGTAACATTTTTAATTTTGGGAGGACATCCCAAGTGGCTGGAACTATGACATGCTCCAAACTGTGTGACATGGAACTATCATGAGTGGCAGCCACCTGGTTTCCTGAAGCTGTTTTATTGTTCTGAGTCACTTCGATTTTATAGCTAAATTAGGGGTGAACATGGGTTTCAAATTTAGGAATTTGTAGTATATCGATTATGTGTCTGATGTGCCAGACGTAGAATCCTTCCCAATACAAATCTAAAAACCACCATCCTCGAAACCTGGTCACACGTACAGCTGTTGATTAGCAGAAGAGTGGATTACTCTGAGTATTTCTGAAGTTAAAAAATAACCATCACAATAGCCAGCAGTGGAATACTGAGCTGGATGTCGACTGAACCTCACCGATTTAGCATTGAGAACAATGTTACGGGAGGCATCTCTGGGACATTAATTTCTAATCAATACACTGCAAATGTCAAAATTGAATTCATTTGTTAGACCTCATTAAGCGTTAAAAAAATTAAAGGCCATAAACCCCTTTTTGTATTATCAGCTATTTAAAGCAAGTCATTAACAACTCTATGAGATGTCATTGACTACACACTGATTCTAATTGTTCTGGTAACTTGCCCAGACTCTGCGCTTTTACTGTACTTAGAAATATTAAATAGATGTTAACAGTTTAACTAATTCAACAACAAAATCCTCTGTCTCAAGGATCGAGTCCCATTTTTTTTTCAAACCCAGGGTACTGACATGAAACCAATGGGTTGAATGGTCTCATCTTCCTGCATCTATGATTCCAGGTCATTGTGTCCACCTCATGCAGAGCATCCACACAGCCAACTTGCACCAAAAGAGAAAAAAAAAACGTGCAAATGTCAGCTATAAAACAAAGAAATATTTCTTATTTGTGGGATGGTTTGGTGGTTGAACACACTCGCCTCTAAGGACCTAGAATCAATTCCAGTCCAGACTGATGGAATGATTCTCTTTTTTGCTGCCTGGAAGTGAAAATAGTCTCAACCATTTCCCAGTGGTTACAAGCCTTCAGCACATACTGCCAATAATTCAGTGCTAATTGGTCCTAGATTGACAATCCCACTCAAAGACTCTACGTGAATGCCTGATTTAGGAAATGGAAAATACAGCAGAGAGTACTCTTCTGTAGTTTGGATTAAGAAGCATTTACTCTGCAAGCTGCTCTAAATTTGACCTGGGAGTAGTTAATGCTTACAGTCGGCACTTGAGATGGAGAAATGTTCCATTTCCCAGGGTTAACATCCCTTATGTTGATAGGCAAACAAAATCACCCAAATGTGTACAACAAATACAGTGGGAACAGGGATATGTTTGTGATGGCATTTATATTTTTAAAATACTTTTTTATGATAATAATCCTTGCATTTGATATAGTGCCTTATCACGTCATTGAGACATCTCAAAGTGCTCCACAGAATATACTGTAAAGTGGATTGACTGTGTATTTTGCAGGCGAAACTGTCAGCTTGTGGCATGTTCCACCCTCAATCATTGCCAATGGGGTCAAAAGTATACTGATCACTAAAAACAGCAATCTTTTCCACTAAGTCTTTACAGTGGATGATCCCATTATAAAGATTTAGTGAATGAGAGTGCTATTTTACTGATTAGACCACAACGCCCTCTCCCCTCCCCACACTATTGCACATCAGAGGTGCAACATTCCATATGAAGCAAAGAAACTGCTGAAATCGCAAACAATGAAGATGAAATTCCTCTCATCACTAAGGGCAGCAACTTTGTTGATGTAATAGGAAAATCCCAACAGAAGCACATGCACACAAGAGACTGAAATTGAAGCCTGTGGCAATTTTTCCCTGACTGTCAAAGTCCCAACAAAAAGATGTTCTTTCCTGAACATTACTTCCTTTACTACTAACTGTGGCTGTTACACTACCAGATTACCCCCAGAGGCAAGCATGTCTCTGGAGACAACTAATAATGTACATCAATCAGGCTATTTTCCAGACTCTGGATCTGGCAAGACCTGGCTTGGAGTCAGATCAGCTGTTTGTATCGGAGTGAAAGCTGAAAGAGAAGCTGCCACTCCAGAGACCAACAGCTGATTACCGTGGTACGTGTCAGACTGAAGATTTTGGAAAACAAATGTAGAGAAAAGTAAATGTCGCAGAGCGCTGAAATGCAGTAATGCCTCCACATTTCCGCACTTCAGATTACTAAATATAGGACATGCTAATTTTGAACAGTATTTGAGTCTATTGTGCTCACCTGCAATGCTTGATGGATATTACCATTGTAGTCTATGATCTCAGTGACTCCTTGTTCACCCTTCTGCCCAGGTGGACCCTGAAAAAGATCATTGCATTCCATAGTGAATACATAACTATAGTTGTTATTTACCAGCACTAAGAGATGAGCACTGAGAAGTACAAAGCTACTTACTCTGGGCCCCATGGGTCCTGATTCTCCATTCATTCCATGATCACCCTACCACAGAGAGACATTGGCAAACAGTTATTCACGCATTCTTAGACATTTTAAAAAAACCACTCAAAAAGTAGTGGTCAATTATGAATAAGCCTCTGGAACTACCACTCTAACTTGCCCTCTCTTACTGTCTAGAAGACCTGCCTCAATTCTCATTTCTTTGAACTGCCCCATGAACTCCCCACTCCCCTTGTTCAGTGTCAAATCCTGTGATGTGATCTGACATAACAATAATAATCCTTGTATTTGATATAGCACCTTATCACATCCTTGAGATGTCTCAAAGCTGTTCACAGAATATACTGTAAAGTGAATTGACTATATTTTGTGGGTGAAATGACATGTTACCCTATGTGAAGTACACTATATAAATACAACTGCTGCTGTTGTTGAACATAAAGAATAATAGATATTTCTGTATAACACAATAGTAATATTGTTGAGGGGTTCAAAGACCCAACATTTCTCATATATTAATTATAAGAAAAACACTTCCAAGTTGTAGACAAATTTAAGAATTTTCCAAAATTTTGAACGATCTTAAATAAGGAATTGATCGTCTCAGATGTCATACGTGAGAATCTCTGGGAGCTTCAAAGTACCATCAGAAAACATAAAAATATCTATAACAAAGGCCAGCAAATCTGCTCTTGCTATAGGTGATAGCCAACTGTGCGATTATGGATTTCTCTCTCCCTCTGACCTACACTCAGTTGATTCCCCCTGACCTGGAAGCTCCCTATTCTCTTCACTTAACAACCCCATGCACCCATCCCACCATCTCAAATACAGCTGTAGGATATCTAATTACCTTCCACACCTCACCTTCAGATCTGGTTGCCATCTCCAACAAAACTAGCAGCACAGTACATCCTCTGTACAGAGAATGCAGCTAGATCAGTCTAATGAATGCCCCTATAACCCTCGGTCCCTCTCCTCAGTAGATTCATCTAGTTATTTTTACAAATGTTAATTAACTTAGCATGAATTGCTTTATCTCAAAGTCTGCTCCTTTAACAGTTAGTATGGTTGAAGCCAGGATGCTTGTTTCTCTTTAAAACACAGCTTAATGCTGTACAACAACAACTTGCGTCCTTCACGCCACTGTAATGGGAGGATGGTTATATGGGATTCCAGGAAGAATTAAATCAAATAGTTCAAAAGGCCTTATTCATTCGAATCCTTCTTGTGACCTTATGATGTATTTTCTTTTAATGTAATGGATCCTTACACCCGATATAAACACATCAATGCTTCACTATGCATGAACCCAAGTGGTGCGGATAGCACATATATTTCTGTTTTTTCTCCCTACTGAAACCAATATTTTTCTTCAAGGCGGTAGCCCTTTGAGGCCCAATTCATTGCTATTTGAATTGTGAATTGTAATTTAATTGTAAAACAGCAAACTCTCGAAGTTACAAACATTTCAAACTTATGAGTATGAGCCATTTCCAGGTAGATGTATTTATGATGTCACCCTGAGTTGCTATAATAATAATAATAATCCTTGCATCTGCTATACCAGCCAACACCACTTGATGGTGCTGAACCTCACACTTTATGTGAAAGAAGCACAATGACATCACTTTGGCTGTGGATCCCTTTGGGTAAAAGAAAATAAAGTGGAGCGACTCAACAGAAAAAGTAGTGTCTGGGTGAAGGAGGGGTAAAATCAACTTATGTCCCATATGTGGACTGAACTGACGACCTCCAGATTAAGTGACTGACTTGTTGCTGACTGCACTAATGAGGCAGCTGTGAAACACTCTGAGCCTGGTGATTGAGCTTTGCTGGCAAACACCCTATTAATATGAGAAAGGTCCTGCCAAGAAAGGCCACCAGGAGAGAAGCACAGACTCCGTGCTAGGACTTCTTGATGAGAAGGGAAACCTGTGAACAGTTGTGGGACATAGAGATCTTCGACTCAGGAAGGACCAGAATTTGCTTCATAAAGACTGTAAAAGCGAACCAGAAAAGAACGTGTGCTTCTTGGACACATGTTCTTTTCTGGTCTTTCTGGTTTTTCTTTTCTATACACACAAAAAGCAACCACTTTGCCAGTGTCCCTTTCAGATTTTGGAGTAAATATAATGGAAGAGCAAGCTCTGAGGGATTTATTTTTATGGAGACAGAGCGTGGAAATGGGATTGCATCAGATAGCTCCAGTGGACATAGTAATAATAGTTGCATTTGAAGCCTTATCATATTGTTGAGAGGTCTCAAAGTGCTTCACAGAATATATTGTAAAGACTGTATTTTGTGGACAAAACGTGGTAACCAATTGTGCACAGCAATTAAATCTTTAAGGTATCCAAACCATATCCTTGTAAATCTCCAGTCTATATATTGTGATGCTGACAGATTTTTTTTCTTAAAGAAGCACATCTACTGGGAATACTTTTTTGGAATAAACTTCTAATTCAGGTCATGGTTGAAATGGTTAAAATGTCTTCCCCTTGGCCAAATCTTAACCCACTGACTGCATCCTTACCCATGTGAAGCTTGGCGTGCTCATCACCCCTATCCTTGTAAGGTTCCACTATCGCCCAGTGGATCGACTTTATGATCCTCATTCTCACCTACAAATCTCTTTATGCCTCACCATAAACAGGGAGTCACCGAACCTACTGTCAGAAAGTTACAACCTTGCAAATCTCTGATTCTTTCCTTTCTGGATTCTGATCGAGAATTATACTCCTTAAACGTAATATAATGCCTCATCACATCATGATGTCTCAAAATGCTTCAGAGCTTTCTATAACATATAGAGTTTGGAAATTTCTAGGTGAACATGGCAACCAATTTGCACACAGCAACGTCCTACAAATAGCCATAAAATGAGTGACCAATTTTAAATGAGGGATTGTTGGTCAGACACAAAGAGAAATTCGCTTCTCTTTTTGAAGTGTGCTGTGGGATTTTTAACAGGCAGGTGGGACCTAAGTTTTAACATCTCATCCAAAGGACAGTACCTCTGACAAAACTGCAATCCCCCAGTATAGCACTGGATTGTCAGCCTCGACCAGAAGTTCAAAGTCCTGGCCTGAACTTGAGGACACAACCTTCTGAAATAGAGGCAAGAATGCAACCAACTAAGCCAGGCTGACACCAAAATTTATGTGAGCCAGGAAAATTTAGTGCCTGGAAAATTCAGCGCCAGCCAAGACAGCAGCAATATCAGCCCAGTTCTGAATAGTTCTATCTCATAGGATTCCTGAACTATAACCAGGATCAAAAAAGATATCAATGTGCAACATTTCCTATGTATTAGGTCACTGATACTCCCGAAGCTTCTGTTCTCTTTTTAAAGCATCTTTGAACAGATGCTCACAGGAACTGCAAAGGCAAGGCTTAACAACTCTCTACTGTCAGGACAAGATGACCCTCAAGCACTGACATAGGGGTTGAAAATGTGCCATTAATTGTTTTGTCCAGTTTGCACCTGAAACAGAAAATTCAGAACTAAAAATGTGATAGCAAATTCAATAAAGCCCACAACGTACAGTAAACTACTCTACTGCGTATCCTGTGAAGCGCTTTGAGATGTCGACAACATGATAAGGCACTATATCAATTGCAAGGATTAGTATTATTATAAAGGAAAATGTGATTTGCAATCACAACCAGCAATTTGCTTACTGCCCTTTCCTCAGACATTTCAGGCCTTTTTTGGGGTGAGAAATGGCCCACAAATAAAATATGTCAGCTGCGATCAGAAACTGGATATCATAGTTTGCTCGGCAGACTCCAGTTTGCCAAGGCCAAGTTTTAAACTCCAACATTTCGAAGTGCTAGCATTTGATGTTTTCCTCATGGTTACATTAGTGTTCAAAATTTCCTTTTGAAGCAGTCTGTGCAGAATGTCTGGAAGTGCTTAAAATGCATAGAACAGGTGCAAAACCTATTTATCCACCTGCAGGCCTACTGTGTCGAACAACAAAATGTTGGCCGGAGCTTAGGAAACATTGTAGCCTTCAGAAACCTGAGCTTCAAACTCGCTACGTTAAATGGGAGGGCTGCAATGCCTCAGAACTGTCATTAAAATAATTCTCATCTGCTTAGCAGGCAGATGCTGAAGTCATCCTGCAACTATTCTGTGTAGTCTCACCATGTTTTTCTCTTTGGTTAAACAGAGCTGTGGTCATTTGGGTTTATGTGCTGTAGTTATCTGATAGGATCGCAGTCCACAGGGCTTTACACTGTATTTATTTTAGTAAACTCTATTACAGAAGTGGAAGAACGAAGCATCGTTGGAGAAGCCATTAAATGTTTAAACCAAAGTCCAGTCTACCTATTCTCCTGGTGGATGATTCTATTCCCCGAGGCTCTGGAACTGCCTTCCTCAGTCTCTTCGTCTCGCTCCCCCCTTCCCATTTTCAGGTCTCTGCTGAAGACCTTTCTTTTCGACCGCACCTTTGGTCACCTTCCCCCCCTCCCCCTGGCTCGGCCCCGGGATCTGTTACTGTAAAGCGCTCTGAGAAGCCTTCCGGCGAGGAGGGCGCTATATAAATCCAAGTTGTTGTTGTTGTTCTATTCAAAAACTGTTGCCCTAGTTAAAACCTTCTGACAAAATTAATTCACCAATAAATTAGTTTGCCAAAACTTGCTGTGCATAATGTGGCTACTGTGCTTTCCTATAAAATCAACACAATACAATTTTTTTCTTTCCTTCCTGACTGCTATGCAGAAACCTTTGCTGGAAGACATGTGTCTTCATCCATGAGAGGCAGGAACGGATTTCATTCTGATGCTCAATGTAATTGAACTGCTGACCAACACTCACCCCAAAGGCTGACAGATTAATATTGGCAACATGGACAAAATATCTGAGGATGCCTGTTCAGCTATGTCCAAGAGGAAGGGAAAATTAGTCAAAACACCTCACAATATCACAAGAGAAGTTTGGATGAACTCAGAACATTTCATCTCATCATTCCAGAATACCCACCTACCACATTCCCATCACAGCATTGAGCTGCTGTTTAAATGAGTCCAGACTCCTGGCCTCAATCACTCTTTTTGACACCTGTTCCAGTCATTAAATACCCTCTCGGTAAATCAAACTTCTTGGTGCCTGTCCTGAAATTGCCCTCTATATCTATGTTCTTTTCTTCTGATTGACCATTGCTAGTACCAGAGAGTGCAAATATCACAAACAAAAGCATTGAAGAGAGCCATCGCACTGACTGACCTTAACCCCACTCCGGCCTGATATTCCTGGCTCACCGGGTTCACCCTGTTCCAGGTCACACAGTAACAAATAAGGAAAAGCAGCAAAAGGAGAATGTGACGGTGGGGCAGAAAAAACAAAACAATCAAAGCATCCTCTTAGCAAAACTAATAAGAACCACCAATGATGGTAGTTTCTTTCAAAAATGGCTCAAGATTTCAGCAAAGACCCAATTGCCAACTGTTTGACCTTCCAGACTGATTCACAGGATACTACCCTAACTCAGACTGAGCTGAGACAGTATCTCTTCAATAAGTTTGAAACTGGGAGTTTTAGGGGCTTGAAAAAGACCCCATCCAAGATGGCGGCATTCAGGGCTTTTAGCCAACTTCGGGCGCTACTATTATTAAGTTATCAAGAGGAATTCAAGCACATTTAACATTCCCTATATGAGCAATGGAATGTGTTTAGGAATATTGCAATTCTGACCCCTGTAATGGAAACATCTTTAGTGTCAGTCATTGGAGCGTGATGGAGCCCAGAGTGCAGAATCCATCAGTAAATATGCTATGTTGAAATGACTTCGAAAATCTAGGAACGTGTAATGTGTAGTATAATGTGCTGACAGTGAATGAATTAAAGCTTTTAAACACCAAGTCAGTGTGTGTGGAATGGACACTCCAGCAGAAAATAAATACTGGACAAAAGACATAGCTGACCTTTGGGCCTGAAAATCCGGGTAAACCAATTTCACCTCTTCCAGTGGGTCCTCCATCTCCTTTCTCCCCCTGTGGAACAGCATAAAGCTCAGGACATTAGGGTGTTATTCTAGTGCATAATTTGGCAAATAAAGTGCCTGTAAGAAATGTAATGAGTCCATAGCTGTACTTAAACTGAGCTATCCCAGTCAAATCAGGATCCTGTGATAAACCTGACTACAAAGAGTTCGAGGAACAGCCCTTGCTTTTGGTATCTGACAATTAACCTGACCTAGAAATTTACACCCATCCTTGAATCATTCCAGCTGAAAGTTGTGTCAAGTTAAGCTTGTTTGGTAGCAGTTCACATGGGTGACAGACTCCAAAAGACAGTGCTGTTTCTTTCATCATTGGAAATGAGCCTAGCCCCTCCCGAACCAAAGATCACAGAACGGAATGAAGAGCTGCCATAGCATTGAGCTTGTGTCTTCTCTTTGAATGTCAACGTCAGCCTTCTTGATGAGATGTGGCTGCAATCTAAGGCAATGGATGACTCTTGCTCATTGCCACTTGGAATCTATTACAGCGCCAGTGTGGAGGTGCAATGCTAAACACTTTCAGGTAAATTAAACTGACCATAAAACATGACCCTCACCCCTCCATACTACTCTAGACAGACAGACAGACGGACATTCTTATTCTTCGTGTTATATTCAGAGGCTTTACACAGCTTATGATTTAAAGTTCATTTTGCAGTCTGATTATATGCCTACTAAAGGTTGATGTAGGATTCAAACAGTTCAGTTCCACCATGATAGCCATTATTGTAGCTAGATTCATAGCAATCTCAGACTGTATTTATGCGTACAGCATCTGATTCATGGTTATAGCATTTGATGTATGGATACCCGTATTATCCAAGTATTGTCACATGCAATGCCAATCTGCAATGTCCAACATTTTGCAATGAACAAGCACATGCAGTATCTGAAATATGCCTGCAGTGCCCAGTGTATGGATACATACAATGTTCAATATATGGACACATGCAATGTTCAATATATGGACTATAAAACTAGACTTGTAGACTTCACCCACAAGTCCTGTAGCTCAGTGGTTAAAGCACTCGCCTTGCAAGCGAGACACCTGGGTTCAATTCCAGGCAGGGCAAAAGCTTGCGCAAGTTTCCACAATCCACACGCCTAATAATAATCCCTCAAAAACAAAAAAAACAATAATAAATTGATCATTTTCAATCCACGACTGTTTGTGGGACACTGCTGTGCACAATTGGCTGCCACGTTTCTCCACAAATATACAGTCAATTCACTTTACAGCATATTCTGTGAAGCGCTTTGAGATGTCTAGAAGATGTGAAAACCGCTATATCAAATGCAACGATTATTATATTATAAATATACAATCACAACACTTTACACATCCTCCCGACAAAAAAACTATATAAAATAAAAGGATTATTATTTTTTTTATTTTTTTTATTTTATTTTTGCATCTATACATGCAAAAATATAATAAATAAATAATAGTATAGTGCCTGTCACGTCAGGAGGGCATCTCAAAGGCATTGCAGAATTTACTGTAAAGTGTAGTGACTATATTTTGTAGGCAAACACGGCAACCAATTTGCATTCACCAAAGTTTCTCTCACCTTTGTGCCAGGTAATCCAGGTAATCCAGGTTCTCCCTGTGGACCCCAAAAGCCTGGTTCACCCTAAAATACAGAAATATGAAAGTTAATATGTACAGTACAGACTATTAACACAGAATCTCAACCATTAACTTGTTGCATTTACGCAGTCGTGTGTGGTTAAAAGCAGAATGTTACATCAGAGCTCTGTAAAACAGACACTAAATAATACTATGAAGGGTATACAACTTAAATTGTGAGATGACTGCGTTGTAAAAGACTTCAAGACTTAAAATGGACTTGAATGCTGCGCTCTCAGCCTATGAGAAACAGTCATGAAGCTAGATGTAACGTTGTGCACATAAGCAAATGAGGGGTGAAGAATTCAGGTACCTCCAGTCTAGCACCAACACACAGTTCCCATAACGACTAGGTCACACAGTTTGACTTCCAGAGCAAAAAATAAAACAGCCTTAGAAGCAGAAGACATGAAGATCGGAAAGGACTCCTTTGAACCATTTATTGGATCACAGTCTGGTCAATCTGGGCAACAAGGACTTTCAGCTCTTTGAACCTTTACTGTGGAAACAGTTTGTTTCAACTCTCTGTGGTTGACATTTCTAACAATATCATCAGCGATCCTTCCAGAGCCAACCAAAGTCTCAAAGACAAATTGGCTAAATTAAAGAGAAATGTCATATTTGCCAATTAAGGTGATGCAGTGAATTAGAAATTATACTTGCTACTCTAATACTTGGAAAATCCTTTCGCACTAAATAGCTTTCGTTCTTTGAAAGTATTTTCCTAATTTATCAAGGTGTGGAGTTGAACATCAGCCACTTGATTTCTAGCTTGTGTGGCTGTACACGGTATGAGGTGTCTACACTACAATATACAGGTCAGATCTGTCAAAACAAGGAATTGGATTTATCTTTAAATAGACATTTTCTTTGATCATTCTAGATATACTAAGCTAGCAATGCAAACGCCCTGGTGACCTTCACCCCCCACATACCACACCCCCCTCCAAAAAGGTGTGCACCCAACAGTCCATATCAATAAAAGAGAACATGACAGCAGCTGGTTATGCATCAAACGGAAAAATCAATAGCTGCACATCAATCTCAGCCTTTTTCATGTCCTCTGATGTTAATGATGACCTTTCAACTAAGGATAAACCTATTGCTATATAAATGGCTCTTATTTAAAAAAAAATACACTAGGTCATCCCCAATGGTTGGCATGCTCCCCCTTGGTGACGTCATCCGCAGGCATAGGGTAAATTTCTACATGTATGCGGATGACACCCAACTCTATTGCTCTGCCTCCACCCTCAACTCCAGGACTACTGGCATCCTGACCGACTGCCTGTCCGACATAAAGTCCTGGATGAGGGCCAACTTTCTCCAACTCAACGTCAGCAAGACCGAGGCCCTCCTGATTGGCAGCATCAGCCTCCATGGCTGCACACTCAACCTCACTAAGCCAGTCAGGAATCTGGGTGTCTTGTTTGACCCTGAACTGTCCTTTCTTCCCCACATCCGCACCATGACCGGCACTGCCTACCACCACCTCCGCAACATTTGCCAGACTCCACCACTGCCTCACCCCTCAGGCTGCCAAAACCCTCACCCAAGCCTCAAGGCTTGATTACGAGAACTCCCTCCTCATCGGCCTTCCCAACTCTTCCCTTCACAAGCTGCAGATCATCCAAAACTCTGCAGCTTGTGTACTCTCCGTGACCCCATCACTCCCACCCTCGCCCGACTCCACTGGCTCCCCAACCCCAGAGGATCAAGTTCAAGATCCTCGTCCTCACCTTTAAGGCCATCCATGGCCTTGCCCCCTCCTACCTCTCTGAACTGCTGACTCCCTACCAGCCTGCCCGCTCCCTCCATTCAGCAGGCTCCGGTCTGCTCCATGTCTCCCACCCGACCTGCCCTACCATCGGTAGCCGGGCTTTCAGCCTCTCTGCTGCCACACTCTGGAGCTCCATCCCATGTTCCCGTCGCCTCGCTTCCTCCCTTTCCACCTTCAAGGCCGGTCTCAAGACCCTTCTCTTCGATCGTGCCTTTGGTCTCCCCACCTCTCATGCTCGGGCCCTGACATCTGACTGTTCAGCGCTTTGGGATGTCCTCCCAACGTGAAAGGGCTCTATAAATGTAATTTTGTTGTTGTTGATGGTGTAGCGGATACAGCTGCAGCTTATAGACCGGGAGCTCACTGGTTAGAATCCTTGTCTGTGCTGAGTTTGCTGGTGTGTTCAAGCGCTCTGGGACCCTACACTGTGTGAGGGGCACTTACAAATGCAAGTTGTTGTTGGTAAACCAGCCTGCTCCTGCTGCCTCATCAGCACCCTCTAGTGGCAGTGTGTGCATGTTACTGAGTGCATGTGTTGTGCATGAGACAGATGAGGAGAGGTCTGGTTCATTGTGACATCCTATACAGTCGAGTGGCCTTAGGAAAACAGCACCCATAGAACCACATCCCAGGAAGAGGAGACTGGGAATTAGGAGCCAATGGGGAGAACATTAGGTCAAGTCCATGGACTTTTTTTAAAAAAGGGATTTGAGATACAATAGCAAGATTTATCTTCAGTCCAATATATTTATAATGTAGTTGAGGGCTGAGATGGGGGTGGGAAGCTTTAATTATGTGGCACACTAGTTCAGATGATACTGCCTAGAATTGTTCGCTCTATATCCAGGTAATTAAAAGTAGGACTATTTATTTCCAAGACCTTGAAGTCATGGGAAGAATATTAGTTACTGTATTTATCATTTGTGACAGATTCATTCACTCTGATTAAGGGGAATGTTTAATAAACCAGTCTGGCAACAAAACTAAGCCTGTGATTACTTTACATGGAGGTCAACAGTTTGTTCAGGAAATACTGTGTCTGTTGCAGCAGAAAGTCTGACTATAAAATGCTCGGGAGATCAGCCTCGGAGTGTAACTTGTAAACTTGTTCATCACTGCATACTGCAGCCACATCCTGCTGTCAGATCCCATCACACCTTGAAACAGTCAAATCCATTTCGTCACCTAGTCTCCAATCCAAACAAAGATGTGATTGTCTCTTGCATTTAGCTACATTAAAGTATGAAATTACAGAACCTAAAAATGTAGGCGTTAACGAGATTTGAGTTTAATCAGAGACAAAAAACTTAAAATTTAAACCTGTTTGTGCACAGACATGCTACACTTGTAAATAATGTGTACAACCAGCACGCTGCTCACTGATCTTAATGCCGTTGCTATTCTGAATGTTGTCTAGTGCAACATTTCAGTTGCTCTATTCATTGTATCTACCCAATAGACAATATGAATGACATTGGTCAAACCTATAACAATATGAAAAAGTGAACAAGTCTATGGGTACCTAAGCATTGTCTAAACACACACAAAGTAAGTTTAATCTTCAAATAAAATGAAATGTTATCACTGAATCCATCATGAACTCTTCATGTTTAGATTGCTCATTGAGATAAGTCAGTTTTGTCACTCAAATAGGAGGGCATGAACAATCCAAAGAGACTACTGACATTCAACAGTGAAATGTACTAACAAGCCAAAGCGATTCCTGCCACCTGATGGGTTAATGGCACTAACAAATGCAACTGGATGCAACTTCTGCTGCTGAACTAACAATAACACCATTAAAGAATTGAAGTTATTAAACAATTATTGTTCTAAAAAATCAGAAAGATAAAAATAGTAAACGAATGATTCTGTATAATCAGTCATTCAGATGAGTGTCAATGATGATGTACTATGAGCAGCATAGTTATTTCCAGGTGTATTTTTTGAACATTTTGAACATTTTTTGTTTAAAATCCAACCTATCAGTGCGGCCTGGAGCAACACTACAGGCAAGAGAGGTGAACTGGGCAGAAATAAGCAGCGGGTGGTGCTATTTGCCTAAAAAATCACCATCACTTTCAGCAGCAAAGCTGTTTTGCCACAGCTTCCAAGACATACGTGCACAGATGCTCATGCCTAGCGGCACTGAGTTCTTGGTAATTGCCACCCACCTAGCAAGGGCTCAAATTGTATTCGTCACATGTCTAATGACCAACCCATAACTATCCTCAGGGGAGGGGTGGGGGAAGGAGAGGAAAAGTAAACGGGATCTCTTTGAGGCATAGCGAACTCCAAGGTGTCATCTTTGGCAATGGAATACTGGAATTGAGTCAACCCTCAGGGACACTCTCAGTAATCTAGTTCCTGAGCCAGGCAAGTCCACAGTACTCCAAGGCACTATTGATGACTGTTCAGTCAGCCCTGGCTCATTGTCCCTTGGAGGGGCAGGGTGATCCTAACTGTATAAGCAGCAGGAAGCTTGCCAGACAGTGTTCATAATGGCAAACTATATATTTTAGCTGTTAACTCCCGCAGTACTCCACCACAGACTCTGGAGTCCCCAAGCTCTGTGCTCTAATACTTTCTGTAGGTTTAGGTCAGCAGGGTGCAACCTCCGGGGATAAATGCACACTGTATTGCAGACAATAAGAAATTTACTAGCATACGTGGAACTCTCAGTCTGGTTTAGATACTCTTAAGCATGATAACAGACCTCTATATGTCAGAGACCTGACTGACAAAAAAAAGTACACAAATGCATCAACACACATGCACAACCAAAGGTGTGAAGTCAGGAAGCAGCTTTCTCACATTGGTCCAAAGCTCTCGATTAACTTTTTGCAGGTTAGTATCACCATTTTTCCAGTACTGTGGTTAGTGTGTAAGATCAGGCATTCATGAACACATGCACAAGGAATCATTTTTCTATCGACTACATTTCTTGCTTTAATTCCCACGATGTTTAACCCCAATTACATTTCTATAAGGTTCCATTTTGTTTTTAATTTTAGCTGAAAAACTGCTTCTTGCTATAAAAAAATCTACCTATCATTTTTTACTGCACCTTGTTTACACACAGGTTCCCTGTTTTTAAGACATGCAATAAACCTAAATAACCTGAACAATTGGATGGATGCTTGAAACTTGAAAACGTTCAGATGCTTCCCACATTCAAGCTAACTTCCTAGCAACTGCACTTACAAAATAGGGGAGGAAAAAAAATAATATGGTTTTAACCTCCAGCTGAATACAGGCACAAAGCATCCATGAGCAAATGGTATCATATTAATAGTTAGAGCACAGGAAAGATCAGGTCCTTGGCAGTATGCCATAACCAGTTATGCAGCTTCTATATATATTAGTTTAGTGCCCTCTTCTGCTCAGATGCATCATAACTCCTGTAAGACTGCAATACATCTTATTCACACTATTTCTTCAATCGATTGGCAATTGCACTCATTCAATTCCAGTTCAATCACTGTCTTTTTCGGAATTAATTTGATTTTAATTGAGCTATGAGAGGATCGCTATAACATCAAAGTGTTTATAATGCTTTGATTTATCTGGATGATTTTTTGTTGACTATAACTAACTGCTTAAAGGCTCTGCCTGAAAAGAACTAAGATTTTGAAATATTGTAGAAGAACAAAGATGATTTTGAAGAAAACTATACCATGTAAGGTTGTGATTATGAACTTGTATAATTTAGATCTTAAAACTAACAATAAACTGCTTGGTTGGATGCAAAAATTTTGTTATTTATATTATGGGTCAATGAAACTTGCTACACTTACTTCACAAGCAGATTTCTTTGATAGAAGTCAATGTATTAACTGTAACTCATGAACAAGAGGGAAAATTCCTGATGCTACTTCCATATTGGGATGTGCTGATCTCAAAAGCAATGTCAAATATTACTTCATACCAATAAATCAATTGCTTGATTCATGCTTACAGTATGGGAAAATGGTATTGCCACATTGCAGAACATTGAATCTCTTTTTAATATTAAACCTGGAAAAATTATACTGAGCAGGATTCTATTGCAGGATTTCCAGCACCTTGGGACGTCCTCCCGACGTGAAAGGCGCTATACAAATGTAATCTTGTTGTTGAAATCTTGTTGTTGCTGGATTTCTGAGCAGAGATGAAGTGGTGATAGAATGTCACAGAAGTAATATTCTTTCTTTGAAAGGGTCAAAGACATTTTACCTATATTTTTCTCAAGCTTTTTCAATACTTCAGCACTGAGGTGTGGGGGAATCTTTATACAAGTAATTGAAAGGAGTTCAGTATTTTTTCATTTCAACCACAACTAAGTCAAAGTCTTGGACCTTTCTTAAGCAGAATCATAGGCATGACTTAAGTACTCATATGCAGTCACAGGGGGAAATAATACATAACACAAGCATTTGCAAACTTGGATACAGCAAACTCATATTGTGCACAGCAGATTTCAAATGGAAAAATCAAGAGTCATTTAAAACTGCGTTATCCTTTTTGGATAGATTACTGAGGCTATTTGTTAACTGCGAACAGAATGAGGAAGTTCAAATGTACTCAGCTCCTGTTAAAAAACTGACAGACCACTTTCCATGCATATTTCATATAACGAACTGTGATGACCACAGTAATATTTCTGAAAAAATAAATATCCAGTATTATGCTGTTAAACAGCTATTTATGGAGAGCAGTGTTGCAAACATTAAAAGAAAAACTCTCCATGTTAATATTTGGTTCTGAAATTTGATAGAAGGTCTTTAAAATGTGTTATACGAATAAAACCAGATGTTTATTTGGAAATTGCAGTCAGTGTCCAAACTCAAAGTTATCAGGCTCTATGTGATGGTTTAAATGGAGCTTAACTGAGTCAAAAGTCCTAAAGATATATTTGAATAGATATGATCCAAAAATACAATTAGAGCAATTCAGAAATCAGTTATTTCCAAAATGAACTGATATCACGAAAGAAGCACTGGTGTCCCTTATGAAGCTTTGCAAGACAAAACACCTACAAGAAACAATTAAACGCAATATGGAAATATCAGCATTTTTGTAACCAGATTTTGATACAGGCCCAAAGATGCGAAAAAAAACTATCTTTGACAATTGCAAGAAATGGGTTGTTACTATCCTCATTGAAGGACATGGAGGAGATCGAGGTGTGAGAGAAGTGCAGTTAGAAAATATTATCTGATGGAAGTTTATTACCGTTAAAACACAATTACAGTAAACCTCACATAAGTCATATCAGTTAGGACAATACATTTAATATGACCTATGAAAACTATGAGTTATGTCAAACATGCAGAGAATATAAACTCTTGAATAGGACTAGGCTAGATGTATGACTTAGAGGATTATATGATTTATCCAGATCAGACTTAAGCGAGTTTTACTGTAGTTGCAAAACAATGGATACATTAGATAACAAAGAGGTTACTGAAAGCAACAAATGGGAGACAAAGCACAGTGAAGGAAACTACTTAATTGATAGAAAAAAAGTTTGCGAAGAACTATGAGCTTCTACATAGACAGATACAAGGAAACTAGAAACTATGATGGAAGGCCAAACAAGGATAATATGTTCAGAAATGCACAGCTCCAAACCACGCCAAAACCTTTGGGATGGATAATTTGAGAGTTATTGGCAGTGCCCAGCCTGGTTCTAGTGGGTAACGGTCCTTTCACTGAGTGAGAAGAATTATTATTATTATTATGGGTTCAACCCCATGTCAGAAGTTTAGGTTGACAGTCCAATACAATCTTTTGAAGAAACATTAAATTGGGGTTCTGTTTGTCTATTCAAGTGGATGCTAAAGATCCCAATAAGAGAAAGGAGTTGCTCCCAATGTCCTGTCCAAAAATCCCCCAAATATGATTCAGTTGATGGCTATTTGTGGGACACTGATATTCTCCCATTGGCCACACCTTCCCTGCAAAATGCACAGCTGTAGGGAAGCTTATAAAGATAGCAGGTGAAGTCAAAATGGTTATGGATCCAGACACTTTACTGAAGAAGAGTGGAGATCCAACAAACATGGCTGGCATAGAACCCTAATGAAGGTCAGGAAGATACAACAAAATAATAATCCTTACATTTGATATAGAACCTTTCATGCTATGCGGTGTTCCAAAGCACGTCACAGGATGTATTGTGAAGTTCAGTGACGTTTTTCTGGGCAAATGGGACCATTAATTTGTCCCACGAACAGCCATGAAGTAAATTATCGATTTTTGTTTAGGAATTGTTGGCCAGGACACGAGGAGTAATTCCCTTCTCTTTTCGAATAATGCCATGTGATCTTTAATGTTCACCTGAACAGGCAGATGGGACCTCAATTTAACGTCTCATCCAAATGGAGCAAAGTAGAGAGTTTGTGGGCCTAGATCATCATGTATTAAAGATTTAAGACAATAGCTGACCAAACAAATAATGGCTTTCTCATTCAGAGAGCTGGGAACTGGTCATCAGGATGGAATGGTGGTGAAACAGAAGTTTTAAGTCAGCTTCAACAAGTGATTAAAAGGTAGGAAGGGTGCAGTCAATCTTTTTTTTCTACATATGCAATATTTTTTATTACAATGTACTATTCCCAGCTAATCCTTAATATTTTCACACTTCTGCAAAAACAATGCAGTTGTCCATGGTATGATTCTTGTCTATATCATTTGCTCATTTTGTCTTGTCTGTCTGTCTGTCATATTGGCATATTCACTATTGAGCTAACAATGAATATTCTCCCACAATTATACTGGGAAACCAATCTAAAACTGCTCCTCGCCCTCCTCAAATCTGAGGTACTGTTAATACATTATACAAGCCTACTGATCAGTGCTACAGTCACTTCGTTATGATAATATCTTTATGGAAAGGTTGTATCTGTTTATGTACAAACATGATATAATGATAAACATTGCATTGCATCAAAATTTGACAATGCTTGCTCATGTAGTTATTGTGACAAACATGAAGCACAACTCTCATACCTCTTCTTTAAAAGAGTCACATTTTTCATAAAGGTGTTTCTCCTTTAAATAATCATGAAGAAGAAACTTCAGTAGCAACACAAATTTTGTGGGCAAATTGCGAATTGGGTATATCTTCATTCCATAGAAAAATACTCAGATGCATTGTAATAGTGAATCAAAAGCAGATTATGTGGGGAAAGTGCATGGGAAACCCAGGTCTCTAAGAATACAATTAATATCTATTGTAATCAAATGAAGAAAATAGGCAACCTGTCTATGACTGAGTTACCTGATACCCTCACTCAATGCTGAGATCTGAACAACAATTCTTTAAAAGAGAAACAAACTTTTAATGCACCAAATATTTATTTGATCTGTAACATTCCTAACACTATGGTAACCATCTAGTTTGGTGAAGTTTGCTTTGCAAATGTGACATGGTTATGGAACATGTACAAAAAAAGTGAAAGAATGTAAATTTGAGCCCTTGTTCTGTTTTACACAGCGCTACAAAAGAAACACACTTTTTTTAAAATCTCATTTCAGTCATTTTCACGTAAGACCAAACAAAAGGGATTGAGAACAGCTTTAAGTGTCAAATGAAAACTGAAGGGAAGAGGTACAAACAGAAGCAAAGTACTCGACATCAGAAACCAAACAGACTGATGATGGCTCCCCATACAGGTTTCCTTACCCTTACACTACATCCACCCCAATGTAGAGGCTGGTAGCAGACATTACCTTTATCCCAGGAAGTCCAGGAAGCCCAGGAAGACCTGGTTCACCCTACACAGGAAAATTACAAAACATTATAGAATAGAGTTCAGCTATTGCAAGATCGTTCCTCCTTCTCCTCCATCTCAACAGCAGCTCAATGAAACAATCCTCAACGGTGATTCATTTATTCGTTTAGCAAGAAACCAACAGGGCCTTTGTTTTATTGGTCCAGTTCAGCAGTAACATTTAGTAAATTACTACACAAGAAAACATTTAAACAATATGTTTTTGCATTAATGGGGCAGTTTTCTTCAAGCAAGTGAAAACCAAACTGGGGTAGGTATATAATGCAGTGTGTTGACTAAATATTGGAATTCTCCTCTATATCTTAGGACTTATTTTTTTGGATGAAGTTACCTCAGTAAAGCACCAGGTGGAACCCTGTTTTAGACTGCTGCATTTTACCTTCTGAGACCTAGACTGAAATCCTGCAGGGAGAGAGAGGATTAGGGTTTCCTCTTGACACATTGCTATGAGGGAGTCCTTATGTGAAAAATGTCTGGACATTATCAATCCAGGTCCCATTAGGCACAAGCCCACAGCATGCAGCTGCCCTCAGTGCAACTAATTGTCACTGAATAAAAGCCGGTGTCATTATCCCATAACAATCCCATATAACGCTCAAAGCCCTGAACTAAACAAGTTTATGGCTGCGTACCATTGCAGATAATTCCTCCCCATTTCTCTGGGCTGCACTTAAAAATCAATCAATCAGAGATTAATATGCGGTGCATGACCCCAAGGGTGGAGAGCACCAATATCAGTAATCGTTTGCCACCAGTATAAATGCAGATAACCTTTTAAATTATATTACATTTACTCCATATTCACTTAAATTTCACTGATCAATAATTACTTTCCAATTGTCTCCCCTTCTCTCCTGAAGGCACTGACGCAGTCACTGGCAGCCTTGCCGAATCCCACACAAGTGGCTTTCTTCATGTGCAAGACAAGACAGTGAGTGCTCAACCCAAAGCCCACACGCATGCACATTACAGCAGGGGTCAATGGTAGTGGCTGAAGTAGACTAGAATGCTACAGAACAGAGTTTTGCTTCTTAATCTCTCTCCAATATGCACATATTGTACTGTTGGCTGGGGGGAGAGGTGAGGTGGGATGAGTTTTTCTGTGCTGCCCTCACCTTCGGAGCCACTCTAAATACTGTAGTGTTTATAGTGACCTTTTATTCTCACCAAGAAGCATGCGTAAACCCAACCTAAATAGCCTGAAAGCATCCCTGCAAATAATGGGGATGTTTATCCATCCTCAGCAAAAATGAAATCACCACGTTATCACTATAGGGGATAAAATAATTGCATTCCTAAACATATTCTGTTCCTTAATTAGGAACATCATTAAAATGTGTTTTAAAATCTCTTCCTCCCCCAACTTCTGCACAATGGCAGTTCTGAAACCCAACTGAATATGCTGTGAGTCACAATCTTAAATTCCATCACCTGCACAAGTTTTAATGCAAGTATTTATTTATTTTCAAAAAATCTTCAAATTCATCAGTGCTGGATCACAAATTCAAACTCTGGTTCATTTGAATTTCACCACTGCAGGACTTTTCAAAATATTTGTAATTTATTTTCATGCTGGAGGGAGACAGGCAGAGAGAGAGGCTCAGGTCTCAGGGGAGCCTTCGGACCCTTTTAATAAGAGGCTGGAGAAGGAATACTGGGTCAAAGGTGATTGTAAATCTTTAAGGGGGTCCTAAAGACAGAATGTCCCTCCCAGTGCATTCCTCTTCAACCTCAACTCATTGGATAGTGATCAGAAGCAGAAGTCCAGGTTGATTCTATTTCCCTTCCATGACATAGAAGTAATTAGGCCAATTGTCGTGTCTCTATTGCCACCCTGCCTGAGACCATCCAACTGAGCACATACCAAAGATCAAACCCAATCTGTATTACTTGGTACCACATTCTTGTAATTCAATCTCTCACTCAATGGAGCGATTACTTTGCCTTGTGAGGACCTTTATATATGTTGCCATGAATATAATGGAAAACTGTACCATATCTACTGTCATAAATAGGTTACAAGGACCCATCTGTATAGCATAATACATTTGTATATCTGAGCCTCTGAGGAAGATGTCAGTATATTAATTTTTTCCATTTAAAAACACAGATATCCATTGCCCAAATAGAAAGGAAACAAATTTGGAATTTTGTTTTACAAAATATGGCTTGAAGAGTGAACAAATAATACTGACTAGATACTCTGAGGTGCTGCTTTCTCAGTGACTGGCAGAAAGCCACATGGTGCTCATTCATTAGTGGATGTGAAAGTTCACATAGGTTTAGTGACTGAAACTGAGGTTTTCACAGTGTGATGTTTTCACATTCAAACTGGTCAATAAGCACAATAATTTTGCCCTTAAAGCTTGCTGAAATTAATAGCTGCAATCTGCTTCTTTGCAATTAGCTCTCAATAAAAATGGTGTTGAACAGACACAGGGAAATACTGCTCCATTTCATAGTGTGCTCAGGATTCTGATTACCGCACGAGGAACAGAAATATTGATAGAGAGAAAAACCGGAGGGTAATACAGAAATACTGAGTGAGAGACAGAGAGAGTGGGGGTGAAGGTGAGACAGAAATACTGAGAGAGGGGGGCTGGTGGGGGGGAAGGGTGAGGCACAGAAATACTGAGAGAGGGAGGGAGAGAGTGAAGGGTGAGAGGGGGGTGGGGGCTGAGGCACAGAAATACTGAGTACTGAGGGGTAGAGGGAGAGGAGGGTAGGGCATGAAGTGAAGAAATAGGAACATAAGAAAGTAAGAGCAGGAGGCCACACATCCCATCAAGGAATACTTTATATGTGATTCAAGGGAACTTAAAGCAGAGAGGTAAAAATACATTCCATAATAGGCAGCCTGCCAATTTGTGGAATACCGGTCTATCTCAGTAAAAAGATCAGAATTATTCTGTTAATGTGGTTATATGCCCAACTTCCAGGTCGTCCGATTGCTATTGCTGTCATTTTCCGTGCATTGTGCACCAGTTCATGAAGTAACATCAGTGCCATTTCCCACACATATTGCACATGTTCAACGCACAGGAAGTGTCATGAGCTACAAATTGCGCCATGCGCAGTGCACCGGACGTGATGTCAATAGCAATCTGACAATCCAGAACTTGGCCTTTTTTATCACCAGAGCACACTTGAAGCCAATAGCAAGGCCACAGGCCACCACCTCAAAAGTAAACCTTCCTTATAAGGAGATGCCTGCCTTGTTATAGGATTGTCTTATGTTAAACAACTATCAGTTTAAATGTTAAAAATGTAGCCTTTATTGAACTGGGAAAAACTGAGATGATTGACAGAGGGATATGAGAGGAGCAGTAGAGACAGCATCTTTAGGAAGTACAACATTCACGTACTGAATATTCCTTTGCTGCAAATCCTCACAGCAACCCCTAATCACTATTGTTTAGAATACAGTAGAAATTCACACCCATTTAAGAAGACCTTTATGTTTTAGTAAAGCAAGCAATATTAGAGCACTTTTTGAGGCAATGTTAGCGAGAGCCGTCACAGCCTAAATCTTCAGATTATACTAACTCTTGAGGTGCTGGTTTATGAGTTGACAATTTTTATGCATTAATTGCAATGTCTATGGTGATAAGTAGCTGCCTCTCCTTCTGGCTATTAGTTTCCTTGCATAAATGTTATGCCTATTCAAGTAATTAGCAGATGCAAGAACACTGTACAAAGCCAGTTAATTTCTGTCGAGAGAAACACCATCTATGACCACCCAGAGTTACACTTAATTGGAATTCCGAGCACTTTTCCTTAATTTTTCCTTACCTTTTGTCCTTGATGTCCAGGTTCACCCTATGAGAGAGATGGGGAGGGGAGGGGGAAAGCAAAGTTAAAGTTCATCTCAATGGTCTTTAGAAGCAACATTTATCCAACAATATCCAAAGAAAAAACTAAACTCACAATCTAGAAATAAAATGTTAAGAACTGGGCCAACCTTGATTCCAGCTGCTGAAGATCCAGGATCACCCTAATTACAACCAGAGGGAAAAATAAATCAAACATGTATTAATTTATTCACATATCATCAAATCATGTATGAAGATGGGGGAATAAAAACTATTTTCTCTGTGTGGGTTCCCTTATTACTGATCCCCTTGATCTTGATTCTCTTTTCCGTGCACCGTTTTTTTAAGTAGGGTGAAAAATGCGACATATATTAAATATCAATGGTTCCAATCATCACAATCATCACCTGAAGATCTGCCAGTCTATATCTGCCATGGGTTAACAACCCCTCCCAACTTCATTCTGATGTCTTTTGTCCAAAAGCTATTCGCAGATATTGAATTGCTGACAGTGCCTTTGAACCTGCCCTCACACAGCTCCCCACATTTCGTTGCTGGCTCGGGGAATGTTATGGAAATAGAATTAAACTGTTATTTCCCTGAAGCAGCACTAAAATCCTGAGATTCTATACAACAATAATAACTTGCATTTATATAGCACTCTTCACGTGGGGTAGCGTCTTGGAGCATGAGGATTTCAGTGAGCTTTTGCTCAGTTTGTTTGACTGATGCAGAATCACATTGTTTGAATTGGACCAACAAACAGCATATATAGTAATAGACTTGTATTCCATTTTGCTACTGACAAATTCTAGTTTGAAAAACAGTGAAATAAACCTGTGCTTGTGCATACCCTTAGCTTTGGCCATATGACAGACAGTACTCCTAGGTTTATGAAATGATCACTGATTATTTTACTTAGTATCTCAATAACACAACTCGGAAGAGAAGCATCACGAAATAGCAGCCCAACGGAAATGTATTTAACTGTCTGGATACAAACATTCTCCTCCTGCCCATTTTGTTATTAAAAGTATCTTTTTCAAAGCAAAACTCCATAATCTTCAGTTGCATTTTGAACCCAATGTAGTTCTTCATTGAAGGAGGTAATAAAGCAGTTTTAACTGCTTGTGCTGGTAGTCTTTTCCATGTATCCATTACTTTATGAGTGTGTGGGAGGGGAGAACCTTTGTCAATCTCTAGTTTTGTGGCTTTTTATTTTTGTATTGATGATTGGTGTCTAGTTTAAGTTCTGCAAGATGCTCTTTGCAGTTTTCCACTGATCTTATCTCAGGACTATCCATCAGTTTACAGTCACAGCAAGTGCAATTTACCACTGATAATTTTGCTTGACAAAAATGAGCCTCAGGTTTCAGGGAACAGTGATACATTAAAATTTGTGTTTCCACTACAAGACATGTATTTCAAGAACCCTCTGCAGTGAACTTATAATTGTTGGCTGAAGTGTATGGGACATAAATTACAGAACACAGTCTGACATCTCACAGAGGTCACACCCTATGAGTGCAATGCCTCAGATCAAGGCTATAAAAAGTTCTTAATGATGCTCTGTTGATATAACACAGCTATCAATGGGCCACTGATGATCACCAAATGTTAGTCAATGACCATGTTGTCACATACACACAGGAAGGTCATATAATGGCTCCACTGCCCCCCATCTACCCAACCCAAAAACAAAATTAGAACGCCACTCCTGCAATAATACAAAGAAAAGTATATTTAAACAGAATTACACAATGAAAAGAACAAATTATTTTCTATCTATGCCTGCTGTCTACATTCCTGTTAACTCGATGCAGCAGAAGTTTATACATACACAACTGTCCCAGACAGACAAAATAAATGCTTATAACGAGGCTCACATATTACAGGACCAGAGGAGTATTAGTACTTACAATTGGGATTTGGAAACTATTTCCTAAAATCAGGACATTACCAGAAATATGCTTGTACCAAGATTGCAAATGACATGTGGATTTAACTGAAGGATACTTTTTTCACTTACTCCTGACAAGTAAATGCTCTTGGCTCTGAAATATATTTGTTTAGAGCTCAGGTAGTACACAAATCCTACAATTATATAACCACACACAAAGTATTACAGACTGTAATCTCACTTCACTTAGAGATTCAGATATCATTAATGTTAGAAGACACTTTAAGCAGTTTATAACTGTCATCAAAACCCATAAATAACTACTGCCTAAAAGTTGCTCCCATGTATCACTTCTTTCTGCAGTATATAATGTGAAGTTGGTGAGTAGTGTCATACTGGAATGCGTTGCCTGAAAGGGTGGTGGAAGCCGATTCGATAGCAGCTTTTTAGAGAGAAGTAGATAATTATTTGGGGAGGATAAGTTTGCAGGGCTATGGGGAGAACGTGGGGTAGTGGGATTGAATTGGATAGCTCTTTCAAAGAGTCGGCACAGACACGATGGGCTGAATGGCCTCCTTCTGTGCTGTATAATTCTATGAATAATAATCCTTGCATTTGATATAGTGGCTTATCACGTCTTCGAGGCATCTCAAAGCGCTTCACAGAAAATACCTTCCTATTGTTTCTTATTGGCATCGAGCCCTTTTCTGTTCTCACCCAGTGTCCACACAAAGAACTCACAGCACAGATAGAGGCCCGTGCGACAACGATCAATGGCAGGAGCCTTGGCTAATTTGCTTCTTCCGATCCCCTCATAATCCACTGAGAACCGAATACAAGCCAAGGATCAAATCTGGGATCTTCCTGGCCCATTTGACTCAATGTCACATCAATAAGTGCATTTATCCACTGAGCCATCAAAGAAGGCTCACGTTTCACTTCTGCTCCACATTTTGCTGGGGGCAATTGTCATGGTGGACACTGACAGTCAGGATGTGCCACAGAGTCACTGGATGATGGCATTCTCACCATCATGTGGTGATGGATGTGGTAAGTTGCAGTTGACTACCAGAAAATACAACTGATGTATTTGAGGAACAGCAAAGGAGATTTGTGTTTCAGAAGTTATTCAAACTCTGTGATCTATAACTATCATTTTGGTTCAACTTTAAAATGGAACCCTTCTGGTAAAGGTGCATCAAATGTCAATGAGGTAAACGTTTCAATCAAGGAATCAAAACAAGTTTGTTAAAATAGTCCTCTCCTTCAGTTGTTCCTTTTTCTTAAACCTCCAGATGAATTGGTCAATCACCTCATGGCTGTTCGTGGGACCTTGTTACTGTGTTTGCCTGCAAACATGACAAGGTGCTAAAAAAAAAGTTCTTTCTTTCTGTGCTTAATCTCGAGTGAAGTTGTGATTATAAATCCTGTGATCAGCATTATGGTGACTACCAGTACTTATAAAAGCATCAGTAATAAAATAGATGAATTATTGGATGCACAAATGGGGTTTGCAAGTGCTCTGAGATGCTACCCTATGTGGAGGGCGCTATATAAGTGCAAGTTGTTGTATGTTATGTGACAATTACCACACAATGGGACAATCGATAATTACTGTGGAGGTTCCTTTGCCCCCCCCACCCCCACCAGATGTACCAGGACGGTACCAGGAATGAAGGACTTCAGTTATCAGGAGAGGCTAGAGAAGCTAGGATTATTCTCCTTGGGGCAGAGAAGGTTAAGAAGAGACTTAAGAGAAGTTTTCCGAATTATGAGGGGATTCAATAGGGTGAACAAGGAGAAACTATTTCCACTGGCAGGTGGGTCAGTAACTTGAGAACACTGATTTAAAATAATTGTTAAAAGAAACAGAGGGGAGGTGAGGAGAATTTTTTTCACACAGCATGTCGTTGGGATCTGGAATGCCTTGCCTCAAAGAGTGGTGGAAGCTGATTCAAAAACAACCTTTAAGAGAGAAGCAGATAATTATTTGGGGAGGATAAGTTTGCAGGGCTATGGGGAGAGAGCGGAGGAGTGGGATTGATTTGCATAGCTCTTTTCTATGCTGTATAATTCTATGATTCTATGAAATCACCACTAGCCAGTTCAATATTTGCACCAGGTAATAATAATAATAATAATAATAATCCTTGCATTTGATATAGCGCTTTTCACGTCGGGAGGACGTCCCAAAGCGCTTCACAGAACACACTGTAAAGTGAATTGACTGTATATTTGTGGGCGAACGCGGCAGCCAATTGCGCACAGCAATGTCCCACAAACAGTCGTAGATTGAAAATGACCAATTTAATTATTGTTTTTAGTTTTGGAGGGATTATTATTAGGCGTGTGGAGTAAGGAAACTTGCCCAAGGTTTCGCCCTGCCTGGAAGGTAGCTATAACCACAACTACTTTACTGACATTGGGGGGGCAATCACAATAGTTATCATCTTCAGGAGCAGAATGTCCCATAATGTGATAAGAAACACAAAGCACATTTTTGATCTCATTAAGATCAAATTGTGGCAGGGGCTGTTCTGCTTTGAGGTTCAGATCCTCAAGCTCAGTCTGTCAAGTAGTCAAACACATTCATTCAGAACAGACCCATTCTTCTCCGAAAATCACTGAAACCCTAGATTTCCATCTAATAGGAATCACCTGCATTGTTCTTTTTGATAAATCAGAGTTATTTTTAATGGGCTGGGATAAAAGTTCAATGAATAATCCACAAGTTAACTCTTTCACCCCCACACATGCACAAGACTTAAAGATCAATCATAATAACCCTTGCATTTGATATGCCTTATCACGCCGTTGAGATGCCTAAAAGAACTTTCTACGATATACTATAAAGTGGAGTGACTGCGTATTTTGTGGCCAAAACATGGGACATTGCGCATAGCAATGACCAACAAACAGCCATGAGAGTAAGTGACCAATTTTATTTGGGGGATTGTTGGCCAGGACAGCAGAGAAAAACTCACTTCTCCTTTCGAATAGTGCCATGTGATCTTTAACTTCCACCTGAACAGGCAGACGGGACCTCGGTTTAACGTCATCCAAAGGACAAAAAGATCTTGGAACAAGCTCCTGTAAGCACTTTTGGTAACCTTAAGGCGATTTGGCCCATCAAACACATTTGTTCACCTTCAGGAGAACTCAGCTCCAAGGACATGGTGGGTCGGGGCAAAGGTTTTGTGACATGCCACAGTCTCCTTGCGTCAAATGCACAGCTCAGGAAATAAGGATTCAAATAAAAATAATACTAACTTGACTCCCCCAAAAGAAAACCTTTGGCTCATCTTCTCGATGTTAAATATCTACCATGGCAGCAATATGAGCTTGGAACATTCAGAGAGTGTGTGTGGGTGGGGAGGGGGAGTGAGCAGGGGAACGCTGCACACTGTCACTAGTGGCCAGTCAGGCTATTATAACATGTTCAGTATATGATCAGAATGCTGAACTCACACAGACACTGCTAATGTGAAGATAATTAACACGAAAATGAATTAAAATAAGGAAGACATTAATGAATATTGCAAATTTTACCTCATAAAAATTCAATAAGTTTCATTTCAAATTCCCAGGCCTACAGTATGGATATAATTCAATCCTATGATTTTCTTAAGGAAAATTCGGGATCAACAAAGCATTTGGTAGTTGTGTTTGTATAATTTCCCTAAATATGTGGGATAAATTTATTCAGATATGAACTTGAGTTATTTTGTACCAAGATTGAGCTTTGTGGGGTTCAGTCTTCAGGCATTATTCCATCCAAGATAAAGTGGAAACTGGGAACCGAGGTCCATTTTCCTTTTGTCTGTGAACCATAGGAGACAAGAGGGGTTTTGGCAACTCAGGTTTGGCTTTCATTTGCTGGGAGATCATTCATTCATTCATGCCCATGTCGGCAATTTTAACTTTACAATTCACGGTGATGAACGCTGCACTTAAGTGGAGGATTGTGAAGTGAGGAATGTTATTCAGTGAAAGAATGTCATTGTGGGAACTGTGCCAGCTTACATAGTTAATGACTCTCTGACTAACCCAGTTATTCGCCTGCAAAAACCATACTGTAATAAAGCTTAAATATAAGGCCTAATAACAGGCCAAAGCGGAACTCGCTCTCAATCTTTTAACAAGAAATANTTTTTTTTGTAACGGATGTAAGCTAACCATATAAAAATGCTGTAATCTTTGACTACTCTTTTCCTACTGCTTGTAGAATAATGATGTCTAGGGCTTTGTTCCACTGGCAGGTTTTTGAATGTAACTGTTGTTGGAAACTGCAGGCTAACTGAACCTGCATTAGTCCAAACCTCTGTCATTTTGAATGCTAACACTAGCTTCTCCTTACTCAGCCTCTTCAACCAGTTCTGTAAAGGTTCACCACTATATCCCCAATGGTCTATTTATCGCCAAAATGAACTTTGCAATGAATGCATGTGAATCAAAGCAACAAAAACCCACAAAGAGCAATTATAGAAAAGCATTCCAAAGTTTACATGTTCTCAAAGACCAACAATGATTTACTCATTTGTTAATTGTGGGGCAATTTGTTTTTAGAAAAGAAAGACAGAAGCTGTGCTGGTTTTCCATTTTACAGCAAGTGAATAACAAATATATTGGAAAAACTCTTGTTTTATAAGATAGTAACCCTTTTTAACAAACTACAACAATTTCATTCAAATCAAGATACAATGAGAGGTATACTCTCCTTGTCTGTACATTTACTAAATTTCCTCAGTTTAAGATTGATAATTTGTTTATAATGGGACAAAAAAGCACAGCGACAAACATTTTGTGAACTTAATGACAAGGGAAGGCTCTCCTCATTCCCAATTCACTCTCTTTAAAAAACACATTAATCGGATATTTAAAAATAAAGAACAGAACCGAGTCTGTCAAAAATTCCAAATAAGAAATGAAGAAGAAAAATGCACAGAACATTGATTGAGATCCAAAAGAGAAAGGATAGGTTGACATTTCAGTGTGATTCTGCATCAAGCTAAATGTTGTAAAGGCAGTAAAAAATTGCAACATTCAATACAATACATGTTACATTGTCAGACGTTCTGGTGATATCCCAGTTGATAACTGGTGTACACCCTAACTCCGAGAAAACATGTTGAAGCCACAGATAAAAGCCTGAAGGTGTGAAGTTCTCGTGACTTCTACCCCAGTTGTATGTTTCCTTTGTAAATCTAAAATTATATCGAGCCAGTTCACAACCTGGCCTTGTATCAGCAGGATAACATCACACCTGAAACCTTACTACTTTCAACTCTGCCACAGTAATTGGATGGCTCATTTGATGACTCCCCCAATGTACATTGATCAGACTTAAATTATGCAACCATATTCTAGCTCACAAACCATTTGAATCTGACAACATACTTCTTTTATCTGTAACTCTACTAACATTAAGAGGGAATCACAAGACCAGAAACCATTCAGCAAGAGTCTGGAACCCACAGGATGAAGTTTGCAATATTTTATAACACGTCATGAAATAATAATAACAATAAATAATAATCCTTGCATTTGATATAGCGCTTTTCACATCTTCTAGATGTCCCAAAGCACTTCACAGAATATACTGTTAATTAAATTGACTGTATATTTGTGGGCGAACGCGGCAGCTAATTGGCACAGCAATGTCCCACAAACAGTCGTAGATTGAAAATGACCAATTTATTATTGTTTTGGGTTTTGGAGGGATTATTATTAGGCTCTGTGTGGAGTAAGGAAACTTGCCAAAGGTTTCGCCCTGACCTGCCTGGAAATGAACTCAGGTCTCTCGCTTGCAAAGCGAGATCTCTAACCACTGAGCTACAGGACTCCACGTAAATGCTCCAAATCCCACCCTCTCAAGGGATCCCATCATCCAAAAAAGGTTTACCTTTTCGCCATGATCACCTTTCAGTCCTGGATGACCACTATCTCCCTGAACAGCAAAAGTAGAGAAAAATAGACTTTAGTAGAATGCAGACAGTTTCACTTTAAATCAACAAAAACGCCTGATAAAATTAGTGAAGAAAGTTTTGTTGAATAAAGCAGAGCTCTCACCTTTTGCCCAGGTTCTCCAAGGTCACCCTGAAAATGATTCATAAGATAAGCATTAGTCATACAAAAATCTCTACATATTCAAAATACCTTGAGCCTGCATCAAAAAACAGGATACTAAAATCTTGGTGCAATTTCTGTCTCACAGTTTCTCCAATGAACTGGTGGCACTTCCAGAAGCTGCATTTGGTCGCATAGATTTAGGGTTGCAGGTTTGAACCTTACCCTGTGATGTGGTAGTTGATGGGGCAACAGTGAAGGCACAAGAATACCCCCTAATTAATCCAGTGAAGATTCCCATTCCTAATACTAATAGCTATTTAGACAGTGCAGCTGAAAGTTTGTGCATGCGTAGATATCAATGAGGATAAGATCAAGGTCAGCTGAAGATGTCATATGTAATCAAATAATTTTCACCCACAAAATATAGTCAATTCACTTTACAGTATTTTCTGTGAAGTGCTTTGAGACATCTCGAAGACATGATTAGGCGCTAAATTAAATGGAAATATTATTATTATAATAACTTGCTCACATTCCCTGCCAACATGATCAATGGTCACCCTTGACACTGTACCCCAGTTTAAGGAAAAAGGAGTCAAACATCCACAGAAGAGGAGGAAGGGAGAATATTTTAGAAGAAAAATTAATAGCAAATGTCTTTTTTTAAAACAATTCCATCTTGCATGTGGCAATGATGAATTGATAGAATGGTTATGGACATATGGAGGACAAGCAGATTGACTGCTCTGTGTCCTGTGATTTAACGCACACAATGTTATTTCTAATCAAATGGGTGACATTTACGTACAGAAACCCTGGTGACCATTGAAAATATTGCTTCAACATATTGTGAAATTGGAAATCACTTTTTTGGATGTAGAAATAGTTGAAGATTAGTAAGTTCCACCTGCTCCTCTTACACATTCTTGTGGCACACAGAGGGCTGTGGTAAGACTGGGATAGGCAGAATTTCTATTTCTAACATCTGCATAACAATCAAAGGAAAACAGTATGTGTATTTTAATATTCCCTGAGACTGTGCGATACATTACATTTATCAGGGCTCGAGCAAGCCCTCAATGTGATCATAGTTGATTTAAAACTCCCCCAGTCTTTGTAAAGTTCACAGTTCATTTTCCATGTGGCTTCTCCCACACAGAACTTCACGTAAATTAATTTCTCTCAGTGATCCCATCCCACTGGACTTAACTGGCACTTAGCACAAAATGTCAGTGTCAGCTCATACATTTCTGTTCCACATACCTTTCTGTACTAAAATCCCACATTTTAAAAGAAAAGCAAATCACTTTTAATTCTGAGATTATCAATTGAATTTAAAATAATTGGCTGATATTACTTTATGATATTTAGGGTAGAATATACTTAAAATATCCTCCTGAAATGCAAAGTTTATTATTATATATTATATATCTGTAGAGTTAGTACTGCTATTCTGTGCCGGGAAATTAAGGGTGTATCATTAAACCTGACCAGATCTTTCATTATTCAACAAATTAAAGAAAGATACATCAACTGTGATCAATTCAATTTTATTTAAATAAAATCATTATCATTTACAGCATCGCTAAACATTCTCCAGGTTGAGTAAACTGAAACTATCTTTAGTATGAAAAGTATTTTAGTATGAAAATACTAATCTCCTCTCAAAAGGACAAAAATACAACATTAGCATTGCCATTTACACTTTCAGACTACAATTATAGACTACATTGGTAGACTGCAATTATAGACTATACTGGAAATGAATACACTGGCTCAGACAGCATTGACACACAATACATTGACATACAGCACTATCACCTGGAGCCCTGGCATGCATGGTGCAATATATAAATTTTTCTCCAACACAAAGATTTTTTTAAATTAGTGAAATTTCTCTGCGATTCCACTCTATCCCCCCTCTTCCCCCATTCTAAGTCAATGGGAGAGAATAACACACCCTCTGCACTCAGCAAATGTTTATGTAAAAAAAATATTTTTCCTTCTTTCCTTACCCTCTTTTCAATTAAGTGGATTGGAGACCCATTTCTAGGCCTTCTCTGCAAACAATTCTGACCCATATACCTCATATGTACCCTACGCATTTAACTTAGCTGTAAATATAAGCTCCCCATGTGGTGAACCGTGGATTAAATTCATATCTTCACAACCTGTGGTACAGTGTGTTCCCACAGTTACATGTTATGTCAGTGGGAATCATCCACTCCATCCTCCAAGTGGACTTCAATATAAGTTATTTTTACTCAAGTTATTTCACACAATATTCCATTTCAATTTTCAAAAATGCAAGCCAAGTCTCAGCTAGGGTGGATGCGAAGGTGATAAGCTTGCCTAATATTTCGTTAAAATTTAAAATATTCACAATGTCATTTACATAAGCCACCCTAAGCTTCTCATTTCCTTTAGGCGCTCAGATGCCTGTCATGCTGGGGTCACTAGGAGCACACTTAGCTTTCAATGGGATGCTGAATGATTTCACCCACAATGCTGGTCTGCACAGACCACCTCAAAATGCTCAGCAAACAGAAAATGAACAATGTGTAAAATAAGGTGAATATTCTAATGACTGGGTTTTGTTTCTTCCCAAACGTTTATGTTTTATATTTATCAAAAGAAACTCAATAGTTTTGCCAGGAAGACAAACTGTAGTAATTATTTTGTGTGAATGTATTTAATGCTCGTGAAAGTTACAGGAAATACAGCAAAGCAGTAGCTTGTAAAAGAGATTTGTTTCTTAAAGGTAGAGCAATGGCTTTGGCGGATGCTGTTTCTCTGAATTTTATTTCTATTTGTTCTTGTGCAATTTATCCCTGCTGGTTATATTATTATAGGAACAAGATTTTCTGGCTAAAGTCATCTTTGTCAGACATTATATTCATTTATTTAGCTCCTATTAACCACTTTGTCAAGATTGGAAACAGCAGGCCCCTCTCAGCAGAGCTGATCTCTTGTGAATTTTGACATGCGGTGTTGCTTAGCACTGTGATTTTCTTGGCCCAGTTCTGTCCTGCACTTAGTGCTTGCTTAAGAATTAAGAACAATTACAGAGGAAACTAACCTTTTGTCCTGGCTCCCCATCTTCCCCCGATACACCAGGGTCACCCTGAAAGAAATGAACGTGATGTAATCAACATGGGACCGATCAGCAGTGCAACCACTGTGTGCTGTTGATGCATTGCATCCTGTAAATTCCAACCCAACGTCCATCCCAGGAGCATTTTCCTGAATACTAGGGAATCTTGTTATCTGCTTAGTCCAATGTCTCATTGACTAAATTATAAGTGAAACGCTACAAAATGGCTGACTTCTGGGCAATCAGCTTGCCACTGACACGATACCTGAATGCCACATTATGCGTAAAGCATGCCACTGATATCACTTCTTCTGTGATTATTGCACACGGCACCGGAAATTACATCAACAGCACTGCCTACACATAATTATATAAAACTGGAGGACTTTGCTTTATCACTCCTCTGATATAACACATCCTGGCTCCTAGCTCTGCATCTACAGTGAACCTGCCCTAACCAGAAGCACAGTACCTTCAGCTTTCGACAGTGAGCAGCTGCTTCCCTCGCTACACGATGCCAAGCTTCTAGGTGTCAGGTCGCAATGCACAGGAGGTGACATCAGCAGTGACTTGACAACCCGGAAATCAGAAGTTGATCGTTGGGTAGTGTGGAAACCATCTGGTCAGATCACATCTGGAGGCTGAGCCTTCAGCGCCTCCGGCTCACCCTATGCCAGACGGGCATTATATCAAGGTTGCCATGTCCTGCATTTCTTATCCAGTGAATTGAAGAACTTTACATTTAGGTTCAAAAAGTACTTGAAAATAAGGGGCTGAAGTTTTATGATATTTTGCAATGTTTTCCTCATTATAGTTATACTCAAGAAAAAGAACAGAACCATATCTGGCAACTGCAGACCTTCAAGAAATGGAGAACATAGAATTAAATAGAATTCTACAGCACAAAACAGGCCATTTGGCCCAACTGGTCCATGCTGGTGATGATACTCCACATGAGCCTCCACCCATCCTAATCCCCTCTCCTATACCCACCATTATATTCTCTCATGAATGCGTTGTTTCCTCTTTTAGAGAAATTAAAAGTTAATCATCAGAAAGAAAATGAAATATTACCGGAAAACAAAATCTAATAAATTATTGTCTGACCAACCTATCAAACTTTTCAAAATGACCGGGAAATCATATAATGTAGTGTAATGTATCTAGACTTCCAAAAAACATTTAACAAAGTATCAAAGGTGAGACTCCTTCACAAACTGATGTGACTGGGTACCATATGGACATGAATTCAAAGTTGTCTGAAGGAAAAAGTAGTTATTACAGAAGCTGGGGGAGAGTTAAGGTAGTTACATTTGCAGATGGGGAACCGTGGAAGCAGAGCAGTCACCAAAGGTCATACAAAGAGAGCTTGATAGCATATGCTCATGAGTCGATGACTGGCAATTGAAGTTTAATATATATATTAATTAACTTGCATGTACATAATGCCCCTCATGCAGGGTAATGTCCCAGAGCTCTTGACAGTGGCAGAGCCTGATGCTGAGACAGAGGGAGGTGACCATAAGCACTGGTTGAAGAGCAAGGTCTTCAGGTGTGATCTGATGACGGGAAGGAGGGATAGTGTTCCAAGGTTTCAGGGCGTAGTGGCTGAAACCAATGTTGGAATGAAGGGCATGAGGAACATGCAGGAGGTCGGAGCCAGTTGAGCAGAGGCAGTTGGTAGTGGGTTGGGGAGTAAGCAGGTCGGAGAGATAGGGAGGTGCCAGGGAATGAAGGGACTTGAAAACTAGGTAAGGATCTTGAAAGCGAGAGGGAGCCAGTGGAGCCTGGCTAGAACTGGTGTGATTACAAATTTTAGTACGGGTGAGTATGCGGCCAGCAGAGTTTTGGATCCATACATGCAAGATACTGCATATAGGAAAGTAAGAATAGGAAACACAAGTACTCTATGGATAGGATACAATTTGTCGAGGGAGAAGCTGAAAGAGATTCAGTCTCTGACTCATTGTTCACCATGTCAAAACAGTGTAAGGCAGCAATAAGGAAGGCAAACAGGATGCTGGGGTATATTGCCAAATTAGATGAGTTCAGAATCCCAGAAGTCGTATTCAAGCTGTATAGTGTGCTGGCTGCATTTCGATTATTACATATAGTTCTGTTCGCTAAGACATAAGCGGGCTGCCCAGGCCTTAGAGGCAGTTCAGAGAGGAAAGTAATGATGAAAATCCCCAGTGTTCGAGGTATGATTCTATGAACATTGATTAAACAGCCTGGGGCTCTACAGCGTTTAAAGGAGACATGTCAGAGGGGACCTTATAGAGGAATATAAGACTTCAAATGGGATTCAGGAAGTAAACCAGAGCAATATTTTTGTATGTACCAAGACAGCAGAACAAGAGGTCACACATTATTGGTAGAAAAGGGCAATTTTTCAGACAGATACTAAGATTTCTTACTCAGAGGGTAATTAACAACTGGAGCAAGTTCCCAGTAAGAGAACTTGAGGCTTAAATGCTGGACTCATTAAAAAAGCAGCTTGATGCTGTAATGGAAGGATGGTAAGCTTCCCTCGTATCATCCCTATTCCCTAACTACTGTCCCATTTCCTCTGGAATGATTTGTTGCTTCCCAGCTTTGCTTCTTCCTTTCCCTTCACTCCCTACATGAACCCCTCCAATTCGGCTTCCATGCTGCCCACAGTACTGAGACTGCCCTAGTCAAAGTCACCATGATATTCTCTCCATCTGTGAAAAAGAAACACTCTGCCCCCTCGTCTTTCTTGACCTATCTGCTGCCTTCGATACTGATACTTCAATTCTATCATTCTCCACTGTCTTTCCTCTCTGCTCAACACTTATGGTTCTGATCTTTCCTGGTTTCATCCTTACCTATCCTAACGTCTCTGCTTCATATCTGCCAACGGCTTCTCCTCCTACTCCTGCACCATCACACGTGGTATTCCTTAGACTCTATGCTTGGTCCTGTCCTCTTTAATATATACATGTTCCCGTTCAGCCATGTCTTCTACAGACATGGGATTAACTTCCACATGTATGCGGATGGCATCCAACTCTATCTATCTGCCTCCACTCTCGATTTCAGCACTACTGCTGTCCTTACTGATTGCCTGTCAGGCATCAAATATTGGAGGAGTGCCAACTTTCTCCAATTGAACGTTGACAAGACAGCGGCTCTCCTATTTGGCTCTAGTCAGCAACTTCTTACCTTGGGTGCTGATAGCATCAATCTACATGGATGCACACACCACCTCACGGATCTAGTGCAGTATTTCAGTGCTTTGTTCGACTCTCAGGTGTCTTTTAAACCCCACATCCATTTCCTGACCCATTCAGCTTTCCCCCATCTCCATAACATTGCCTGCCTCTACTACTACCTCTCCCTTTGGGGGGGCTGAGACCTTCATCTATGGTTTTGTCACATCCAGACTACACTATGCCAACTCTCTGCTCACTGGAAATCTAAACTCTTCCTTCAACAAGCTACAGACCATTCAGAACTCTGCAGCCTGTATTCTCTACCACAGTAGACTCCTCACTCAGTTTCACGAGCTCTCCTTCCGCCAGAGGATTGAGTTCAAGATCTTCTTCCTCACCTCTGTGACCTTCTAAAACCCACATGCTTCCTCTGATCGACAGGCAATAGATTGCTTCACATCCCCTGCCCGGCCCACCATCAGCCATCAGGCTTGCAGCCTATCTAAACACACTCTCTGGAACTCCATCCTGGAATCTCTTCACCTCACCCCTTCCCTCGCCTTCTTCAAGGTCTGTTCAAGATATTCCTCTTTAATTGCGTCTTCGGTCATCTCAAAATTGAGATTAACCAAATTTAGTTCAACCAGCAAAGACAAATGCGCCCCTCTCACCAATATAGAGCAATAGAGCATCCATGTCAAGTCAATGTGACTATCTAAATAAAGGAGCTACCAATGAATTAGAGGGAACTATGTGCATTCATTCATTCATGAACGTCCTCTTTACTTCACGAGGATGATGGGAGGCTAATGGTGGAAGGAGAGGGATTTATCAGATAAAAAGAATCTAAGAAGTTGCAAGAAATGATTTGAATACCTGTACAACTGCTGAAAGGAAGAAAAAATTCTGATTGAATTAAGAACTATACTTATAGTTAATTAAGCACCGCTTGCATTTCTACTTTCTGGAGTCCTGTAGCTCAGTGATTAGAGCACTCGCTTTGCAAGTGAGAGATCTGAGTTCAGTTCCAGGCAGGGCGAAACCTTGGGCAAGTTTCCTTACTCCACACGCCTAATAATAATCCCTCCAAAACCAAAAACAATAATAAATTGGTCATTTTCAATCTACGACTGTGTGTGGGACATTGCTGTGCCAATTAGCTGCCGCGTTCGCCCACAAATATACAATCAATTCACTTCACTGCGTGTTCTGTGAAGCGCTTTGGGACATCCTCCCAACGTGAAAAGCGCTATATCAAATGCAAGGATTATTATTATTATATTCTATTAAGATTTTCAAACTGTTCATATAAGCGCTTTGAGACGTCGAGAAGACGTGAAAAGCGCTTATCAAATGCAAGGATTATTATTATCATATATAAAAAAATACTCTCAGAATAATGATTCATGTCATATCATGATGGATTTTAGAACAATTGCAACACAAACTGGAGCTTTTTAAATAAACTGTTTGGTCTTGTAGTATCCAACAGGATAATACGATTAGATATTAAAAAAGTAAATCTGCAATAAAAATAGAAAATGCTGAGATAACACTGCAGGCTGATTAGCATCTGAAAGAGGTTAACATTTTGAACATTTTTGGGTAAAACCCTTCATCAGAACTAGAAGTTTTGGGCTGAAATCCAATAGGAATGTTCCATTAAACGTGCCTTATTAAACTCGTGAAACAAACCCATGAGAGTGGACGGACAGACCGTCAGGTCAGTCTTTGAATGGAAAAGCCATTGTTCCAAGACTTAAAAGCCACAATGTATTGGGACACAGGTAGGAAAAGTGAAATATTGCATATTCACTTACATTAAAAGCAGATCACATAACTGTTATCACAATAGAGATTTTTAGATTTTTCCTAAATCAGTTGAAAGCCTGAGGCTAATGTTGCTGCCAATTGTTTAACTTCAAAGTTGTTTAGTAATAAATGACTCTCTTTTGTAATTGCCAGACAGCCACTACAGACTCATCACTCATTGCTTCCTGGAACAAGATCATTCTGCTGCATCTGAGCATGATCTGTTTGGTGCAATCGCTTCATCTCATTCGTTAGGACAGATGCATACCAGTTCTCTGTCTCTTATCGTACTTAACACAAACCAGATTTGCTTTTTGCATTAACTGATTCTTTCCACAGGATGATTTTTAATGTTTATTTGTTGATGAAGCTCCCAATTCCTTTTTGTCACTGGAATCATTCCTGAATTAGCAAAGTCTGCGAATTGCCTGTTTTTGAACAACGTGGTAAAATAGCCTGAGAAACTCTACAGAAAGTGCAATTAAATTCAAATACACAGCAGGGCAATCAATATCTGAAGGAGAAATGCAGTTGAACAATTCAAACATGACCCTTCAAAGTTCTGATGATGCGTCACACTTAAATCATTAATTTATTTCCTCTCTCAGTTCCTGATTGACTTTTGAAGCTTTTCCAGCATTTTGTTTTTAATATCAGAGATTTCTCGCATCCATAGCTCTATACTGACTTTTTACCAGCATGGAGATGATGGCAATCCATAGTCCTTGTATTTGACATCTGCATCTTTCATGTCGGGAGGACGCATTGAAGCGCTTCACAGGATTTTACTGTAAAGTGTAGCGACTGTATTTTGTATCCGAACAAGACAGTCAATTTGTGCATAGCAATGTCCACAAACAGCCATGAAGTGAATCACCAATTTACTAGCCGATCACAAAAGGTGTAGTCATCACAGTACAGTCAATATTTTACCTAGTTTTAGTCTGTGACTGTTTTATTTTAAAATTTAGACTTGGGAGAAATGTGAAAAATTCTTAAATTCAGTGTTAATTTGGAAGACTATTCTTCAGTTCTTATAAATAAATTAAGATTGGATTTAAGAATTTTCCAAAATTTGAAAGGCAAAATAATTTTACAGGCTAAGACTAAGTGGAATTTCAGGCCGAGCACTGTTAAAATGACTAGTTAATCCTGGATTGTATATAAACAGATTCATGTCATGCTCCACAACAACTAGGAACTGGATTAAAAATACCAAAACTCATTTCACTTTGAATTCACAGCGCAGCAATTCATTATGAACAGCATTTGTCACATTGCTAAGTGTAGCAAATATGACAAATCTGTCAGCCGCACAGAGATAATGTCACTGGAGCACTTTTGACCCAACGTCAGTGTCACTACATTTAAGCGCCACAATGAATCTTTCATCCTAATAATCTCTCAAAAACAAATGTGGTCATTCAATCCATGACTGTTTGTAGGACACTGCTGTGCGCAACTGGCTGCTGCATTTCGCCCACAAAATACAGTCGATCCAGTTTATAATATATTCTATATTCTGTGAAACACTTTGAGACATCTCATCGAGGTGATACGGTGCTATATCAAATGCCAGGATTATTATTATTATTATATTACAATTAGTCTTATTCTGTATATAAATTTATCAAATGACCCATACAGAGATCACTATATTTAAACAACTTTGGCAATTTTAAAATAAATTAATAATAATAATAATCCTTGTATTTGATATAGCGCTTTTCATGTCTTCTAATCGTCTCAAAGCGCTTCTCAGGATAGACTGTAAAGTGAATTGACTATATATTTGTGGGCAAAATGCAGCAGCCAATTGCGCACAGCGGTGTCCCACAAACAGTTGTGGATTGAAATGATCAATTTATTATTGTTTTTTTTCTTGAGGGATTATTATCAAGCGTGTGGAGTAAGGAAACTTGCCCAAGGTTTCACCCTGCCGGGAATCGATCCCAGGTCTCTCGCTTGCAAAGCGAGTGCTCTAACCACTGAGCTACAGGACTTCACAATTGTATATATGTTGGAAACTTTTCTCTGGACTGTGAGAGGCGCACAAATAGAATCAATGTTTGTCAGTGCATCGTGAAGAGTGTATGGATTTTACCTTTTGTCCATGAAAGCCCGGAACACCAGTGTTTCCTATAGAGCCCTGCAAGAATAAAATTAAATTGATATAAAGTCAATAAATTAATAGTTGGAAAGGCAAGCTGGCCAGTGATTAACAGCAAGTCAACTCATGTAACAGAGGTAGACAGCTTTTGTGTGAGCTTGTACAAATAACGCAGTTTGAGATGAATGTTCCGTTTGCCTGTTGTGGAGACTGTATCGACATTCCTTCCAGTTAAGCCCACAACTAGTTCTCCTCTAATTTTGCCCTAATTTTATCCTCAATTCACGGTTCTCATTCTGCACTTCCCAGGTCACTCACCACTTTCAGCTGAGTACTCAGAGGAGGTGTTGCCTTGGCTGCTTTTGCGTCGACTTCCAGGAGTCAGCCTGACTCAGTGGGTAGCACTCACTCCTCTCGGTCTGAACATTGTGGGTTCAAGCCTCAGGTCATGACTTGAGTTTGATTGTCTGGATCAAAATTGTGGTATTCCTAAACACATTCTGTTCCTTAATTTAGGGAGAATATTTAAAAAGTGCCTTTAAATACTTCACCACTTCTCCCAACTTCTGAATAAGGACGTGAAAGCTGTTATCTCAAATACAGTGACTGGATCACCATGATTTGCGTGCTGGGAACTTGCTGAAAAATGCTCAGAGATCACTGTTCTTTGAAGGCTTTTAGATACCACTTTTTTTCTCCCAAATTCCTATTTCTGTTCCGAACTGCATACGATAAGAACAGGATTAGAGAAGTTTGGTGTAACTTTGTTTTGGGTGGTTAGGGAGTTGTAAAAGTATCATTCTGCTCATTTTTATGATTTTTTAAAAATGTAAGTAAGTGGACCAACTGAAAGAGTACAGAGGCAACCATTGTCTATTAAAGTATGTTATTCCATATTTGTTAATAGTTTGGAGAGGACCCACTGTCACTGAATGGCGGCTGGCGCTCAGGTACATTCTACTCCTGACGTTCTTTACGAAGTGGTGATGAAGAAATCCCATAAATTGTGTGTTCAGTTTATCAAAAACTGGCAGCTGATTCTGATAACTGTAAAAGGCGCTGACAGAGGGCTCAGGATGTCTGTCATCGGGTTACCTCAGAAACAGGAAAACATCGACGGTTCGCTGATCACAGCAAAACCAAAATCCATTCATCAGCAACACATAGCAAGTTTTGCTTAGTATCAATCTGCGGCAATGATGTATTACGCTTAGTTTGGGCTGTAGCAGAAACTATATCCCCCATATATGTTTCAAATTTAAATTCCAGAGTTATGCCAGCAAATGAATAGGAAAGTCAACTGGCTTTCTTTACTTTCCTTTTAGCATCCATACACCGAAGAAAGACTTAAAACAGCCTTGCTTTTTTTTTTAAACTTGAAATCCACAATGTGGGAAAATTACTGTTATTTGGGGGAAAAGTTAAAATTGCAGTCAAAAAGCATGTAGTAATTCCTGACCTACAGTAGCATGTAACTTTCTATTCTGGTTTTAGGGTCAAGTGTTGGTAATAAACATTTTGATTTCTTTCCCAGTCTTTGTTTAACAATACTATACCTTTTGTCCTGGCGGTCCCTTGGGTCCCTGAAACAAAAAGTACAACAAAGGCATAATTATGTGATAATTTCACATAAGTGATCAATTTTAAACGTCTAACCGTGTAAGCATTTCAAAGAGACTCTGCTGTTGGCTGGCGTGCTAACAGAGACGCAAAGGTGGTTGGTTGCATGTTTGGCCAAAGACAAAAGCCATTTGTTCTGTGAATAACTTCAGCTGCTGAAATGTGATTTCTGTTAAACCTTAGCTCAATGGAATTCTGGAGGATGACCAGAATGCACCAGAGTCCGCTAATCGATACCAGTTGCATCCCAGTAGCATTTTGTGACACTGCTCTTCATTATTTGCTGCAGCTTTGAATTAATCTGTGTCATATTCTCTTTTGTTATTGAAATAAGGATGCAAGACATTTAGTTAATTAATAACATGTGCCAGTCTCAATGGTGACTGAAGTGTAAATTAAATACAGTATCCGAAATCCAGTTATGTAAGAATTGTGATTATTTAAAATACCAGACAAAGACCCTTCAGCTATTTGCCTCACTTTCTTCTCAGGTCCTGCAGACCGTACTGCTTTACCAGACCTTGAACGATCTTGCTTTCATTAACGCTGCTCTTTCCAGTGGAAAGAATTCAAGAGTCTCATGAAAACAGCACCCTGTGGTTCAACGGTCACTATGCACCTGTACCACATGCTGCAGAATTTGCCAACTCCGTTGGCAGGAAATGCCTGAAAGGGGAAAGCGCACATGTTTCTCTTTCATATGGAAAGGTTAAAATTCTGGATCAAACGTTTGGTCATATAAATAATAATCCTTGTGTTTGATACAGTGCCTTATCACATCGTCGAGATGTCTCAAAGCCCTTCACAGGATATATTGTAAAGTGGATTGACTGTGGATTTTGTAGGCAAAATATAGAGGGCAGGGGAGGGAGAGTTGGAGAGGAGATCACAAAATCCAGGAGTTAGAAATTGTCCTGCTGTTGAGTTGAGGAAACATTCAAAATTTCAATCCTTTTAAGAGATAAATACAAAATAAATATATCTTGACTGACTGAATATGATTAGTTCAAGAAGGTGTTTAAGGAGCTCCAGCTTGGAGGACATCTGTTTTTGGCTGAAGTAAGAGAGCTGTATGGCCACACCAGTGTGGCAGAGGTGAAAGGGAGGCTAGCTTCCAGGCCAGCTCTGCGTGGATTTGGTAAAACATTTTTTCAAAGGTGCTTCCTTCAACAGCTGTCAATTCATTGCTAATGTTTAATGGGTGATGAGGTGGCTGGGTGAAGTGTTGGAAATAGTAATGTGGAAGGGCAGAAAGGGCAGAGAGCATTTGCAGCTGTACAACTGACAAGAATTTTGTATTTGCAATTGTTAGTCCGACAAACCCTTATCAGAGGAGCACAACAATTTCTCAGGTATTCTGCCAGTAGTGCAATCCCAAGGCACCATTTTTTTCTTTGAGGATGGGATACTAATGTCTTAAAGCAGTGTAATGTGCAAGTGTGTATTTTCTTACTATTTTCTGGCAATTTAGCAATAAATCACAGAGATGAGTTCATTACCTCCCCAGACCCCCTATTTGCACTTCAGCAGCTGCAGGCCATAAGCTTAAGTGTGATTTTATAAAGAGTCAATCCAGGTGCAAACAATGCTTAAAAACAATAGGGGAATTTTTACTCCTGTCAGGAACATTTCCAGACTTTTGATAGTGTGGTGTTACAATAGGGACTTTTTTTATTACAAGCGCACACTGCTATGTCCGGTACTTTTCTGAAAGGAATAAAACTCCTCTCAGTATGGTTGGTGTGTTTGAAAGCTACTAGTTTCTCAAACTTAAAGTTCCCAGTTTGATGCTGGGAGACTCAGTAAAATTGAAATAGAGGGAATTAAAATATGTTTCTTTACATACAACTTAACAATTCAATTCACCTGTTTTGAAGAATTGCAGTGAGCTCTCCCAATATTCTCTCTCATCTGAATTCTCAAAAAATATAGTTAAACGAGTTGAATATGCAACAAATTTTAACAAGATTTCTTAATAAGAAATTTGATTGGGGACTTCTTTAGGTAAATGAATTGATTTTAAGCTGACCCATAGCATCCCTGCTCTGAAACTGGATCATGCCAAAACAGAGTTCCGGCTTGTTAGTTCAAGGAACTTCCAGTTTCCTTTTTAAGGACTTATTTTTGGGACGTGGTTGGCGCCGGCACAGTCAGCATTTATTATCCATCCCTGGTACCCTGAGATGGTGGTGATGAGCCTTCTCTTTAAATTGCTGCAACTGTTGATGTGATGGTGATCCCACAATGTCATCAGGTTGGAAGTTCCAGCATTTTGACCCACTGACAATAAACAGCGATGTACCAAGTCAGGATGGTGGTTGCCTCGGAGTGTAACTTGGAGGTTTTGGTGTTCCAAAACCTCTAAATTCCAATAGATATCACTGCATATTCTTCTCAGAAAGTGGGAAAGGAAAACTGGTGCTATCCAGCTCACTCATTGTGTTTTCTGCTCAGAGTGATAGTAATCAGAGAGAAAATCCACAGACTTGGCCATGGTAAGATATCGCCAAATGCCAAGTCTTTGCATTTTTCTTGGGTTCAATACGGAAACAGATCTAGAGCTGAATTTCCAACAATAACACTAATAATCCTTGCATTTCATATAACACGTACAATATCTTTATGGATTGAATTATTTGTGCTTTAACTGAATTTAGATTATACAAAATGGATATAAATTGTTCAAAAGGTTTACGTTTCTTACCCTGCATTTATTCCTGTCAGAAAGATGTACTGAAAAATAATAGACTGACTAATAAATCACATTGAATCTATTTTGGCTGTAATTTGATAAGGCCAACAATGTGCTGTCTGCACGGGGAATATTTAGAACAAAAATATAGAAACATTGGATCCTTTTACATCTCCCTAAAATGAGATGGGAATTAAAAATGCCAATATGTGTTGCAATTATTCCAATGATTAATTAACCATGGCATTGCTTTCTATCTTTCTGTCCCTTTCCATCAGTGTAATCCATGAATAAATATTTACTCACCATCAAGCCTTTTTCACCTCTTGCACCCAATTCTCCCTGAAGTGAAAACAAACATTTGTTTAATATATTTAATATATTTTCACCAATTGCACAGTGACAGACATCAGTAGAATTTAACATCAAAAAATTATCATTTTTTGGCCTGCTTTTGAAGGTATTTGCTCCCTTGCCCCTTTATTTAGTCTCCCTGGACCAATATGAAATCCTCAGCTAGGAGGAAGGTTTGTAACTTACTCCTGAACTCCAATACAATATTGATACTCGCTGCCAAGAGCTGCTAATGGTCTAGAGGAAGTGTCTAACCTTCTCTGAAGAAAATTGTAAGCACCTTCAGGGGGACACAGATTAGTTGATTGGGCAGAGAAATGGCAAATGAAATTTAATGTGGACAAATGTGAGGTTATACATTTTAGAGGGAGAATAGGAGGACATATATATGTTGGGTGGTAAAATATTAAAAGGAGTGAAAGAGCAAATGGACTTGGGAGTTAATGTGGGGGTTTGGGGGACTTGGGGATTTCATAAATCCTTAAAGGTGGGAAGGCAGATGGACAACGCTGTCAAAAAAGCTATTGGAATCTTAGGTATTATTAATAGGGGTATGAACTATAGAGATCATGCTAAACTTATATAAATTGTTAGTTAGACTGCAGTTAGAACATTGCATTCACCCCACTTTAGGTGGAGTATTGGGTGACCAAACCCCACCTAAAGTGGGGTATTATTCAACCTACTTTAGGAAAGACATCAAGGTGTTAGAGGGAGTGCAGGGAAGATTACTAGGATAATAAAGAGATGAATGGTTTGGCCTATGAGTGGAGACTGGAGGAACTGGGACTTTTTCTGCTGGAACAAAGATTGAGGGATGACATGATAGAGATCTGTAAAATTATGAGGGATATTGATAGTCAATAGGGAAAAAATATTTCCACTGGTTGGTGAGTCGGTAACATCAATTTAAAATATTTAGTAAACGAACAAATGGAAAAAAAGTTCACGAACAGAGTAGGGAGGATACAGAATGCCCTGCCAGGAGTGGTGGTTGAGGCAGAATCTATATTGGCCTTCAAGAAGGAACTAGACTGAATTGCATCTTTAAATGAATTTGATAGTTCAGGCTAATGACATAGCAATACAGATGTCCTCGTGTTTCTGCAACTTTATTACTCTAATATTAATTTTCCTTCAGCATCACAATGCACAAGCTGAAAGAGCACAGACAGGTCAGTTCAAGAAGACAGGAGGCTCCACAGAGCTTTGGGTGGGTGTCGTAGGGTGAAAGATCACAAGATTGACTTTGGATAAAGAAGGCCTTTGGGCCATCTTATCTCATTCCTCCAGAAACCCCACCCTGCCATCCTCCCATCACAGCATCAAGCTGCTTTCTAAATGAGGAATCACTGCAAAATGAACTGAAATGAATCCGAAGGATTACTTACAGATACTCCTGGCATTCCGCGGGGACCATCCTTTCCTGTGTCACCTGGGGGTCCACGTGGGCCAGGAGGACCTGGAGGCCCCGGTGGTCCAGGGGACCCAACTTGACCTTGATCACCCTATACGTTAGCAAAAAAGTGTAAATACAAAAACAATACAAAATATCCATTTCAGTCACTTGAATCCAAAATCTCACGGGCACATATTATTTATTACATTTTACTCTGATATACAATTGTTAAAGATTATGATTTATTTTCCAAGTGACTTGAACAAATTATATCGAAGGCAATTGTTTAATTATTACCAAGCACAATACAGATAAAGAAAACCAAGGAAAGGTAAGAATCGTATTTACAGCAAAGAATGTAAAGAAGAATTCTACAAGCATCAGCTCTACTACCTTTATGAGACGTCGTTTAATAAGCTGCTGATCAGCCGACAGGAACCCATGATTGACTCTTGGGTATGGAAACGCCATCTGATCAGGCAGGTAAAGTCAAAGTTTGGAGGTAAAAGGTGAGAAAGGTGAAGGAATGGCAAGGGAATGGCAAGGGAAGGTATCAAAAGAAGGAGGAGATAAGATTAAGAACAGCAAAGTTCAATGAATATTTCTATAACCTACATAAAACAGAAGCTTTGGCTGTGAAATCCATGCCATATCGATACCAATATGCATAAGGAAAAGATCAGATAAAGAACAACGGTTCCATGAAATACTCTTTTTCCAATCTTTAAAAGATTTAAATGCTTGTTCAAAGTGGCATAATTATATAAGAAAACCGTAATTGATAATCATTTTCCCTAATATATTCAATTAACCTGCTCTCTAAATCTCACTTACCAGCTTATCTAATCATCTGATGTTTATATTGCATAATTCTAACCCTGAAGCACTAGAAATAAATCCCGATAATTTAGAAACATACGGTATTGACTGGCTATTGCCACTATTAGTGTGACGGATAATGCCAAATATTCAAAGCAAAGTTCTCCTTTTATGTTCATTTGTCTTAATGCTCTTGCCCCGTAACTGGTGGAGGTCACACAATTCAAAGCAAGGCAACCTTATGAAATGTCACACTTCAATTTGCATGTTGATGGACAATAGGCATGGATTCCAGTAACCAAAGTATTAGGATCTGCAGTGATACATTCAGTCAGACATTTGGCTCAGCATACTGATTCTGCACTTAATCAAGCAAGTGATAAACACAACCCACTGTGCCAATAGATAGCCATTCAGTTGAATTGCATATTTGTTTTTGTCTGGTGATTGCAAAGTTTTGATGAGAACGCTTTGTTGCATAACAGAATTTAATAAGTAAATGAACAAATTCAGAGATTCGCCAGTATTTATAGGTAAATGGAAAGACACTTCCTCTGTGGCTTTTGTGAATAAGAGAAAGGTTAATTTTTGAATTATAATCTGATAGTTCCTCATTAACTGCTTGAATTAAAATATTTAACTGTTAGTTTATTACACATTCATTGTTTCATTATTTTCAAATCGATTAAAATGAATGTTGAAAATGACAAATAATTGCTTGCAATGAATCAACCCTTTTTCTGATTCTGGAAGTTTTGGAATTGACTGAAATTACAAAATTGCTTAGTTTGCTTTGTAACCTTTGCACTTTTTTTTCTCTCCTTAGTGGAATTACATTGGTATTTATCTGGAACATGGGAAAGTTTTGCCCATGCTTAGCTCCTGATATCTGTCACTACTTCTCTCATGTTGACCAATCGATGGGGCACTTGTGCAGTAGAGAGCTCCTGCTTCAGCTCTCTTCATACCACTCCCCACGCTACCTCTTACATCCCAATCTGGTTCTCTTCCTGTCACTCTCTGCACTGCCTCTCATGAAGTTGTACAGCGTGGAGAGCGACAGGATTAGAACTGGAGGACTAGAGATATGAGGCAATGCGGAGAGTGACGGGAAAAGTATCGGAGCGGGAGGTAAAGGCATCATATGTACACCTAAAGGCCCCCAGGGGGCAGTTATCTCCACCCTGCCCTGATTACCTTTGCCTCTGACACACATCAAACAAAGTGGAATAGCCCTTTATTTTTTAATTTGTGTTTTCTTGATATCTCAGTGAATAAACATGTGGACTAAGATTAACCCAGGTTCGATCGTCAGTCTGCATTGAGATGGCGAATCTCAGTAAGAGCAACTCTGTGTTCCCAGGTTGAGGACAGGAAAATAATTTAAAAATCATTATATTTGAAATAACACCGGTTCACGTCAGGAGGACATCTTAAAGCACTTCACTGTAAAGTGTAGTGATGTATACTTTGTAGGCGAACATCAAGGGTTCCTGCACTTGATTATAATCCAGCAACCGCTGGAGGAAAATGTATCTATGTGAACAAGATCAGGTTTTGCTCTGATTTATCCCTACTGCCTCTAATTACAAAGTAATGTGTTCAGTTACAGGAAAGGTACATTGGTCTTGGAACAAGTCCAGCAGCAATTCACCAGGATGATAGCTTGGATAAAGGAAGTTAGTATGATGAGAGACTGGATAAACTTGGGTTTATAGTCCCAAGAATACAGTAAGTTAAAGGGTGTTCTGATTGAGGTCTTTAATATAAGAAAGAGAATTGACGGGCTGGTAATGTGTACTTCATGGGTGAACATCAGGGTTCCTGCACTGATTACAATCCAGCAATTGCTCAAAGAAAATGTATCTATTTGAACAAGATCTGGAAGGGGTGCAGCACAGGTTCACCATAATGATACCGGGGATTAAAGGGTTAAATTATGAGGATATAAATTATGCATAAACTTGGTCCCTGTTTCCTTGCATTTAGAAGGTTGAGAGGTGATCTGATTGAGGTTTTTAAAATGATAAATGGATTCAATCGGGTAGATAAAGGTATTCAATAGGGTGGGGGAATCCAAAACAAGGGGGCATAATCTTAAAATTAGAGCTGGGCTATTTAGGACTGAAATCAGAAGGCAGTTTTTCACCCCAGTGGTAGTGGAAATCTGGAACTCTCTGCCCCAAAATGCTGTGGATTCTGGATCCATTCACATTTTTAAGACTAAGGTGGATAGATATTTGTTAGACCGGGGTGTTAAGGGATATTGGGTAAGGGCAGGTAATTGAAGTTGAGGTACAGATCAGCCATGATCTTACAGAACGGCGGAACAGGCTCGAGGGGCTGAATGGTCTACTCATGTTTCTATGGGAACTACACTTCCTTATGGTAGGGGAATCCAGAGTATGTGCACACTATTTTAAAATAGAGGTAAATTGGTTGAAAGTGAATCCAGAAAACAATTCTTCATTAAAAGGTTATGAGAATGTGAAATCACTGTCAGGCGCAGAATCAATTGAGGTGTTTAAGGAGGAGTTCGATTGGTACGTCGAAGGTAAGAATATGAAGAAAAGATAGGGAAGTAGATTAAAAAGCATTATCATAAACTAACACAATTGCTGAGCAGATTGGATGGGTTTAATAGCCCACTCCTGATCTATTTTCAACACACACACCCACCACTGTCAAATAATGAATTGACACTAACTACACTCAGAAAGCAGAATTAGGTTAGATATCAGGGGCTACGCTCACTCGTGCAGCCTTACTGTAATTTGAGTCAATGCTTTCCAATAAAGAGGAAAAAAAACAATGAGGAAGTAAAACATCAATACTTTAACCATCATAATAAAGTTTTACTAAACATTGTGGGACACTGTGCATGTTGTTTTAAAATTAAAAAAATGATTTTAGACTTCACCAGCACATTAGCCAACAGACAGGGATATCTTCAATTTCAATGACCAATTCATGTTTATTGGAGGAGGCTTATCAAAGTCAACCGATTGCGACAGGATGCTGGCTGAGGCCTGACTGAGCATGCACGCGTTATCCACAAACCTTGACAGTGAGGATTTGGTTACTGTGCAGAGCCGCCACTGTGGGAGAGCCCGGCAAACCCTGGGAACACAACACAATGTAGGAACAAAAACACACAGCAACACAGCACAAGGTTTCTTCAGCGCAACAGGTAACAGGCATGCGGATTGTTATTTTCTCTCCTTCACAGAGCCTCAGCTTCACGCATGCTAAACTGAAACTGGGCCAAGGTTCTGAAACAGTAAAGAATATTTTTCTTTAGCGTATCTTTTTTCGGAAGGTTTTCAATCACCCAGTTCACATTTTTAGGATGCTTGTAGGATGTCTTTTGTTAAGAACTTCATTCTAATTTAATTTCCAGTTGCCAAATTAGTAAATATAATATTGTGGTGCCAACTCAGTGGTTCAAATGATATTTAACGTATTGAATGGATTCTGACCTGGCGCCAGTTTCAGTGGCAAAATCTGAGAACCTAGTCCTGCAGGATTGGATTTCCAGTTTGCAGGTCACATTTTTGATTGCTGTTTATCAGGATACTGGAGTTTTCAGATTTTGTTCACTAAAAAACTGGTATCCTAATAACAGGCAGGGGAAGGTCAGCATCCATGAGCAAACATGAGATCAGCCAAGCCTAATCTCTCCTTACCTTACGCTTCACACACAACTAGTAGTGAAGAGGAACCACAATCAGGAATTCTTGGCTGGTTTTTCCCTCCCTATCCCTTTGATGGCCAATTTAGTTTCCCTATACAACCCTTATTGAGCAGATTCAGCATGGGCAGGGATTTAACAAGCAGGTTCCTGATCCATAAACTGCAGCTCCAGTAATTACACCATGCAGCCTACCCCCATTGCTGATGTTTTAGAACTTGAGTTAAAAGCAGTGGGATAGTCAACAGTGATACCATTTTATCATCCAACTTTATACAATAAAACTAAATAATCCTTGCATGTGATATAGCACCTTTGAAGTTGGTAGGATGTATCAAAACACTTCACAAGATTTTCTGAAAGTGTATATTTTGTAGGCAAACACAACAGCCAATTTGCATGCAACATTGTTCCACAAACTGCCATGAAGTGACCAATTTTATTTAGGGGATTATTGGCCAGGACCTCGGGAGAAATTCCCTTTTCTTTTCAAATGATGCCATGGGATCTTTAACGTCCACCTGAACAGGCAGATGGGACCTCAGTTTAATGTCTCAGATGTAAAAGAGGAGAGGACCAAGGATAGAGCCCTGAGAAATGCTAAACATGACTGTGTGGGGACAGGAGGAGAATCCATTGGGGGTACAAAGTGGAGATGTTGGGATAGGTAAGAATGAAACCAGGCAAGGATAGAACTGTGAAGGTGGAGCTGAGAGTAAAGGTGGTGGAGAAGGATAGAATATTTGGCAGTGTCACAGATGGCAGAGAAGTCAAGAAGGACGAGGAGGCACAGATTACTGTACTTGCGAACATGAGTTACACATTAGCGTCACATCTGACTCTAATCTGTATTGTGAGAAGAAAGCTGTTTGAATCAAATGATATGCATCTAGGTACGGAGTGTGCTTTCTTGAAACAAATCACAATTCTTTATGAGTTAAAAATAAACCACCTCTTCAAGGTTCTTCTGTGAAAGGAAAGTGCTCTGGGACACTACCCTGCGTGATGGACGCTGTATAAATGTAAGTTGTTGTTGAAACCCTAGGTTAAGCCATTGCTGTGTGAAGCAATTGAGCAGATGTGCTGCAGTGACACCAGATCCCCGTGAAGTGTGTCCAAATCCCACCATTGTATCCGTGTGGGCGTTCTGCTTCAACTCCAAACAGAAGCCTTCTCTTTTTATTTAACTCAGTCCTTGTTGGTTATATTGCACAATTACCTGAAGTATCCATTTCCCAGGAATGTTTAAATTAAATCCTGAACAACCTTTTTGAATGATTCCAGGTTTTCTTTGATGCTTCAGATTTGGCACTGCATTGCACTTAAAGGTAAGGCAGCCCCATGCAGTCAGAAATGGACACAAGCTGCAGAATAGTTATAACAGCTGTGTACATGGGTATTAAATGTTAAAGTTTGAAAAGGCTCAGGTGAGCCATGAATTTGTCTTTTAATTTCCAATGACTTAAAAGAGCTGACAGCTATTGAGTTTTATTCAGTTATTGAGAAATGTCATTGGCAGACAGAGTATTGGCTGTACATGTTCATAGGCAAACATGCTCACAGAATCTTGGCTTGCTTCCAGCACTAAAAATACCCGACTTCCAGCTCATCATTGCCATAATTTCCTGCATGTTGTCCATGATGTCAGTGGTGACCTGATAATCCAAAGTCATTTTTTAAGCACATGAGAAGCCAGCCAGCATCCTGAAGGAAGACAATGTGATTTGAAGCGAATCGGCCAGCTTTCTATACTCACATTTTGGATACGTTAGTAAGTATCTCAATTTACTTAGGGAGTTTGGAGGAGGTCACATAAGATATTATGATCAATTAGAAGTTATTTTCTGTGATAATAATTACACAATATAACTGGAAAGAACAACCCCAGTACCACCCACAGCTCAATTGCACCAAATAAGTAAAACCGCATTATAACAAAGCGAGTTACAACAGGGTTCTGCGTAATAGTTCATTCAAACGTCCTGAAACTATCATTATGGTCAAAGCAAGTATAGTCTAGAGAGAATCATTTATATTGAAAGAACAATCCCAGAAATTTAGGAAATGAGATTGGAAGCAAAATTATTACACATGATGAAACAGTTATCACCAATGTAACTATTATCACAGAAAAAACTTCCAATTGAACTTGATGTCTTGTGCAACTTCCTCCAAATCCCCTCTCAAACCTCATCACAATGATTGCTCCTGCAGCCACCACTGAACTTGCTGGCACATTTAAGTGCTCGTTTAGTGACTCAACTCTTGACCTTTTTAAATTTTGTTGGTAGCCTACAAACTGGCACTTAAGCTCTGTGGATCAACTATTTCAATGACGGTGGCAAGCAATTTTAGGTTCTAACTATTGTGATGAGCTCCTGAGGTAAAGGGTTATCCCTGTGACCAAACTTGGACAGGATGACTTTTCTATGATGCAATAATTATCACTAGTAATGATCCACAGTCACAGAATTCATTCCACTGTTATGTAACTGCTTTACTGAGAGTGATTCTTTGGTTCAGTATCTGAACCTGAGAACTATAAACCAATTTTAGAGTGCAGTAAATAAGGTCTAACTTAATGAGGCAACTTTAGGATGGATTGGGTTGTTCAATTGGTTTGCAACTCAGAATCTGGGCTTAAAGCCAGTCCAGACTAATAGGATAAAAGTTTCTTCCATCTGTTGGCTCTCAGAGTCCCATGTGAAACAAATTTGGACAGTCTCAACCTAGTTCCCAGCGATCTTTGATCTCTGCACAAAGCCACTTCTAATTTGATATTAATGACACTGGTGTATGATCAATTATTTGTTATTTATTCATTTGTCTTTGGAACTGGTCAGATGGACCACAATGGCCTTTTTCTGTCCTGTTTATTCCTGTGTTCCTCTAAAAAAAACATTTGGCCTATAGTTTACATGCAGGTGTAGTCATTAATCCATATGCAATGGTCTTATCTCATTCCCTTTTTAATGATACTCATTAGTTGACATGGAAATTGTGGCCACATAAGATGGCGATAAGATGCAAATAGAATTGGCTGGTAGCTGGTGACTGGGCTGAGACCACAAAACAAATTATCTGACAGCTGCAAGCTGATTGTTATCAGCTTAATAAACAGAAAATGCCTCATTCATTCTGGAGTCAAGGCTCCATGTGGAGTTTCTTTATCAGAATATTTGCTTGGTGTCGATAAGATCAAACTCAATTAAGACTGTATGTTCCTCAGCCAAAAAAGGTACTGATCATCGCTCAACAATCTATTTGCACAAATTAGGTTTTTATGCAAATCAAGGACAGTTTGATTTTATCCTGAATACTGAGGGACAATTTTGTGTTGGTCATCTGTGTGTCTGACGCATGCGGAAACCCATCACCAAACTGATAATTCTATGCATCCCACCTACACATGGAATTTCCAGAGATAAATTGTTGGAATGGAATGCGCACTCTTTCCTTGGAGGGATGCATCCTGCTTACCTAAATCCAGAGAGCATTAGGCGCAGGTTGGCATGAACCAAGGCTTGGGGACACCAGAGTGTGCATTGGGGTACTGCTGGAGTCTAACAAACTAAAACCGATAGCTTGCCATTGATAGCAGTGTCTGCCCAGCTTTCCCACTGCTTGGCCAACTAGGACCACACTTCCCATTAGGGCTTTGGCTTGCAGGGAATAAAAGGAGCTTAGTGGGAGGATTCCCTGTCCCAATAACAGTTCTTGCCTTCCAAGTCCTGCCGATGAGCCTGGTTGGCTGTGCTGTTATCGTCAGTGATCTGGTGTATTGCGGACCCGCCTGGCTCAGGAAGTGGTTTACTGACATAGCCACTGATAATTGGCTCGATTCCAGCATTCTATTGCCAAACATGTCACCTTGGAGCCAGTTCAGCTCCAAGCCAGGATAGTCATTAGATAGATGATCTAATGAACGTTTGATCTAATTGAATGGTATTTCTAAGGGGAGTTTACTCTGGTGCACATGTTACAAATTGTTAACTTTCCAAAAAATTACGTTTGCTTCACTTGGAATTATTCACCCCAGGAACAGATATGAAGTCAGGAAAACCACAAGTGCAAAAATACAGTTATAAACCTTGTTAACACCCCACGTGCTGAGGTTGCAAAGGCTACAGGTGAATTGCCTTTCTCAAACATGTACCACAAAGTGCTTTTTACTCTGGTTGGTAAAATGTACTCATGAATAGTGCAGTGGTAAAACTCAGAATTTCACCAATGTTGACATTTCGCCTGCTTAAAAAGCAAAATATATACTTTTTTTTCTCCTGGTGAAGCAAATGGCAAAAAGCACTTAGCGACAATATTGTCGAGGCCAGTAATTAAAAACACCTAACTGATGCTGGAAACCAATAATTATTCCACTGGCACTGAACATTTCTGAACATGGAGTAGTTAATCATGATGTGAGTAGGCAGCAAGTCTGAGCTCTGTTCCTAATGTGCCACAGACTTGTCTCTCATGATTAAGAACTGCCTTAAGTTGCAATTGTAGCTGACACTGTACACCTGGTGAGGAGCGTGATGGAAGCTGCTACTATAGAGACCTTATTGTTGCGAGAGGATCTCCTTCAGGATGACACTTTGTCTGTAAACCTCATTCTGCAGTGATCTTTTGGACTAATGTCAGATTCTTATATCAATACCTGGCAATGGAAGATCAGAATCAGGTTGATTCTCTACCAGAGCCAGCCAGCTCCACAGTACTCCAGGGTACTGTTGATGATGAACCAGTCAGGCTGCCTCATTGGTAGGACCTGAAGGAGTAGACCAGTCACTGTGGCTCGGATGCTTCCCATTCGGCTCCACAGACAAACAGGATTGTGTAACATCATTAAATTCAGTCTTAATTTGAAAGCTATGTTTGTACTATTCTTTAGCAAACAGTCATTCTACACAATCTTGAATTTTAAGATAAATAGGACTTTGAGGTTAAGATGAGGTGGGATGTCAAGCCCTCAGTTTGTTATTTGCACTAATTACATTGTTAACTGCTTATTTTGAGCCACTTGTGCTTCACGCTGCCTTTTCCTGATGTGGTTATTTAAAATTTACAAACCCTCGGGCAGCAGGAGGTGACTGAGATAAAAAAAACCTTCATTTATCCATGTTCAGTAATTGGGCCAATTTACTGCTTGAGTTATTTCTTAAGAACCATAATGACCAACAGGAGGAAACCTCGCCTCTATAAAGGCTCAGTGTGTTGACTGTTGTGGTTGCCAGGTCCAGAATCACACAGTTCTCTGTTTAATGAAGCTGGTAGCTTGAATGTGCAGGAGATCCTCCTTCTGGCATTTGTGTAACAAGACAGATTGTCGGTTGTCAGCCTGGCTCAATTAGTAGCATTCTTGCTCTGAGTCAGAAGGCTGTGGGTTCAAGTCCCACGTCTTGAACTCATAGTAGCGTAGGCTGACACTCCAATGCAGTGCCACGTTGTTGAAGGTGCCATGCTTCAGATGAGATCTTAAACTGTTCGGGTAAATTGCTCTGGGAAGCTATCCCGCATAAAGGACGCTGTATAAATGCAAATTGTTGTTCATGAAGATTTTAAAGATCCCATGGCACTATTTGAAAGAGGATGGAGTTTCTCCTGGTTATCCTGGCCAATAATCCCCTAAATAAAATTGATCACTCACTTCATGGTTGTTTGTGAGACATTGATATGTGCAAGTCGGTTGCTGTGTTCACCCACAAAATAGTTATTACGCTTTACAATAAAAATCCCTTGCAGTGCTTAGAGATGTCCTCCTGACATGAAAGACACAATATCAAATGCTGGGATTATTTATTACAGATCGATTGTAAAACCAATGCCCAGCTCCCTTGCACCCTCTATATGTGTATACATAGGCATCGTAACAAGCATTTATTTTCAGCAACTTCTGACAGCCTTTGTGTTGAGACACCACTGACTACTGTAGAGGTGATACACCGTTACTATTAAAGGCATCCATTTGGTGCCTAGCAATGCACATAAAGAATTAGAACATCAAATAGAGTGATCAGAAAGGGTTATTTACATCATTCAGATATAAGGAAAGACTGCTCATTTGTTGAGGTGTACACCCATGGCAAAGTGATATTACTTATAAAATTATAAATGTTAACCTATACCTGAAATTAATATTATGAGATACTCCAAACCTGGACATCAGTGTGTTATTTATAATCTTTATACGACTCCTGATTGTCCTGACAAAAGCTCCTACCTTTGTACTGCTGCTCCATTTATACCAGCCTAAGATGATCTTGCATAGTTACATAGACCTTGCGGCGATGCTGTTTATGTTTTAATATCATCTAAATTATAATCCATGTATTTGATAGTGTTTTATTATGTCATTGAAATGTCTTCACAGGATTTACAATAGAGTATAATAACGACTATGTATTTTGTAGGCAAACGTTCCAGCCAATTTGTACACCGTGATGCCTTAAAAACAGTCACCGAGTGACCAATTTAATTCCATATGAATATGCTAGGACTGTTATGTGATAGCTGAAACTGAGAAGTTTATTGGTAAAAGACCATCATTTAACTGGGGAACACACAGGGTATTTCATGCATCACACAAAGTAAAATCGTATTGTAATCCAAAGCTTACCCGTGGGCCCTGGTCTCCTTGATCACCCTGAAAAACACAGCATACATTTGATTTCTCATTGGTGCAAAAATAATGCTACTTCTTTATTAAAAGCTGCAGTAAAAATATATATATATATAATCCGTAAAAATTATTGTTCTCACAAACCTTGTCACCTTTTGGACCAGGAGGACCCTGCAATGAAATAAAACAATTTAACATTGTGAATTATTTGATTTTCTCAAGCAGTCTTTATGAAATTTAATTTTGCTTGTACCTTCTGCCCCCCCCCCACCCCATTGATGGTTCTCAATCTAAGCAAGAGAGCAAGCGGACAGCTAACCTGCCCATTGAACTCTATAACCAGTATGAACAGGATGCACATGATTGTGATTTGCCCAATGACTTCCTCTCCCTCTTGGAGGGAAGCTTCCCCCTTCACCTTGGTTACATGAGAATTGTTTTCAAATATTAGTAACGCAAATGATTTTGTTCACTACAACTTTGCTACTTTTTTTCTACATCAGAATATAAACAACCAATGTCTTTTCGGTGTCATTTCTCAAGTCCACGAGGCTTCGGCTCGCCCAGTGGTCAGTTGATATATTCATTGCTTAATTTGAAACTGATCCATATGGAGAGAAAGACACAAGTTTCACCCCTGATCAGTGCTGTGGCAACTGATTGCAGCCAGGGCAGCAGTAAAGGCACAGTCAGGCATTGGCCTCAGCACGCTGGGATAGGGAGAACATTGTCAACATTATGTATATCAAATATGAGCAGGATCCAATCTTGGCTGTGATGCCCATCATATAGTCAAATATGTGGAGTCCTGTAGCTCAGTGGTTAGAGCACTCGCTTTGCAAGTGAGAGACCTGAGTTCAATTCCAGGCAGGGCGAAACCTTGGGCAAGTTTCCTTACTCCACACGCCTAATAATAATCCCTCCAAAACAAAAACAATAATAAATTGGTCATTTTCAATCTACGACTGTTCGTGGGACATTGCTGTGCGCAATTGGCTGCCGCGTTCGCCCACAAATATACAGTCAATTCACTTTACAGTCTATTCTGTGAAGCGCTTTGGGACGTCCTCCCGACGTGAAAAGCGCTATATCAAATGCAAGGATTATTATTATTATTATTATTATTAAATAGGCTGTCAATCTTCTGAGCTCATGCATAGTAAGTGATCACTGGAGGGCTTCTGGCGTGAGTCTGTACCTTCTTCCTCAGGAGAGAAAGTCAGGTAAAAAATGCCCAAGGTAAAACAAAACCCCCAAAAAATGATGAAATAGAGGATCATAGGGAAATGGTGAGTATATGAGAAGGGAACAAGAGGGATAGAGGCTTTGTTGAATATAAACACCAGCACACACTAGTTAGGCTGAAAAAGCTGACTCTGTGCCAATCATTCTATGTAAAACTGATGCAGAAATGGATTGCAATTTCACTAAATGTGAGCCATGAATTTCTAGTCAGTGTTACGTGTAGTGGCATTAATGATGTTGGCCACTAATGGGGTGTCATTGGCACATCTTCAAATCCTTGCATGCAATGGAAGCTGGATCCCTTCAATTCCTACAGAAGACTGCACACATATAGTGAGCAGGTAAATTCAATCTCCTTGCAGGTTGAAAGTTACTTTGGCAGCTTGCTGCATTGCTTTGAGTCATCTGTTCTGCCAGCTTTATTCTACCCTCAGAAACTCTGCTCACATTATCTGAGAAGAGCTCAGTTCAGGTTACTCAGTAGAGTTCCATGCAGGTTTTTAAAACAGACACAGGCAGAACTCTGCTTTCTCAGTTCGCAAGCATTGGACGACAACAACAACAACTACAAGATTCCATTTAAGAGCGCCTTTCACGTCGGGAGGAAGTCCCAAGGCGCTGTACAGTTGGGTCAGGACCCGAGCAGGGGGGAAATGGTCAGGGTGAGGGGAGGGAAGGGAGGGAGCGAGGAGGGGGTAGAGAGTCGAGAGGGGAGCTGAAGGCTCGGTCAAAGAGAAAGGTCTTGAGACCGGCCTTGAAGGAGGAAAGGGAGGAAGCGGCGAAGGCACTGGGGGATGGAGTTCCAGAGCCTCGGGCCTGAGAGGCTGAAGGCCCGACCACCGATGGTTTGACGGTTGGGGCGGGGGATGTGGAGCAGACCGGAGCCAGAGGAACGGAGGGTACGTCAGGTAGGTAGGGGGATAGTAGGTCGGAGAGGTAGGAGGGAGCGAGGCCGTGAATGGCCTTGAGGGTGAGGATCTTGAATTCGAAGACATCAGTAGTATTACCTCAGCTGCCCGTTTGATACATATACCATTACCACAGCACCAGAATAACAGATCCAGAGTTGCGCACAAGCTTTTAAGAGTAGATGGATTCCTCTGTGGCTGGAATGAGGCATGTGTCATCCTGAAGACCACTGCTTAATAAATCTATTCTTAATTAAGAGTTTTGTGAATGTCTTATTATGTAATAATTGTTCATCCCCTGACATCACTGAGTAATCAAACCCCTGGTAAACCCCTATGAACACAGGAAAAGCAGAAGTAAAGTTAACAAGTAGGAAATTACTGGTCACGGAACAACTTTCCCCCAAGGAATTTAATTGATGTGTGATTCCATTGAAGTATGGAAGTGCATTTTAAAGTGGGATAAAATTAATTCTTCATCGTTGATAAAAGTAGCCATACAAGTAATATCATTAATATTAATATCATTAACATTAGCCATTAGTGTAGTTAGTAGCCAGACTAACATTATCATTATAATATTATCATTTTTGCCCACAAAATAGTCAATCTACTTTACAGTATATCCTTTGAGATGTCTCGACGACATGATAAAGCGACAACAACAACAAAATGGCATTTGTAAAGTGCCTTTCACGTCGGGAGGACGTCCCAAGGCGCTGAACAGTCAGGGATCAGGACTGATCCCTGCAAATATTTGCATTTTCAAGTATGCAAATAAAATGCAAATACTTGGGGTATTTTTGCGTTCTAGCAAATGCAAGTACTAGTATCATTATCACGCCATACTGATCTAATATGTACAATCATCTCTTGATTTAAATACTTCAGCTCCATCCTAACTAACTCTACTGGTGACTGCACCACAATTGGTGACCAAGCCTTCAACCACTATGCCCTTTATATCTGGAATTCTTTGCCTCCATCCTTCTGGTTAGACTCCGCCACTGTCAAGGGCTCTGCATGAAGAGCACTATATAAATGCAAGCTGTTGTTGTTGTTGCCTTGCCCACTCCTTATCTATCTTTAAATCCTTTAAGAGCTCTGAGACGCTACCCTGCGTGAAAGGCACTATATAAGTGCAAGGTGTTGTTGTAAATTCAACTTTAAGACGTACCAATTTGACTACATCTATTATCACCCCCTCCTTCCCCTTTCTTTGTTCAGGATCCAAAACCACTACTCTGCAATGCTCTGAGACACAATCCTGCGTGAAAAGGATAATATGCAAATATAAATGCGAGTTGTATTTACAAAAACATGGGTAACTTCAATAATTATTCCCTAAAATACCATTTATGGATCTTTTAATGCTACACTTCCTTAGCATACATGTAACAATAAATTATATTTGTATAGCTCTTCCATGTCGGAAGGTCGTCCCAAGACGCTGGAACAATAGGGATTTGGACCAGAGTATGAGGGTTGAGATCAGGGGGTTGGACAGCAGGGAGGGTAGGGATAGGATGGTTACCGAAGGCACAGTCATATACATGCACTGGGTTTATAATCCTCTTTAGTACAAGGAATGTTGGCACACAACAGGGAGAAATATTACAAATAACACAAAAACAATAAGACCCATTGTACGGTTGTTCCTCTGTTCCGCTCTTACTGCTCTCACCACTGGAAGGAGGAAGCTGCCAATAGGACTAAGAAGAGCTTACTAGGCCAGGTGACTCAGAACAGGTGGACAGTTCAAGTGAATCACTGATTTTTCTTCATCCTGGTCTATCAGAATATTGGAGAGATATGGAAAATGGATCACGAGAGAAGTTCAGATAAAGAAAGCCCCTCGACCGATTCAATCTCATGCTTCCAGAAAACACCCCACCTACTTCTCATTACAGCATTCACCTGTTTTTTAAATGTATTTAGTGTCCTTGTTTCTAGAACCCTTCCCGGTAAACTCCCGTGGAGTCCTGTAGCTCAGTGGTTAGAGCACTCGCTTTGCAAGTGAGTGACCTGAGTTCAATTCCAGGCAGGGCGAAACCTTGGGCAAGTTTCCTTACTCCACACGCCTAATAATAATCCCTCCAAAAAAACAAAAACAATAATAAATTGGTCATTTTCAATCTACGACTGTTTGTGGGACATTGCTGTGCGCAATTGGCTGCCGCGTTCGCCCACAAATATACAGTCAATTCACTTTACAGTGTGTTCTGTGAAGCGTTTTGGGACGTCCTTCCGACGTGAAAAGCGCTATATCAAATGCAAGGATTATTATTATTATTATTATTATAAACTGTTCCAAATATTGATTGCCTGTGTAAAGAAATATTTCCTGATGTCTATTCTAGAATTATCTTTCACAATCTTAATTTTTGCCCTGCTGTCATGCTGCTTTGCTCTATCTGAAAGTATCGTACTGGGTTTACTTTCTATGCATTTTGCATTGAGCTTTACTTTCGTGCACATGATTTGTTAATACATTTTGAGGAGAAACATTTCAATATTCACTGTCAATGAAGGATAGGTGCCCATCAAAGATTGAAAATAACACACAGGATTGTAAGAATATATAAGAAGGTACAAGAAAGGGCTATTTGGCTCATCAAGAAGCATGTTTCATTCCACAGCTCATGTGGACTTTTACCAAACTCATTCTATCTCTGGCAAATATCCAGAATTTCTAGCCAGTTTTGCAGCCTATGCTATTATCCTTGAGCAGCTGCCTTCCTTGGCATTGTATTTCCACACTCCCAGCATCTGAGGAACTACCACAGCTTTGACCATCATGATTTATACTTATAACCTTCTATTCTTTCTCAACCAGATTGATGCAGGGATGGAGAGTTGAGGCTGGGGGTGGAAAGTGTCAGTTGTCATTATCAGCCCTATCTGCAATTCTAATTTTGACTATTCAATTTTGTGAAAATGTTTTTTTTCCAGTCTTACCCGATCAGTTGTGTTAATATTAAGTTTCCTCCGGTTCAGGGTTCAACAACTCAAGTTCAG